TGCCTTGCTTGGACCTCTTAAGGAGTTGGGCTGGAGGTGTTTTGTGGGTGTCCGTGTATGTAGCTTGGTTGATCAGTGCCAGTTTTATCCCCTTTTGCTTTTTGGTTTGTTTTGCTCACTACGTAGGGGTTGTCGCCCCACCGGTGCCTGAACAAGTGTCAGGTTGGCACTTGCACATCAGTTTTTACCCAAGCATAACTGTTTGCCCCAAAAACGTGCGCGCCTCCATTGTTTGTCTTTGCGAGCGCGTCACTGGTTGGAACTGGTTGTGGAGAGGCCTCCGAAAGAGCCGTGTATCATAGGGGTGTGCCATAAGTTGGTCCGTTCAGGTCAGCCGGAAGGAAAATCAAACTGGCGTACCTTGGCTACAAAACCAGAGAGTCGAGCCATGCGTCGGGGACCAAGATCGGATGATGTGGCCAATTTATATTCTGATTTGAGTCAATCAATTGTGGTGTTGTCTTTGCAAGGAATGAAAGAGGACCACATCCACCGATCTTAGTCCCAACAGAACGGAACCCGTCAGGCTGGCGGTTTGGAGCGATTTTGTAGATTTGAACCTCTGGTTTTGGTAGAGAAATGGGAGAATAGGTCCTAAGCTCCAAGCCAGCAACCTCTAAACCACCAACAGGGAAGATAAAACTAGGCCCTAGGTTTCCTTGCCCCCATCAACAAAATGGCCCAAGGGGACCCAATGGTGGCCTGCCCGACCGGCAGACGCTTGTGTCGCTAGGCGTTGCAGCGCGTGAAGCAGTTGCAGGGCACAGCAGAAGCCTCGGAACGCAGTGACTCGGGCCTCGGGTGCGCAGTTCGAGCGCCTGGACACTCAAACTCGCCTAAAACATGGAGCAAGCTTGTTTGATCTTTTCGTCTCTCCTTGTTGGTTGGTTTTTAGTACTGGCCCCAGGTTCAAGTGCTCTTTTACCGTTTATTTTTTGGGGGAGGGTTCCCCTATACTAAAATAGAATACACAAAAATGGGTAGCCTTATTCTAACCTTTGTACTGGAGGACCTAGGGTCGTTTGGTACCCTTGACAAGCACGCATGCCAAAAGAGGTTCCAGCCTTGCGGGCAGTGGTTGCAACCAAACCTGGCGCTGGCATCGAGCGATTCCGATTTAAAGAGCGAGAACAAAGATTCAGACACCAATCTAAACCACCACAAAACCTGGAATTCGGGAATAGGCGTCCTGAAATGGACACCGACCAAATAGGCAGGGTCCCACAAGACGTGTTTCCATTTCAATTTGGGACCCTGCCTATTTGTTGGTCGCCTGTTAGTTTGGGGGAGGGGACCCTCACGAAGCCTTCTGTTAGTGGGCGGGAGGGTATGGCAAAGTGGTGAAACACCACGGAGCGGTGAACTCGGTGCTGTTTTCATGGTGGCAACTTACCCTCCCACCAATCAGCATGGAGCCTGACAGGGAAGTCCTGGAAGAATCTTCCTTTCAATGGGACCCCAAGCTCGGTGCCACCATGCTCATTTGTGCTGTTTTCAAAAGCTCACCAATTCCACGAAAAGCTAAAGTCTAACAATCCACCTGGACCCTCAAAACCCCCCCCCCCAAAAAAAAAAAACAACAACACATAAAAACATAATAAGGCTTGACCTGGGACTCGGTGGATCTGAGGTGGATCTGCTGAGCGCTGCCTATGGCGATGCCTTCGGGGAGTTCCAGAGGCTCCGGGAGGCCATGGCCAGCGAGAGTCGCTCCAAACGAAAACGAACACGTCGATGGTCGGTTTCGGGTGGCGGCGCTGGCGGTCGGTTTTCGGTGGAAGAACGACCCCCTACCTGAAGTCTCCTTCTAGCCCTTTAAAATTGGTTGGTCATTCCCCAAAAATCAGGGGTCATGACCCCTTTTTCTAGGGGTCATGGAGACTCCAGGTACGCCAAATACTCAAATACTGTGTATGGATACCTGGAGTCTCCTTCGGACCCCTAGAAAAATAAGTTCGTGACCCGAATCTTTATTTCGGGCAATGACCAACCACTGATTGAGGATCATGGAGACTCCAGGTATCTGAAGAAATACCGTTGTTTAAGTTGGAATTTCGAGGGTGGGTTCGATGGTATTTTCATGAACCCTCAAAATTCCTGCCTTAAGCATGTGATGAGTTGCAACCCACAATTATGGTGTGAATTCAATTTGTGTTAGGGTTTGGTACTATTTGAAGGCGAAAAGGAATATGGCAAAGGTTACCTGGACCCTCAAAGCACACACAAAATGAGTTTGACGGCCCAGGTGCCCAAATACCCGCCTTTTTGTTGGTATCGTTGAGGGCAAATCTTGAGGAAACCAGGGTAACATTTAGTCAAGGATGAACATTACACCCTATCATACCCTGAAAGTAGTGGGGCCAAATCGATTCGACTAGATCTGACCTTTTGGTTTCCCTGATTTGGTCCATATTTAGTTCAGGCCAGGGTTAGTAGCTTCCAATTTGCATTACAGAATATGTTTCATTTTCCCCTGCTGGGGGAACCTAAAGCTGCTGGACATAGTTTATCCTTTTCTCCAGGGGGTGTATTTGCAACTGGAAAATACTAAATGGGGAATAGAACCTGGCCACTTCCAAGCATCCCCGTTGAAATTCATACGGCGCTCAGATGTCCGGAAGGTCTGATATTGCAACCTCAATGCTTGCGGTGTTTTAGGGGGTGGAGCTGGAATTGCATAGGTGTTGGTTCTCATAAAAGGGGCTTCGTGAGGGCCTGCGGAGTTTTCCTTTGGGATTTTGGGGCCCTCAAAGGCCCAAGTTTGCAATGCGCTCCAGGATCCGAGGAGTTGGAGTTGGCAAGTTCAACCTTTTCCCAGCGATTCCACTGCCCTTGTTTTGGTAACCAAGGGCTTTGCCACCCTGAAAAGACTAAACCTAGTATATAGTGGTAGTGAGCTGGGACCCACTAGGTGTGTGTTCGGTGCCTTCATCTCTTTTTTGGGTCAAGACTTTGGACGTTTTTTGATTTCTGTTGGCAAGCAGTAAACAAAATGTGTGGCAAACCGTCCCTTTAGGCATTCAGTCATTCCCAAAAATGAGGGAACCCACAAATGCCAATGACCAGCCCTTGCTTCACACGCCGAAAGCTCCATGGTTGTCTCTTGGGCCCCTAAGCATCTCGGGCCCTCAAAGATTGCCCTCAAATTGAGGCCCCGCACCTCAACCAAAAGAGTCCTTGCCCCTCCAATTTTGGCGATTTCCGGCTGTCCCCTGCGTTTAGGCTTTCAGTTGGCTTGGTGGTGTTTGCCATTTCACTGGCGAAACAACTTTTAACATAGGATCTGACAGCCAAGAACTGCAAGCCTTGTAGCTGTTCGGGGCTTAGCCCATGCCTCTCAACCCGAAAAACAACTACTAGAAGTGGGGGAAATTCTCATCCAAAATTCCAACTTAAACATGGGTCATAGCCCCAACTCGGTGGTTCAGTAGTGCCCTTTTATCGTTTCCTTTTTGGCGGAGGGTTCCCCTACTAGCATAGACTACAGAAAAAAAAGGGTACCCTTATTCGAACCTCTCAAATCTGGAGGACCTAGGGTTGTTTTGAGGGCCCTGGAGGCGCCAGGGTTCGGGCGATCGTGAGGAGTACGAGAGCCGCCTGGAGGAATGTCAGTTCTTCGAGCTGCAGTGCAGCCGCCGGAGAGCTCGAGATGCACAGAACTCGTCCACCCCGCAGCTCGGGGTACCAACCCTAGGGCTCAAACAGGTGTCCTTTTTGGTGGTTTTGCTCGAAAAACGATGGGTTCCGATTCCTGGTTGACCTGGAGGTTTAATCATCGACCAGGGATATCCATCTATTTCCCCTGAGAGGATACATATGGTCCGACCCTTCATTGTTCTTGGCAAGTTGTGTTGGGGTTTTTAAGGTCTTTTTTGGTGATCTGATCTTCTCACTTTTGTTGGGGGGGGGCTGAAAAAAAACCAGGTTCTTGCAAGCCCCTTAAGAGTTGTAGGGGCCCATGTTGACGGATTATCTTTGTTTAAGGGGGGTTAAAGATAGTTATTTTTAAGCCCTTGGGGTGATGTATCTTTAGGGAGCCCTACCCTTAAAGATGTGGGGTAGCAGTCAAGACCTTAAATGAGCCACGATCAACATCCGGGCAGATGAAGGTTTGTAAGGGACAATCCCAACCATAAATAGCTGCAGCCGCCTTCTTAACTCTTTACATGGTTCTGGGTAGACCATTTTAATGCCGGGTTTTGATCATGACTCAAAAGACCTTAAATGACTTCTGGCAAGCGAACGTCAAGGGCCCCATCACGTCTCTTGCTTAGGTCCCACTTCGACTGGTTTTGGCCAACCCACTCGATCGGAAGTGAGTTGCTGAGTTTCCCCTTGAGTCAACTACTGCACTTTGCCCTTTTTTCTTACTATTTTGAGGGAGTTGTCTTACTCAAAGGATGAGAGGGTGTTGGCAAACGGTGTTTTTGTTGAGGTTACCCTTCCGAAGGTTGGTTTGAAAGGAAAGTTAAAGGAACATTTGTCTGGTCCGGGTAAAGAGACACCCAAATCTCAGACCAACCCCGCCCTTGGTCTGCAGGATCAGTCCGTGACGCGTGCCACGGCTCGAAGCTTTTAAACGTGGGGCGACAAGTGATGTCCCTGAAGCCGGGTGTGTAGTGGCTACCCTTATCCCCGGTGATTTTGTGGTTTGGCGGGTCCAGGACGCGAGTTTTTTTACATTGAATCAATGGTCCACAACCAACACAAGTCTGGGTGCGAGCTGGGCCAGCTTGCTTGAATCAGCCCAACGAACAGAACAACTCGCTGGGAAAAAAGGGCGCCCTTGCCCGATACCGTGCGCCGTTTTGGGTATGCTACCCTTCAGGGTCACTTGGCTGGGGCTGCTGCGATTCACCTTCGCTTCCTGTAAGATTCCCGGACCTTGACCCGGGGCATTCATAGCAGCCAACAGGGTCCCACCCCCAACAAAAAAGTCATGAAGCAAGTTCGAGAGTCCGAAATCTACCTAGTGCACCCTTTGGCAGATTCGCTTCGCCATGGCTATGTCCACCATAGTGCTGCTGGCGGGTTTTGCTGTGGCGAAAGCTGCGGAGAACTTGAACGGTGCCTTGGAAAGAGTGCCGGGCGCGGCTTGATATTACAGATGGACAACCCGCCCTTGTGACACCCTAAATTTGGATCCAAACATCAGGGGGGGGCGGGCAGGCGCAGCTCTGGATTGCTTTAAAAGGGGCAAGGGTAAGGTCATTTGGTACCAGAAGTCCTGGGACTTCCAGCGCCTGCGCTGGAACCCCTTCAGCAGGTCATGAGGGTTGTGGGAAAGTGGGTCGCTGTCTCTCAAAGCTTCTCCTAGTGACTTTAGACTGGCAAAGTACTGAGTCAGAGAACTGTGAGCACTGGCACACCTTGCTTCCCAGTACCCAGGTCCAAATGCCCTTGAAACGAGGCCACCTGGTCCTGACCCTGATGCTTGGGGCATCTTGGGGCAGTTGTTTTGTTTCTTCCTCTGGTCTAGTCCACCCAAAGGCGACCCCGGGCATTCTGGTTTTGGTCGGCCTGACTTCGGCTTCCTCGAGGGTTTTTTTTGGGTCAGAGACCTGAGATGAAGCCAAGCGGGCCGGGCAGCCAGTTCCCTAGGCACTCCACGAATTGGTGCCGAACAACGCGTACGGTCTGGTGTCCAATACCCTTACACCGAAGCTACCCTCAGGGGATCAACAAATTGGTTCTTTATATATATATATATATATTATTGTACAGTCACTATGTAGCCACTTTACAGCCACTATATAAGGGGAAACTACCCCAGTTTATTCTGGGGGTAGTTTTGATCGCCGCCTTTTCTGTAGTTTTTTGGGGGGGTACGTCGGCCCGGTTCAGGCAGGCCGGCATAACAAAGGTGGGGCTCAGATTTACGGTCTGCTGAAATTAAAGTCCCCGGTTCTACCATTAAAATGTGGAGAGATTGTCATCTAGCATGAACTTTGGTGCATTTTGCCAAGGGCTGTTAGGACTTGAGAACTTTTTGCCAACGAATTTGGGTTTTCTACGAAACCACTAAAAGTTAAACTTTTAGCAGGGGAGCAGAAAGCAACCGAGCTTGGGTCCCCGGCCGTTCAACCCCAGAGAGTTCACATGCAACGCAACCTCTCCAAAATTGACTCCCTTCCAAGTTCCGGCACTTGGACGAGTGAGTCACTTTTGGGGTCTGCTGATCCGCATTCCCCGAAAAGTTTGGTTACCTCAACCCTCAAACTGGCCTTAAACATATATGTGTTATGCTCAGTTCGCGTTGTCTTTCTTGGGTTTTCAGGAAAAACCACCGGTTCTCCAGGATAAATACCTCCTTAGGGTTGACATACCCTGAAAAAAGTGGGTATTGCGTGGCGGCAACCTTGAGTCAGGCCCTTCGAGCTCAGGTGACTACGCCCTTCGGCCGGCCAGAGCGCGTCGTGGCTTTTTTTGTGGTTGAGACAATCTTAGGGAATCCATGACCTGCTATTTGTCAGGCAGCCCCTGAATTGGTGAGTGGAAAACCACCCCTAACCACCAGACCACCCCATAATTCGTGAAGCCACCCCTGTCCACCAAATCACCAATCCAATCCTCAAGGGGAAGCTTAAAAGCTGTCTCGGGGAGAGAGAGTGTTCTATTCAAGCAGTGTGTCTTGCAGAAAACGAGACAACGTTTTTGCGAGACAACGTCTTGTCCAGCCCGACTTGTGGAATCCTGTAGAAACCCCTATGCCGTGTTGCAAAGCATCCGTGTTTTGGTTCTGGCGCGCGCCTTGGAAGCGTTTTGAACTTTGGTTCTACATCACAAAACCTGCAGAATAACGGCTGACACGTCCGAACTTAGCACAAGGATCCTGGACCATCCAAATCCCCTTGAACTTCTAAGGTTAGTTTCAGGGTCTAGGTGCTCTTCCTACCCATGGCCACTGGGGGGTCGCAAACTTGGTCGCTGTGTTGAGTTTTTGTTTGACAACGTGACACCAGCTACTTGACGACTTTCAGTCCGACCAGTTTTGGTGTCCTGGTTTTGCGAAGGGTAGTCAGGGCTCTCCATTGGGTCCGGCCTTTCAATAGGGTCAGGAGCCGAAGGGCACGATGAAGGTGTTCTTCCGTTTGCTTTTTCCCCAGTGGATTCCAGCTACCACTATGGTAGGCAACCAGCCATTTTCCATTTGGTGTTTAAAGGGTGGTTCGCAAGGTTCGTTTGGACAGGCTTCCCCAGTGCTTCCAGGCAAGCCACTGCAACCAAGGGAAGCCATCATGTAACCTCCAATGGCCGTAGCACTGGGGTCCCTTAAAGAAGAGGTTTTGGTCTTGCTCAGGTCCTTTCGCAGACACCTGGTGCCTCTGAAACCCAGCAGAAGTTTCCCGTGCACTTCAGCGACTACCCGGGCAAGCCGGACTACTTCGATGTCTATAGCCCGCCCATCAAGACATTGCCACGTGGCTCAGGTGAGCGCCCGATTGCACCTCCATTCGCCATTTTCGTTGGTGGTTCTGATACCCAAACGCTCCCAACTACTCCCTGAGCCTTCGAAACAAGTTTATATTTGAGGGCATGTCCTGGTGTCCCATTCAGAGGGGTCGAAGCAAGACCCTTCCATTCGAAGGGTCCTTTTGCTGAGCGTTTGGGTACTTGGTTTCATTGCGGTTGCAGTGAAGCCTAGGTAAAACTTCAGAGCCATGAGCCAAAAGCCAACAGGTCTTGGCCGTTGCTCGGTCAGGTGTTCCCACATGTCCGTTTGGCTTATGACTGGCGCCTTTGTTTGGAAATCGAAGCTGGTGCAAGTCGTGTTTGACATGGAATCATGACTCTGGTTCCCTCAGATCCTGGGAACCTATTGCATTCTCGCAAATGGAAAGGGCAAACCGATTCTGGCAAGCACATTGGGGACAACTTGTGATAGGTACCTGGAGTCTCCTTCTGACCCTTGAAAAATGAAGGCCCCCTGAGGAAGTAAGACCAATTTCTGCACTGCTCTCAAAGAAACAGAAGGCCTAGCCACCAGAACTGCTACCCCAGCAAGGTGCCAACTTTTACCGTTTCATTTTTTTGGGGAGGGTTCGCCTACTAAAATAGACTACAGAAAAAAAAAGGCTACCCTTATTGAAACCTGTCTACTGGAGGACCTAGACTGGGAAGTAATGGTGTTCGTGGCTCATGACCTAAGGCAGAGGGAGCAACATCACGTCTTCCTTGTTTCTAACGTAAAATCATTGGGCCATCTCTTTAGAGGCACCCGCAACCATGATGGCTGACGCACATATGGGTGTGCTCAAAATTAAACAGGAGGGGTTACGCAAGTTTTGGTCCATGCTTCCACTTACCAGGCATTTTGGTACCGTTTTTTTGAGCCACAGCCATATTGTTGTGTCCCTTTAAAGTGGGGGGGGCGGGCTCGGTACCCTGTTTACCGGAAAATATCAGCTACTACAAACTACCAATTACCATAAATGACCATAAACCACCATAAACTACCATAAACTGCTACCTGGAGTCTCCATGATCCCTAGAAAAAGGGGTCAGGAGTCCTTAATTTTGGGCAGTCTGACCCCAATTGAAAGGGTCAGAAGAAGACTCTAGGTACAACCCCTCCCCTTTTTTTTTTCCGGGTGCCCAGCTTTCCATGTCGCAGCTCACGAGTGCGTCAGGTACTCCCAGGTCTTCTGGAGCGGTCTGCCACCGGTGGATCTGCCGAGCGAAGTGGTGCAGCGCTTCGAGGGCAAAGGTATCTTTGGTGCATTTTGCCAAGGGATGTTAGCACCAGCAAGCTATTTATAAACCACAAACCGCAGAGAAGGCAACCCATGGCTTAATTCTGCCAGAAACCTTTTCTGGGGTAGACTTAGGATTCTTTTTTCATATTACCCGTGCCCATGTGAAGCAAACAATAAAATAAACTTTCTATAACTGGGCCTAACTGTAATCATGTTAGGACTTTTTTTTGCTAGCTAAAAGTTAAACGACCATTAACAGTTGAAAACCCATCCACCTTCTTGCCAACTAAAAGTTAGTGGCCATTCCACTTTTGTTGTCGGTTTTCCGTATTAAACCACACATTTAAAGTTAATGTAAACCAACTTTTGCCAACTTTTCCCAACTTGTCCCAACTTTTGCCAACTTTTGCCGCCACGGTTAAACTTTCAGCAGGGGAGCAGAAAGCAACGGAGGTATGGCGGTGGTGGGCTTCGAGGTTGACCAGGTGAGGCGCACCGACCAAGGCGCCGGGCGGAAGGTGGGAGGAGGTTCAACTCCTGCAGGTGCTCAGCAGGGAATGAGAAATGGAATGACCGCTGAAAACCATCCCCTCTCAATTCCTGCAAGGGAATCCCTAAGTTGATTCCCTTATTCCCTACTGAGCACCAGCAAGTCTGGCTGGGAAGCCGGATCTTTTCTTTCCCCAACAGCTGGAAGCTGTGGGGAGTCGTTGCCCAAACAGGCTCTGGTTGGTGGCTTGGGGCAGCCTTCAGGGATCCGTAGGGTTCCGCTGTTGGGATATCACCTGCTTGTTGGTTGAATTCCGGTTGATAGGCTATCACTTTTGGAGGGAACTCCCCCGTAGTCACAGGAAAGGTTTATCAATCCGGGGTCACCATCAAAAAAGTTGGTCACATTCAAGGTTATGATATGTTGTGATCATATAGTTGGTCACATCTTTTTGTGTACGCACCTGGTAAGGCCGACTACTTAGGTCTCTCTGGCTGGCTGATGGCATCTCCGGGGCTGCGGATGCTGTCACTGGCGCTAACTGATTCATCCAAGGTTACTGGGGCAACTTGCATGTATGTACAAAGAACCAAGTGGTTTGCAAAAAACAGGTGGTTTGAACAAAGCCAATGTTTGGATTGGACCAATGTTTGAAGATCCAAGTGGATTGGTTGAAAGCTGAAAAAAAAACCGCTCGGCCCGGCCAGCTCTGGGGTTCCCCATGGAGCAAGAGCCTTAGGGTCATCTGGGGTTCAAAGGGGTCGAGCGGAAAATCACTGCTACGTCTCGGCTATTGGTGCGAAGCTTCGAGGCGTTTTTTTGTTCCCCCAGATTTCTGTGGTTTTCATTTTGGCAACTCAGGGTTGTTTTTGATGGGCTCGGAGCAGCTCGGAGCAGCTCGCTGGGGGACTTCCTTTGAACTCCGCCGGAGATCCGTGGGTCGGTTCTTTTTTTGGGGAAGCTAGTGGACACGGCCAGTGATTGATAGTCCTGCTTGGAAAGGGGGGGATCAACTTGAGTGTTTTCCTCTCCATGGGCGCACCCCCCGTGTGTTGCTGGGTTCCAAGAGCCACAATCAAAAGCCACGTAAATGAGGGGTCGCAACGGATGCTTCACTCTTGAGACCAGGTGCGGAAAGAAGGCCTCTTGGTTGTTGACTTGATGGCTAGATTCCTCCACGACCAGTGGGTTGCTTCCTTTTCTCCCGCTTTGGAGGGCAACGCGTGTTATTTGTTTGTTGCCCATGGTTCTCCCCACTCTTCTGAGCAGGCGATGTGGCGGTGCCGATCACCGTGGCGTACAATCACCACTTCGAGACCACCATGCGCCTTGCCGTATTTTAAGCTGTGGTTTTGTATGTCATTGTTCCTATGGTCGGTCTGCTTGCTAATCAACGGCAATCGGCATAGGACCTCCAGGTAGGAAGCCTCCCTGTTCATTTTGGGGTGGTTTAAAGAGAAACACCACCCCCCATTTGGGCATCCATTGGCCTTGAGCTTCTCGTGTCCCTTCAACAACAGGGAGGCTTCCTACCTGGAGGTCCTATGGATGCCGATTCCTGCCGTTGATTGGCAGGCCAACCGACTATAGGAACAACTACAAAGCCATAGGTTAACTAGAGCAAGTTGTTGGGTTTCCTTGTTTCTTGTTCTATGGGCCCGTGATCAACTCCAAAGACCCTGCTTGGATCTTCGATTCGCCAAGTTAGTAAGTGGCCAACGCCGCCTGGGTTGTAACTCACTAATGATTGGGCTAGCCCCACTTAGGGAGGTGGGTTATTACCTAGGTTCTCGAAAACTTACTAACTTGGCCGAACACCCAGGTACTCTGGCCAAATTGGGCAACGGTTGAAAAAAAATGCTTTTGCGGGAGCGGTTCCCGGAACTGAAGCATCAGAAAGGACCCTCCATTCAAGGGGTCGAACCGGACCTTCATTGGTTTTGTTTTTGGATGTCAAAAAGGACCTTTGGAGGTCTCAGGATGCTTAGGCCATTGGATCCTGTGCATGTACCTGGTTTTGTAGTTAACCGAGGGCTTGCCACCCCTTAAAAACCAAATGGACACTGGATAGGGTGACCTACTACAGTGGCGAAACGGATTCCTGGAATCTACTGAGTGTGATGGCCCCTTCAGAACGAAAACTCAATAGTTTTGGCATGTGCACTCAGGATTGGCAAGCGCAGCCGCTTTGTGCAGGAGACAAAGTGCTCGCTCTCTAAGCTCTGCTTATACATGAATTTTAATTGGGGACCATTTGACATTATTTCGGTTTGGATTGACGTCCACCACTTTTCACGAGGTTCCCCAGTAAAATTCATGGGTCAAATTTGGGTTGTTCAAAAAGAAGTCCATTTAATGTTGAACCATCATCCCATTTGATGTTGAACCATGCTCCCTTGTGTTTGTCAAAACGACCTCCCGAAATGGGTGGTTTTGCTTTCGGAACTTTTTCAACCCAGATTCAGGGCACCCTCCCTTAAAAATTGGATTTAACCCAAACATTGGGGCAATAACCCATGATTGAGTGTCCAGGTACACATATTGCATAGAGAATAACTTGGACACCATTTGACGCATATACCAGGGTTGTGTGGCCGGATGTATCTAACATTTTACTTCCCATGTTTTAGAACTGTATGTACCGTGCGCCCACTGCCCCATGGCATTGTTTTCGGACCCCAAGAACATATATGGACCGGCAGTGTTGAGCTCTCACATGAGTCAAGGGGAACAACGTGCCCCGAAGCGGCTTCAGTGTGTCTGACCTGATGTGCCAATTCGATCTTCCAGGAATGAAGCTTACAAGATCTTATAAGGCTCTGAATGGTTGAAGGGGCAGCCAACCCCCCCCCCCCCCCAAGACAAAAACACAGACGGAGACAACAGCAGCGGGCCACATCTGCGGACGATATGGATTTGACTTACAGAGTACACCAATGTTTGCGATTTGGATGGAGTGCTCACCGTTTTTGGGATATCATGTTCATTTGCCCCCCCCCCCCCCACTAAGGGATAAACAGTCTCTTCAACTTTTTTACGCAGGGTGGATGCTCAACTTAGTAAGTAGGTTATTGGCGTGTCTTTTTACGCCAACCAGCGATAGCCTTGGTTATAACCTACTTACTATGTATAGGTTGAACACCCAAGTACCTAAACCCTGAAACTGCCCGAAAGCAACGGGATTTCACCCAGAATGTTGGGGCAACAACAATTGTTTGAGGGAATTCTGAGGGTCCAGGCATTGGGGGCACCGGGCGCCAAGTCGGCATGTCGCCGGCCAGGAGGAGCTACCGGGCCCCAACTTCGGGCAGCGGCACGAAGGCCACGGCGCCCCACTGGCGTGGCAACCCGGGCAGAGGCTCGGCAGATTGTTTGAAGTTGCGTTTTCCGAATTCCTCGGACCCGCAACTAGGTCCCCCAGTTAGGTGCCCTTGTACCCCTTTTTTTGGGGCGGATTTTGTTCAAGTTGCGTTTTCCGAATTCCTGAACTAGGTCCAGCAATTGGTGCCCGACCTCTCACCCGTTTCTTTTTTTTGGTTGGGAGGGTTCCCCTACTAAAATAAAGTCGCGTTCTCCCAAAAGTCTAGGGTCGCCTAGCTCCCGGAATTTGTAGCCCTGGCCCCATGTATTCACCCATTCAAGTCACCCGAGTCTAGGTCCCCAGCTATGTGCCCTTTCTCACCCGGCCGCTTCTTTCTTGGTTGGGAGGGTTCCGAACCCTACTCAAATAGACAAACCAGAAAAAGTTGGTACCAACTTACCCAGTCCGGTTCCGTAGCCTCTCAGATATTTTTGGCTTAGTGGTGGTTTCCGGTTAACCCACTAACAGTTAAAGTTTTAGCGCGGAATCTGAAAGCCCAGTAAACAATGAGTTCTTGGACCCTCATTTCAGAATTCAACTACCTTCAAACAATGGGTTCTTGCCCCAAATATATGGGTCTAGGTATGTTGTCATGCTCCCGCACGAAGCAATCATCCAGAAATTTGCAGCCCAGAACTACGGAGTAGTTTGAGGGTCCCTAGACTATTGAAAGACCTTTGACAGTTCTAAAGGCTTAGTACTCTAGTAGTCCTGGACCCTGAAACTGTCATTAAATACAGGCGGGATTTCGCCAACCATACGATTGAGGCAACTCCCCCAATGTTTATGCATCCATTTGCCGAAGAACATGCATCCACCCGACCCAAGAGAGGGGTCCTTCAGGTTGCAGTCTGGCCCCCCGTGCAGGTTTTGAGGGCCTTTGGGCCTTTCAGCTCCGCTAGTCTAATGGCCCATCCTAGTTGGTATGTACCTGGACAAGCCCCATGCAAACTTACCTCTTAAAAACACAACTTTTCAACTTTTTGGGTAACATGCATGGGCTATATGTCTGTAAAAGATTAACTTCCGCAGGGCTTGGAGTTTTAAGGGGTAAGCAAAAAATGGGGGGCAACGCCGTTTTTTAATACGGTACTTTGAGGGCCCAGGCAGCCAGGAATCCCCATTCAGATTCGTCCACTGTCCAAGCGGATTGCAGGGGTCATTGCCGACATACGGGTATGAAGCAGGGGTCATGGCCGACGTGTGAATCTCCAAGCGATTTTCTGGGTGCAGTTGACCCACTTGCGGTGGAATCAACCAATTTTCCAGGATTGCAAGTGTGTTTCTATTTGGGTTGCTAGGGTTGGTGGTGAACCAATGGATGGAATTGGGGACTTGCAAGGCTTCGCTTCAGCAGCTTTTGCAACATCTCAGGAGAGCCTGGCGCGTGAAGGAGTTGTCACCAAGCGAGCCTTGGAGTTGTGCAAGTCAGGATGCATCGATCTGTGCTAAGGGACCGATTCGGCCACTGTGTTCGAAGCCTCAAAACCAGTTGTTGTTCAGGGGCCTTGGAAACTTGGTCGCTTTGGGTGCTCCCTTGGAGGGCCAAATAGAGGTTGTGCATTGGGTCCTGGGTTCACTTATGGCTGGTTGACTAGAGGCGAATCCAACTGATTGGAGAAACAGACCAGCCACCCCTCCAAGAACCAGCTTGAAAAGGGGTAATTGAAACCCAACATCATGGGGTGAATTCCCTTGTGCAAGCGCAGCTTGAGGGTCCAAGCAGGTTGACTCATTGCAGATAACCTCCGGCCGGTACGACACGGGATCAAATCTAAACGGATTGCCAAACAAACTGTTCACTTGGGTAGTTGAAATCATGAAGGCAGGGCACTCGGTGTGGGTCCCCAGTGTGGGTAAGCTTGCCCCCAGCATGGCTGAACCCTCCATGGGAGGGATCGAACCGGACCTCCAATGGAAGATGTTGGACCTCAAACAGCGCCGCTTCCTTTCGCTGGGCGGTGCCACTTACGAAGTACTTGGCGTATTGCGCATGTTATGTACTTGAACCCTCAAACCACTAGCTTAAAAATGGGTTATTGCCCAGAGTCGCTTGGGTTCAATGGTACTTTGGAGTGGTCCACGGCATCTCGGTTTGCTGCAATATACTCAAGTTGTCCTCGCCGCCGTTGCTCCAGAAATCTCAAGAAACCCCGTTGGTCCGAGAAATCCTCTCTCCGCTACATCTCGCATGGCGCGCTTGGCTCGTGTGGCTGTGGTGTTAGCCCTGCTGCCGCTGAGCTGTGCGCTGCGGGAGGGCGTCCAGGCTTCGCACCGGGCGGGATTTCTGGGATAGGCTTAGGATACATTTGACAAATTTTACCAGTGACCCAAAGGTAAACAAACCATACAATGTACGTTCTATAACTGAGCCTAGCTGTAATCCTGGTTGGGGTTTGTGGTTGAGCACTTGGGACGTTGGGAATCCCCTCGTGTGAACATGGGGGAGTCTGTGGGAGATGTTTGTCGGAAGTGGACTCCAGTTCCCGCAGCCCTGGCACCTCCTTTTGGTGTTTTTTGAAGAAAGCCAAAGGAACACCGGTGCGCCATTGTGAGTCCCCAAATGAAAGACAGACCAGCAAGAGCCCTGCGTTTGTTTGTTTTGTTTTATGATTTCTCTGTTTACAAGCAATAATACAAGTTTGTTTTTTTTGTTTTTTTTTAATATATATATATATATATATAAAGAATCGAAGTACAATGCAAGTTGTTCCCTCTAAGACTAAGAATCGTGGTGTCCTTGTTGAAGTCAACCTTCCAATGGAGATCCCTAAAATTATTCAATGGGATCGGGTCCGAAGTCTGATGCTTTGGGCGTGGAAGTCGATGCGGGGGCTGGAATTTCCGGTGAAGACTCGTGGCGATGAAAAGAAAGATGCCCCTCAACCCCTCACCTTTTTGATGAATGACTACGTAGCTCCTATTCGTCAAATGTTTCAAAAATAATGGGGTTACCGTGGAGGTCGAGGGGGTTCCATTTTGAAGGGATGTCGCCCGCAGGACTTGTCCATGGGCACGGCCGATGCAAAGCATGCGAAGGACCGTGAGCTCATGTCAACCATCCGACTGTTCAGAGTGAGATTGAACTGCACCTTGCTTCAGCCAACGCCCATTGCTTGAAGTCATTCTCAGCTTCATGGCTATTTGGTTGGAGTTTTGGTCTTTCACTTTTTGGGAAGCAGTGGATGTTCCGTTGGACGCACTAGTTGACTTTTTGCAGAGGGGTCAACAGCAACCAAGTCAGCCTGTTTTCAGGGTTCCCCATATCAAGCAGGATCCTCAGAGGTGTCTTCGTCATTTCAAGGCGCCAAACAGATCGGGATGTCTCAAAGTTGGGTTCCTGTACCCGCAAAATACCCTCAAGACATTGTTATTGCCACGCTGAGATCGTCACTTTTTCTGACCTAATGTTCAACGTCAAGATGAACTTCCCGCAGAATCTTGCCCGGAGGGCATCTTCCATGATTTTCGTGCAAGTATCAGGTCCCACCATTGAAGGGGTTACCTCCATTGGAAAGTGTTAAAAGTCAAGAAGGACATGGCTGTGGGTCAAAACCAATGGTACCATTTTCGGCTAGGTGCACCACGCATTTTTGTGGGGATTTTGACCTATGCCATGGCCACAATTCTGAGGGCCCGTTCGATGCTTCGGGTGCCAAGTGCCCCTTGAAGGGTCACCACTTTGTTAAGAAGCCCGCTTGGAGGACATCGCGAGGCATGGCGAAGAGTTACATGCAAAGGAGGAGCCGCATCCGGTCAACCACCCAGTTGTCCAGTGTTCACGTGCTTAAAAGGTTTGTCCCTGTTGGTTTAAAGGGATGTATCACTACTGACATGTTTTCTTGGACCCTCAAGCTACCCATCAAAAAAGTGATCTCACCCAATAGTTTTGGGGCAACCTTTGTTTTAAAGGGTGCAGTTTGAGGGTCCACGTTAGTTTCTCCAGCGGACGTATTCGCAAACGGAGGGTGGGATTCGTTGCTTTTGTCCTAATGCCGATCATGGATGAGCCCTGGGTCCTCTATTTGAAGCACTCGGTGCCCCAAGCAAGCAAGCAAGCAAGCAAGCAGTCAGTCAGTCAGTCAAGCAAGCAAGCAAGCAAGCAAGCAAGCAAGCAAGCAAGCAAGCAATCAATCAACCAATCAACCAATCAATCAATCAATCAATCAATCAATCAATACATCAATCAATCGGTGTTTGTATATGTAGAGCTAAGTTACCCTAGTTTACCCTTGATTTGATTCAGGGGTATGTTCCGGGGGTCTGGTGTTTCAACCTTCAAGTACCTGGAGCCTCAGATTTGTCCAGATTGAGTTGTCCCAAAAGGCGCACTGCGCTGAAGTGACTCGATGGCGTTATGCCATGCTAAGCTTTTCAGTACCAAAGCATTCACAAAGTTGGCTCTGCGCGGCTTAGCACTGACAAGGTAGCCCAGCTTACCAGCTTACGAACTTCGCCGAGCACCCAAGCAAGTTCCCGTGTGGTGTTTTTTTTGTTTTTCTCATTTTAGCACCAAGGGGTGCACCCTTCAAAAGCCAGAACAGGCGCGCTGGAAGAGCTCTTCGTTGGGACCCTCAAGGGCTTGAAGAATTTCGGTTTCCCTTCCAAGTCACCCAACATGCCGTGGATGGTTGCGAAATCCATTTCGCTCCTGAGACACCCTGGAATGACGGTTGCTCCTGGTTTCCAAGTGGTGCGTAAGAGTGTCTTTGGAACCTCACACTACCCTAACAGAGGGGTGATGGCCCCAAAAATATGGGGCTCAAGCTTCCCTCATGGGTAGCTTAAGGGTTCAGGTGGCTTCTTTTTTCCCCACGCCTGGAAGCTTAGTCAAAGAAGTGATGAGCAAATCCAGGAAGCCGGGGGCATCTTCTGTGACGAGGAAACTTGCAAGACCAAAGGCACGAATTGCGGATGCAATTGGCGCGGCGCATGCAAGTGCGAGTACTACTTCAGATGATGAGAACTCACCCCCCCCCCCCCCGGGGGGGTGTTCAAGGGACGCAAAGGGAAAGCACACAATGTTGGAGGTTCCCAGTTCGGATACAAGCCAAAGTGGACCCAGCATATACCAACCACCCTGAAACACGTGGAAAATCATGCCAGAAGTTTACTTGTGCTTGAGGCAATGAACCTGCGGATTCCATCACAATTAAAGGAAACCACAGGGGATGGGATTCATTCCCTCATTCCCTGCTGAGCACCGGCAAGTTTTTCGGTGGCAACACATCTTGTCCAAAGCGACACTCTCGGATCCTCGAGTCGAAATCGACGAGACGAGCATCACAGTTGCGAGACTCGCAAAAGATCACGGCTGACTGGGGCGCCTGACTCCCAGACATGCAGTGGGGTTGATAAACAAGTTAAGTGCCAAAGCAGCTTCTGAGCAGCTCCTTTGTTTCGACTTTCACTTTGCTGATGGCACGGTTCTAGGGACAGATCTGTGCTTCCTTTTGTCCTTTCTTTGGGGGGTCGGGTTTCCCTCCTGGCCCTTTCAAGGCCCTTTCGGATGCTTCGGGCGCCCATGATTGATTCGGACCAGTTGGGTCCTTCAAAGCCTCAAACTACCCTTAAACATTGGAATGTTGCTTCAAAATTCTAATTTTACCCATTTTTGAAGCACATTTTGCCGGGTTCCTGGAGTCTCCGTGACCCTGTGAAAAAGGAGTCATTCCCCAAAATCAAGAGTCATGGCCCCTTTTTCTATGGAAGTCATGAGGGTCGACTCCAGGCTCAGGGTCGACTCCCCGTGGAGGGTCAAAAAGATCCGAGGACTTGCCGAGCCGCGCGGACTTCGGGGGCGCCAACGGCGGGGAATACCGCAAGAGCCTCGGCCCAAACTGGGCGGGGGAGGGGGAGAACATCCGGATGCTGAAATGTATACCTGGAGTCTCCATGACCCTTTAAAAATGGGTCAATGCCCCCATTATTTTGGGTAATGACCCCACTATTCAAGGGTCATGGAGACTCCAGGTATGATATTTGTTTCCCTGGTTGGCTTTAGAGTTGGAATCGACGTCACCACTGCATGCAAAAGGTGTTTTTTCTTGTTCCGGGCGAAAACGCAAAAAGTCTTCGGATTCTTTGAGATTAGGACGTAACATGTCAAAGAAGATCCCCATGCACCCGCTGTCCAGAGGCTCCAATCGATCGGCTTCGTTTGGAGTCTCAAAACCGGGGCGGTTTCAACGAGGGCCCTAGATGAATTGGAGCCTCGGGGTGCCAATTCCCTAAGGCTCTCAATGTGTTCATGAGAAGAGTGGCAACCAAGGGGATCACTCCAATTTGGATGACCATTTGGAAGGGCAAACGTTTTGGTTGGAAAATACGAAGATTGTTTCAATGGTGGTAACTGGACCCCTGGATGTCTTGTCTCATGGTTTTTGAGTTGGCAGCTGGAAGATTTAGGGTCTTTCTACTCTGGAGCCGCTCCGGAGTGGTTGGGGTTGAGGGTTCCGGGGCTGTTGGGGAGAATCGCCACCCACCTGGGCGAAGATGTTCTTCCATTTGGTGAAGAATATTCTTCTACTTGCTTAAAAACATGTTTTCCCTTGTTGGTTTTAAACGGAATCTATCTCTACTGGAAATATGTGTATTATTTTTCCCAGGGGGCTTAAGCAAATGGATGTATTTTTGAATGTTGCCCTGTTGGTTTTATAGTTGCAGTCTATCACTACTGAAAATCAGTTCTCATGTTTTCCAGGGGGCTCCAGCAAAGGGAGGTGTTTGAGGTTTCCCGAGTTTGCCATCAAAAACAAGCCAAAACGACTGGGGGTTCGAGTAGGGCCTAGAGGATCTCTCTGTTGGCCGAAAATAGCTCACTCGTCATCTCCCCTTACTGCCCAGTTGTGCCACCTACTTTCACCCGTAAATACTTAGAATGCGGTTTGCAGGGCACTTCAAAGCCAAAAAAGGAGTGTCAGTATGGTGTCTGGTTTCGACCAGCCTAAAAAGGTACCCTCCAAAAGCTTACACCCGGGTGAGACTAGTATAGTTTCCATTCGGGCCAACCCAACAACTTCTGGCCAACCTGACAAATCGAACCCCCTCAAAAACCACACCCTTGTGAGACTAGTGGGGTTTCCACGTAAAACAACAACCTAAAACATAAAGCCCGCCTTAAATCACACCCATTTGAGACTAGTATGTCTTCCCTTCGGACCAACCTGAATACCGGTACCCTCCCAACATAACTCTCATGTGGTTTCCCTATAGACCAATCTAAAAAAGCATACCACAACGCATCCCCCGCGTGAAACCCGGTTCGTTGTGCAGTGGACCCGCGTGAAGCCAGTTCGGCGCTGTTGACTCCTCACGTGTGAGCCAAAGGTTTAAAACACCCCAACGCTTTGCTTTGACTCGGAGAGCCGCCCTGGACTGCTTCCATCTGCTGAAATGAACATGTGTTATTTTCCCCTGTCGGTTTCGCAGTTGGAATCTATCACAACTGGACATATGGGTGTGGCTCAAAATTCAAGCCCTAAAGTTACGCAGGTTTCAGTCTTTGGTTCCATTTGCCAAGGTGCCATTTTGGTCCATTTGATTGAGCCACAGCCATATGTTCCCATTTTGCCAGGGGACGCCCAAGCAAATGGATCCCTAGATTGCGCGTCATCACGCCAGAAGAGACACCAAGCCTTTAGGCCCCTAGAGATTAAAACGATTTGGGGGTCTCTGCCCAAATTGCCCCATGTTGGAGAAGCATTCGGATTTTTGTTGCCAGACTCGGCAACCCTCAACCTGAACCCTCAAAACTCCCTTAAAAATGGGTTTGAACCCAACAATTATGGGGGTGATATATCATTTTTATGGGTAGTTTGAGGGTCCAGGAACTTCTTCCTTTTTTTCCGAAGAACCTAAGAACTTGTGTGTTTTCCCTCCGTTGCCTCTGGCTTCGCACCAAGGAGCTTTCACGGCTATGCGCCCTCCTTTGTTCAGGCCAAATGGGCGAAACATCAGCGGTCTGTGGAAAGACGTTGTTGTTGCTGCGGCGGTGGCTGTGGCTGTGGCTGCTGTTGCTGTTGTTGCCGTTGTTGCTGTTGTTGCTGGTGGTGCTGGTGGTGCTGGTGGTGCTGTTGTTGCTGGTGGTGGCTGTGGTGGCTGTGGTGGTTGTGCTTGTTGTGGCGGTGTTGTTGCTGTGGTTGTCGTAGTCGTCGTTGTCGTCGTACTGTACTGGATCAGTCCGAAGCTTCCAACATAGGGCGCAAGAGCACCTTTTGACTGGGCTGGGTGGATCTTCAGACTCTAGGTCCCCCAGCTAGGTGCCATTTTACCAACTTTTTTGGTTGGGAGGGTTCCCCTACTAAAATAGACTACAGCAAAAAGTTGGTACTCTTGTTCTAACCTCTCTACTGGAGGACCTAGGACTGTATCTTTTTGGCTTTTTGGGAAATGAGTCGATGTTTGCCCCGGATGATGAATCCCATGGTCGATTACTAGGGGGTGATCCCTTTTAGTGAGGAATCATCACTTTTGTTGAAAGAACATTGTAGGTCAACATTGAACAGCAAACAGCTACTCGCCAGCACCCCCCAACAACTGTTTTCTTTACATGTCCAAAATCCCATTTGTTGTAATCATGGTTTTGGAGCTCCAAAGACCTTTGGGATGGTCAGCTGTTACGTAGGCCTAAATATGAAATTGATGCTGAACATGTGTGGGTTGACTTCCCTTGTTTTGTAGGTAGTTTGAGGGTCCAGATGGGCTTTGGGTTCTCACCTGGGTCCTCCGTCTCCGGGTTATTTCTCTGTTTTTCCGTTCTCCGGGATATTTCCAGGAGGCTATCTGAAAACTAGGAGTTTCAGGTGTTTCAAATGCAGGAATCAAAAGCAGGAGTGGCTTGCAAAAGGCAGGAGTGAACATCAAAAACTAGGAGTGGTTCTTGGGGGAAACAATTGGATTCAAGTTTTGTTGTATTTTTTCGTTGTTTGGGCGCGCAATTGTGCAACTCTGTACACTATCCCAGCAATTATGCAACTCTGCACTGGAGTGGGTATTCCACTGATTTTACTGCGCACACTCCGGAAACTCCGTCTTTTTTTGATTTGCGGGAGTTTGCGGGCTTTTTGCGGGTGTTTTGCGCTGAGTTTCAGGTGTGGTGCTTTCCGGTTTTGCCAATTTGTCGCCCAAAGGCAATAATTCCGAATTCAGAATAATTCCGAATTCTGAATAAATAATTTCAGGCGAACGATTCTGATTCAGGTGAATGATTCGGATTCAGAATATGTCTGAATTGGAGAGTTCCTTCCGTCAACCGAATAATTGCGATTTCTAGGGGTTTCAGGTGTGCAAACCATTTCCAGAAGCGACAATCAATTTCTAGGAGTTTTACCTCAAAAACCAGGAGTTTGAAAACTCTATGTTTTTTAACTGAGACCCTCACAAAACTGGTAGTCTCCGGATTTTACGTGAAATTTCCATGATTTGGAAGATCCAGGCAAATCTTTTTTGCCCATGTCTAGCTTGCCAAAGAACTCATGTACCCTAAGGGTAGCGATTGATTTTGGGCCTCCAAAATGGGTTGTTTTTCATGGGGACGGGGTTCTCCATTGCAGGGTCCGGGGATCTACATTGAAAGGGTCCTTACCTTTAGGGTAACATGGCTGTGGGTCAAAACCAATGGTACCATCTTGTGGTAGGTGCATTCACTACCCATTTTAGTTTTTTTTAGTGGGGATTGGGATGTTCACTGGGGGTACGATTTGGATTTTGACCCATGGCCATATGTTTGGACTTCGGATGTTTTCTCCAGGAAGCCTCTAGTTTGAAGTTCGGCAGCTTCGCTGCCAACTGATCCACTGGGGTTCGGCAGCTTCGGAACGGTCACGAGTCGCGAAGAGTTTTGGCGGATCAGCAACTGCCCTGTTTGGTTCCCTGCTGGGGTTGGAAATCAACGACCTGGACCATAGGTGTCCTTTTTGGTTCCTTTTTGCTAGAAGAATAGATGGGTTTCGAGTCCGATCGGTTTACCTGGTGGTTTTTTCTCATCTAGCAGGGATATCCATGTATTTCCAACCTACAAGGACACCTATGACCTGGACCCTTGAAACTGGGGTATTGCTCAAGATGGGTTGGATTCCTGATTTTGGGTGGGGAGTTTGAGGGTCCAAGCGCGATTTGGCTTAGGTCGAAACCGTAGGCGTAGGGGTCAAGACATGGAATCCTGCACTTGGATGTTTGCGCGTCGATGGTGCAACAGGTCACTGCTTGAACACAAGCTGACCTCGCTAATACAATGATTCCACGAGACTGGGGTAGACTTAGGATACATTCTGCATTCTACGAGTGACTCAAAGGGAAGCAAACAATAAAATATACATTCTATAACTGGGCCTAACTCCAGTCATGGAGATGTTGGGCGTTGGCCTTGCCATGGAGCCGGCGGTGTCCACGAATCCAATGGTGCCAAGACAGGCTCCAGCGTCGATTTCCGAGCACGGAACGGGAGCGCGAGGTCATCGTCTCATTGCCGGACTTGGCTCGCCTTTTTTGTGCATAAAGTTAGGCGGTTTCGCCTTTTTCGTCATTTGCCCTTTCTGAGTGAACATATACACTAAGGCCGTTTAGTGTTTGTTCAATGTTCATTTTCCCGCTGCAACCTGCAACAAGTGACAGTTTTTGCAGGTGTTTCCTCCATGTGGCCAAGGTCTCAGCAGTTCCCAGACTTTGCTACGGACGGCCGCGGCGGGTGCTTGCAGGAAGTTTGGTCGTCTGAAAGTTGCCGCGGCCGCGGGAAAGCGTAGCAGCAGGCAAAGGGGCAACTGTAGACTGTTGGTGGACGCAGACAGTATGAGCATGGCCAACATTCGGCTGGCAGCAGATATGCTCCGGAAAAAAGGGTGGAGCTTGGATGTCGAGCTATTTGCACCACCGCAGCGGCGGGAGAACACAAAGTGGCGAGCATTTATGGATGAGCTGGACATTCGCTTTCATGGTGTTTCAAGGAGTGGAGGGTTCAAAGATCTCAATGACGAAGCGTTGATAGCTCGCGCACTGCAGCTGGCCCACATGCCAATGGTGAATTGCATTTCCTTACTGGTCTCTGACTCGGATTATGTGGACCTTGTGGGTGAGCTGGCATTGCTCGGCAAGAGGGCAGTGGTGATTGTCCCTGAGAATCGTCTATCCATCCTCGCCAGATACAACGTCACTACAGCAGATGTTTGGCCATTGCCTTTGCCGGGTGTTTCCTCGACATTGGTGCAGGCGATTCTCCACAAGACAGGTAATGGCAGTGTGCAGCTGTGCGATAAATTGCTGCTGCCAAGCGTTGAAGACGAGGATCGTGCCACGGCATTGGCTTTTCTTGCAAATTTGGGGTACATCAGCGGCACTGGTGACAACATTGTCTCTTTGTCTCTTGCACAGCAAAGTTTTGGTTTCGGAATTTCCAGGAGTGTTTGGTGGTGTACCCAGGCAGCTTTGCGCTTCACACTTTGCTTGACCAGATGCGGACAATGAGTACATCGCAAAACCACCAGCGCTACAAGCAAGCTTTGGCGTTTGTTTTGCCCCAGAGAGGCACTAGGAAGACATCCATGAATAAGGCGGCTCGGTTGAAGTTTGGTTTTGCTTCCGCGGCCCGGGTGTTTCGCGGAGGCGGTCCCTTCATCCTGAAAGACTCACATGATTTGGTGGAGCGGGTGCTATCGAGGCTGGGCTATGTGGATGATCATGACATGAACGTGCAGAATGAAGCCATGCATGTGTTTTGCAACAGGTCTGGTAATAAGAGCTTTCTGCGAAAGCTATTGCTTCTTCCCTCTCAAGGAGATACCTACGAGGATCTCCGCAGAAAGCTCCATGGGGCATTTCTTTCCAGCAGAGCGGGAACTTGGGAGTTGCCGCCCTCGGATGAACAGGTTCGATCCCTGTTCCTGAAGAGCGGACGGCTAAGCTCCTCAAATGCTCCGCGCGAAGAAGTCCTGGTGGCAATGGCGGCGCATGCCAAGGAATGCGGCTGGCCAAAGTTGAGGACCTACTTGGGATATGTAAATCGCATTCTGACATCCCTTTCTCGGATGGATCCAAGCAGAAGAGACATTGTAGGCTTGCGGCAGACAAAGGTTTCTTCCGCGGCGGTGCTGCTCAGATCGCGTGGTTAAACATCCTGAACCCTCAAACTGGGAGTTCACCCCATATCTTTTGGGTGCTATCGAATTTTAAGTTGGAATTGTGCGGGTTCAGGGTGCCCACATGGAGGAAGTCTTTCAGCCTGCGACAGGCAAGGGGTAGAGCGTCAATGGGGGACCCTCCAAGAAATTGTCACCTTGACTATATCATGTGAGCCACTTGCTCAAATCCCGGGGATTGATGAAGGCTGGTAGGGGACAATCCCAACAAATTAATTCTTTACATAGTTCTGGGTCGACCATTTTCATATCGGGTTTTGATTGTGACTCATGTGTCCGCGAAGAAAAACAAGTCAACTACAGCTAGGGTTGCGAGGGCCATCTCGAAATAGCCGACCGCAAAATGTCTGGGTTTGTCCTTTTGGGCTGACTCCTCGATGTTTTGAGCATGCCTTGTGTCCAAGTGCTGAAGAGGCGCACTCGGTGTAGATACAAGCAGCTTGATCGGTGAGTGGCTCATTGACTCTTTTAATGCGAACGCGTCGGGATGGTTGTAGTCCGTTTTAGGCAAGGCTTTAATTAGCAAGCGCTTGTTTTAGAACTGTTATAAGGGTGCTTAGATTTAAGTCTGAGGTCGCCTCTTCCCACAAATCCATGTATTGGATTTGGGAAATAGCATGTGGGCTGAGGAACGCAGCAATGATTTGTGGTTGTTTCCGCCTTTCGTGCTGGTCCCTTTGCTTGCCCCAAAAGTTGGATGAACAGTATTCGCTCCGCGAATTGTAATGTACTCTGAGATTGACAGTTTCTTGGTCTCGTTTTGATGGCATCATTTGAATAGATGAAACCTGCACTTCCTCCGACCCTTTCACGGTGGTATCTCTGATAGAGTTTGCACACCCACAGGCTCCTGCCGCTTCCAATGGAAGACACAGACAGCTCCATTTGGACACACCGCGGGCTCCGGTGTTTGGTGGTGTCAAAACCTGGCTGTTTGAGTCAAGGGCCCGCGATCAATCGGGAGCCTTTGGGAAACGGGTATGGGTCAGAATCAAACCACCAGGATATGGACCGCATGTTTTAGTCCATGTCTCCATTTACCAGGGCAACCCATTTGGGGTTACCCTACTTTTGACCCGCAGCCATGTTTTTGTTTTCCGATTCCTGTGACGGCGCGCCACCCGTCCTGTGGGTTATGACCGGCCATCGCCATCGATCGCAGGTCATCGAGTCCCCGACGCAGATCCAGATCACCCCTATGCAGTCTCTTGGCCAACAGCTTGAGCTTTGTTTTGATTTCCCGGCACATGTACCATGTAACCTGGACTTCTTCTTTTTTTCTGGCAAGATGTGCGTGGAACTGCAGAGGCGGAAGGTTTGCGGAAGGTTTCGCGGAAAGTTGAATCTTGTCATCATTAAGAAAGGGCATTAAAAGCAAAGCTCACTTGGCTTAAATGGCCTTTTGAAGGGAAAGCCAGAGGAGGCTGTAGTCTTTAGACATGGTGAACCAAGGGATAGGTTACCCCCAGTTGGTGGTTTGGATTTGCGGCTGTGGAATTGAACCTCTGGCTTTTGAAGAGGCTAAATGGCCAAGCCACTAATCCAAACCACCAATCAGACGGAAGTTGAAGGGGGTTGGCCCCACGCGGCTAAATCGCCCATGATTGCTAGCTGCTAGTTGGCTCGTTAAAAGGTCCGGGCAAAAACGCGGAAGCGGCGCTTTTGATTCTTGATTTGCCTGGAATGCCGCAGAGAAAGCAGAACACGGATTGGCCAACTGAGTTGCCGGGGTCGTCTCAGCCAAAAGTCCACCCACACCTTCCTAGCGGTTGCGTGTTCATGAGTGCGCGGGCGCCAAAGGGTTACTCTACAGTTTATGGCTGCAGCAGACTGGCCGAACATTTTGTGTGCGATTTGGTTGGATCTATTGACTTGAACCTCTAAAGAGATTGTATTTTCCCACTAAGCAGCGAAGAAGTTCTCATGGAATCCTGAGTATAGGTACAAGGGGGGTGGGGAGTCGTGAGCCCCTTGCGGGGTTTTGAGGGAGCCTTTAGGGAACCTCCCTTTAACTCCCCCCCCCCCCGCCCCTGCCCCCCGAAGGGATTTTGATCAGGATCGACACCTGGAACCGGGATGAGATGAACATCTCCCACCCCTCCCGCTTCGTCCCCGGGCCGGTGCCTAGGACCGAAAAAACTCGGGGGGTTCGAGCAGGGCAAAAGTGGGCGGTTTCAGAGACCGTCCCATCCTTCTCACATGGCTGTGGGTCAAAAACAGGTACCCCAAATGGATCTCTGGTAAATGGAAACAGGGACTAAAACCTGCGGTCCATATCCTGGTGGTTTAATTTTGACCCACCCTTCTCACCTGCAACCTGACAGGGAAACGGTCGCTTGCCGAGGAGAATGGTCCAAGGACCCACAGACACGTCCAGGTTTTATGTTAGTTGCCGGGAGGCTATCTGAACCCCGCAGCTGGCGACTTGGATGTTCATGTCGCCAAGTGGGCAAGTGGCCAAATGGGATACACACGAATGACTGGGTGAACCGCCCTCTTTGAAAGGCTAAGTGGGTTGTAACCCATACCAACAACTTACTAACCTCGCCAAAGATCCAAGTAACTGGGCTCCTTGGCGGGCTTCCTTGCTTCGCTTGCTTCCCAGCTGAAAGCTGTGGGGTTGATAGGCCCAGATAGACTCTATACGGTGCCTTCGGGCAGCTTTCAGGGGTTCCGGGGAGGTTGGTACTGCGCCTTCTGGTGCCTGCTGCGGGATATCAAGGTCAGACACTGGAGAGGCTTGCTCTTCAACCACTGGAACCAGACAGTATTCGTCACCACCCAAAGGCTCTATGGGGGAGGTGCTATGGGCTTAAATATTGTGGCTCAACAAAGTGTCTTGTTTCTTCACAAAAAGTGTACCAACCAAGAACAATTGAAAACTCGCCCAGCGCGGGTCCTACCAAGGGAATTTAATGCCCCGTGGTGGGGCACCACAATAAACCAACCCACTATCTGGCAAAGTAATTCAGGATAGCTGTTGAACACCCAGCTCCCAGACCGAAGCCCAGTAAATGTTGGGCAGAACCCCCTCAAAATAGGCCCAGGTGGTACTTCCTTGTTGGTTGCTGTTTGGTTCATGTTGGTGGAATGAGGTGTAAAGATTACATACCAATCTGGGATCTCGTCATGTCTTTAGCATGTCTTTAATGTCGACCAACGTTGAAACAACAAGTTGAACAACTTTCTGTGTTGCGTGCCCGTGATATGGGTTTTTGTTTGTTTTTGAGGGACCCCCCCATTTGTTGGTGGTTTCCCTTTGTCCCAGAACACTACATCCATATCCTCGCTTGCCCAAAGCGAACAGAGGTCCGAAAAGGCTATCACCTGAGAATTGTCTGTGTCCAACAAGGGCAAGTGAGGCTGGTGTCCGATTGAAAACCCACGCCAAAAGGGTATATATAGCTGCTCAAACTGCCCTGAATGAATTTGGAGCTCACTCTGCAACTATAGGGCAATCCCGCATTCTTAAGGGTACCTGGAGTCTCCATGACCCCTAGAAAAAGGTTAGTTTTGGGTAATGACCAACCATTTTTACAGGGTCAGAAGGAAACTCCAGGGAGTCCCTTCCGGGTCCAGGTGCCCTATTTGTTTTTTAATCTAAAGGGAATTTCGTTTCAATTGGTGGCAATTTCATTGCATTTGGTTGTTGGTTTTAGTTAAAACCCTACGCACATCCTACTTCCAACAAAGGGAATTGCAATACTGATGGCACGCTTCCATGAATATGCAAATTCAATTGGGATTCAATCCTGGCTCCAAGATCAAGCCCTGGGGTTAAGACATCAACTTTGGGGTCTCTTGATTCAGGAACTGTGGCCAGGCCTCGAAGCAGTTGGCTCAAGGCACTCAGCTGTGGCCGCGCCACGCCAAGACGCTCAGCCACACCCTTATTGTTTTAGGCAGCTCCAATCCGGCTTCTTGTTGACGGGACTCCCCTTCACAGTCAAACTGATGGACTGTGCCACAGCCCCACAAGGCACCATTGATGCGCTTGCAAACATGGTCAAAATGTTGGACCTGCGCTCTGCGCATTTCACAACAGGCGGATGCAATCGCCTTCATTGAGCTTAGTTTGCTCTCGTGGAAAATAGAGTGGTTTGCGAGGGGCCACTTCGTTCTCTGACTGGGAGTAGGCCACCCTCCAAACCCGCCGCAATGTCCGGCTCTTTGACAAAACCTGGGCGCTTGAGGAAAACAACCCAAAATAAACAAACCCTATGTTCATCACAAGGGGTGGAGCTTATGGGGACAAAATGTGTTACAAACAGCTGTTAATTGATCCGAAAACCGCCCAACAAGTTTCGTTACAAGCCAGGGCGCCGCTTCTGGAAAGATGCTGGCTGCATTGGTGAACTTGTAGTTGGATGTAACCGGGGTCCAAGTCATAAACAATTTTTTGTCCTTTGGCTTCACAGTGAAGCCATCCTCAAGCTGCTCACCTTCCTCATCACCTGCCACAGGGTGAACATACAGCACTACTCCACATCAGCCCCAAAGTAAACAGCAGTAAAGAGCAAGCGAGGCCTGCGAGCGGAGTCATTGTATGCATGCACAACGTAGTGTCTGTGATGCCGGCATCCTGCATTTCGGCCATCAAAGATTTCAGGGTGCTTGGCTGGCTATCCTTCCAGCTTTTGCTTCCCTCAGATTGAATCTCAAGCACCACAATGTCAGAATCAGAACGCCACTCACAATTGCAGCCATAGTCCAGGGTGCCACCTGCGGCAGCAACACAGCCAGAAGCAGCGACCATGATTTTTCATTATGCGTGCTGGCTGACTGCTCCAGCACAATGTCAAAATTTGCAAATGGCAGCGCTTTTCTCCCCGATTGCAAGCTGACATGACAGTTATCCAAAGTAAACTGCGCTAGAAGTCAAAGCCGGCGTCGAGCATGCTGGACGATGGCCCTTACTTGCCAAAACGGAGTCAAACCCTATTTTCCTTGATTGCACTCTGCCGGCTTGACTTTGGACCCCCAGTCTAAACTTTGCCTAGTACGCAAAGCGTGCGAGGTCAGCGATGGCCTCGCCCCAGCAGGAGATCATTCGGTGGCCGCGGCCTCACCTTTGAAGCCGCCGCCTCGCCAACTCGCTGTCAGTCATTTTGGACATCGCCTCTGCTCTTGCAGGGTGAGTTGCCCACCTTAGCTAGTCGATGACATCAATGTGTTGGTACCAATTCCTATGGATGAGTCCAACACGCTTGCACCTCAAGATTGGGGCTGGGCTCAAAATTGGTGGGCCTACTTTTTTCAGGGTTAAGGGTTCCAAGCGACTCCAAGCCTCTTCCCGAGCAAGGTTGTTAGGGAAAAAACACCCTCGCCGTACTCCAACAAAGATCAATGCGTTGTAGTACTGCAATGCGTCGCACGTACTTTCCGTGTCGAGACAAAGCGCGACACTGAAATTAAAATTGCATATTGATTGCGGTCATCGATGTGGGAGGGACAATCTTCTTTTTCTTCAGAAAGGGGAAATTTGAAGGCCAATCCGGGAAAGCTGGCCAAGATCGGTACGTACTTCAGAGGCTTTGGCCTAAGCCACCCTGACCGTGCTGTACAGATCTTTGGGGCACATAACTGTTGTTTTCAGCTGAACCCCAACTGAATTTAGACGAAGGTCTCCGCACGGGCTGCTGCCAAGATCTCGGTCGCACTCTTGTCTGGGTGCTCGGCGGCGAGGCGATCCCGGGCTTCCTTCAAGTGCTTGTGGTAGGCATCCCGCAGGCTGTGGTTGGACTCGTACTTTTTGGTTCCAATCTCATCACCGTCCTTTTAGCGCACGGCAGGAATCTTCAAGGGTTATTTGTGGCAAATGACAGTTTGAAGAGGGATGGTCTTCTTACCAGTTTTATTCACACCCTTGTCCTTTTCTTTCGCGTTCTGGTCGATCTTGCGCTTGTTAGTTGCTTCTGCTTTTGCCTTTGACTTGGCCACTGCCTTGGCCTTTGCTTTTGCAGGCTTGGGTTTGGTAGGCTGAGGCTTCTTGGGTTCGGTCTCTTTCTTCTTCTCGGGGGGCTCGGGAAATTCGCTGCTTGGCTGAGGCTCCTTGGGTTCGGTCTTTGGCTTCTTCTCCAGGGGTTCGGGAAACTCGCTGCTTGGCTGAGGCTCCTTGGGTTCGGTCTTTGTCTTCTTCTTCTTGGGCTGAGGCTGCTTGGGATTGGGCCTTGTCTTGGTCTTTGTCTTCTTCTCCGGGGGCTTGGGAAACTCGCCAAGGTTGAGGGTTGAAGCATCGTCTAGGTCGGTGCCCGAAGCCAAATCCTCGTCCGAGTCGAGCGCCCCCTCCTGATTTTTGGGTCCTTTAGGCTTGGTTTCCACTTGCTTCTTCTTGCTGCCTCGGCCTCGCCCCTGCCCGCTGCCAAGGTCCTTGCCTTCGCCGCCGCCATCGCCGTCACGGCCGCGGCCCCGGCCACGACCACGGGCTTTGCCACGACCCTGCGAGGGCAGGTCCTTGTTGGACTCACCAGCTGGCCCCCCCCCAGTAGGCAAAGATTGCTTGAGCAAGTTCACTGCCTCCTTTGCAGCGGACTTGTCCTCCTTCTTTGTTGTCTTGAGGGTAGCCTTTGCTTCCTGTATTTTGCTCTGCAGGCCCTCCTGGTCCTTGGGGCTGAGATTTGGATTTGACGCTGCGCCATTTGGGGAGCTTGAGTTGAAGGGCAACGGGCTTGGCGAGGGCGTGGCCGTTGTTCTCTGGTTGGTTGGAGTCGCTGCAGCTCCAGGGCTGTCCGACATCATCTTCTCTATGTCCTGTAGGCTAGAGAACTGTTGAAGGCAAACAACATTCCTTGACAACCATGACTAGGACTTGAAGACAACGGTAGCCACGGACTATTCTGAATAAAAAGTGACCAGCTTCCTGTTTAGTAACGGCTTGCTCGCGCCAACCCTCGAGAACTCTCAGACCACCAACTGTTTTGCCAAACCTGTCCGCCCGCAAGCCATGCTTGGCCAACATAGCCTCCAATCCCTCCATGAGGGAGAAGGCAGCGAGGAGTAGGCAAATCCAGTACTTGAACTTGAAATGATGGCGGATTGCAAAGGGTCAAGTTGAATGATGTTTGTTTGGCATAGACATGTGATGCAACAACTCTCACAGTCAAGCCTGCCCCCTCACGGAGAAGCTTCGCCAACTTCTCATGCTTCAAGAAAGCGGATTTGCCATGAGCAATCGTGTACTCCGCGGGATCGAGCTCCAAATTGGTATGAGCAGCCTCGTGGTTGAGATAGATCATGTTTCAAAACAGTGTGTCAACTGACATGTGGTGTTTCCCGCAGGTTTTGATCAGGATGTGACACAGGAGGTCAGCGCCTATTTTACATGAAAGTGTTTCGCCAAGCAACCAACCAGAGCTTGAAGCGCTGGCCGGGCTCTGTTCCAAAGGTTTTGTTGTCCCTGGTGGCAGAGTTTGTCAAATACAGAATTCCGCCTGGCACGGCGGCACTGAATTTGTTTTCCACAATGTACTCCTCCAGCAACTTGTCCAGCGTTGCTGGCTCGTTCTCCCAAGGTGGCATCGCGGGCTCATCTGCCAGAGGCGGGGTATCAACCACCACGGCCTGCGTGATCTTGAACCTTCGTTACGCCAAAATGGGGGGTGTGGCGAAAAGTGGTTTCTGCTACGCAGGATCGAGACCAGTAACAAGATGATTACAATTGACTGAGGTTTAAAGAGGTACACCCTTGAGCTTCACAGAATTTGCTGTCAGGCCGCTTCGTGTCAAAGTCGGAAATGAGCTTGAGCCATTCTTCACAGTGTAACGGGTCATTCGCATAAAGACCCCGCACGCTGCTGGGCAAACTGAACTTGAACTGACCTTTGCCCTCGTCGGACACCTGTACAAACTTCATGGGGAAGTCTTTCAGGCGAACGCCAGGTAGCTGGCTAGGATTGGGCTCATATTTCCGGCAGTTGGCAAAGAGGGGCGAGGCGACTTTCCATTCCTCGAGCAGCGTATCAACGGTGGTGCTTGGGATTCACTGAAGCTTGAACTGAACTGTGGGAGAAAAATCGTCAAGTATGTTCCTAGAAAGCAGTGTTTGACCCTCGCAGTCCTTCAGCAACTCGTTGAGCAACACACGTTCTGAGAACGTCACGGCATCCACATTGGGGCTGATGGAAAAGGACTTGAGGAGGAAACTTCCCGTTCCATGGTCAGCCCTCCAATGAGCACACACATGCTCCAAATGTCCGTCATAGGGAGTGAAATTGACCACCCCACAGACTTTGCTGGATATCGGCAACTCATGGAGCAGGGCCTCCAGAATGAATCGCGGCATCTCTTGGCCTGCCAGGAGCTGAGCGGACTCCTGCGCTTCCGACAGCGACCTTGGAGGCAAGGGTTTGGGCAGCGGCGGGCAGCGGTTGGGTTGGACACTAAAGGGTCCAAGTTTTGAGTGTTGCGTCGGAACCCTTATAGCCAGGTCGCCGAGGCCCCTCGGCGGTGAGGGGCACGCTATCTTTGCCAGCGGTGGGAACCACATAGTTGGTCTCCGCCATGAAAGGCAAACTGTTCCTAATTGCCCTGACCAGGGAAATGATTGTTGGGCAGACCCAAGCAATATGGTTGGGGGGGGGGGGAACTTCCATTGAACACAAACACATTTTCCCCTTAAATGACACTGAAAGGAGCCTGCCTGTCTTGCATCAAGAGTGAGTTGTAGAAAATGTTGTCCGGAGCGCAAGTGTCGCACATAACCACCCAGGCACCGAAGTGGATGAGCACCCTTTTCTGCAAGGGAGGCGGTTCGCATCGCAGGCTGATGTAGAAAGAGTCCAATCCCTTCGCATCAAACTTGTCCTCAATCCTCCTAGCCACAGTGAAAATGCTCGACAAGCAATTCAGGTTTTGACAAGTCTGTGAAGTTTGGAATCTCAGGCCTCATTTCTCCTCTCAAGGACTTGACCTTCTCACTGATCAGGTGCGGGCAAATCACAAGCCCGACCGTGTGAGCCGGCTTTCGGCCAAGAGCCTTTTTGAGACGGGTTGAATAGTCATCAAGCTCCTTTCCATTGACACGCCCAAGTTTCATGAAGTCGCACCAAATGATGACCGCACCATTCACGCCGAAGAGGTTGGTCAGGAACTGCAAGGGCTAGGGCTTGAATTGAACAGACCATTTCTTATGACCACAAGCCGGTTCCCACACACTGCCGAGGCACACATTCAACTTGACACCCTCCCATCACCAACCAACTCAACCAACAAAGAGCAAGCCATCAAGCCAACCAGCCATCAAGACGCAATGCAAGCAGCCTGCAAGCCAGCATGCCAGCCAGCAAAGCAAGCCAGGAAGCAAGCAGAGCTGCAAGCAGCCGAGCGAGCAGGACACAAGCAGCCAAGGGAGCAAGCAAGCAGGCAAGCAAGCAAGCAAGCAAGCAAGCAAGTAAGCAAGCAAGCAACCCAAGCAAGCAACCCAAGCAAGCCAAGCAAGCCAAGCAAGCCAAGCAAGGGGCAAGCAAGGCAAGCAATCCAAGCAAGCCAAGCAATCCATGCAAGCCAAGCAAGCCAGTCAATCAAACCAAGCCAGCCAGCCAGCCAGCAAGCAAGCAAACAAAAGACCAACCAACCAACCAACCAACCAAACAAACCGAGCAAGCGAGTTTGAGCCCAGACAAGAACCATAGGAACCAGACCAGCCAGCCAGCCAACCAACAAACAAACAATCCGTCCAGAGCGAAACAGAACGACCCTTCATCAACTAGCTGACAAACCCCTAGCGACAACCAACTCGCCTAAACTAGCAACCCCTACGCCAGACCACAAAAAATAGCCGACTCAATCACAATAAGGGTCAGATTTTGACGACAGACCTCGTTCAGCTGCACGTCGGCGTCAGGGGTGCACAAGGCAATGTGCCGGCAGTGCTCCTGGGAATACGCAAAAATCACCTGAGCGCCAATCTGATTCTGCTCCTTGAGGTGCGTGAGCTTTGCCAGCCGTTGGTTCCGCTCAGACGACTCTGCCGATTGAAGCAACTTCGCGCACATGCTGGCATCACGGCAGAGCTTCAATGTGTCTGATTGCCACGCTGCACTCGACCGGTTTGTGTCGAACTCAGCGATTTTGTCCTCCGCGGCAGTCAGCGCTGAATCCACAGCAGCCTTGTCGCTTTGCTGTGGGAGGCTTTCCATCCACATGGACGTGGCATTGGGTCGGAAGCCCGTGTCACTCGCGGTCAGGTGGGTGGACAAGTCGTCTATGTAGTCCCTGGCAGTGACATGAAACGTTAACAGCACAAAACAAAGCCGGGCAATAAACTTAGACAAAAGCCATCGCTACAACAAGCAAACTGTTCCAAGCCAAAGGGCCCCTCAAGGAACCTCGTGCGCGCCAACTCGATGGCTTTTTCGTCAAAGACCTCTTTTGATTGCGCATCACGCGCGTCCGCCATTTGCTCGAGGATGTACTGCCCGACGCACGCTGTGTCCACCTCTTTGGACCATTGGGCAGCACTTAGCCGAACATTTTGCGAGTGCACGCTGCTTCTGCGAATCGCCAAGCCATGCAAAAGCATCACCCGCTCGACGAACAACTCCTGCTTCTTCTCCGTCATGTAAGTGATTTTTTGCCAGCATCCATCTCCAGCCGTACGAGACATTCCGCCAAGAAGCCATCGCTCATCCAGTAGGTGCTCTCGCCCAAAAGCTTCAGGGGGCAGCCAAGTTTTTCCAACAAGTGCCAATCTGAGAAGCTAACAACCAAATCGTTTCCGCACACAGTACAACGTGAGCCTGACCGCTCGACCCGGAACATGTGGAAATGGCGCTCCACTGCAGCCCACACTTTCGCGGACAATCCGACCTACAACCAGGATCAAACGTCTAAGCCGTGCGTGCGTTCTAAACTGTCAAGCCAAGTAACCTTCAGACCATACATGCGCAAAGCAGAGGCTTGGTCCACTTGAAGCTTGAGGTTGCTGGCAGCGCTGCCAAACATGTTGTACTCCTCAATTGCTTTCAAAAAGGCAGCCTTGTAGTCCAAGGTGTCCCCATTTGCAGCCTGCCAAACAACTATTGTTCAAATCGTTTTGAAAGATGCTGTGTTAAGATCTTAGCTCCCAACCGCCTGCAGCGACTTGGCCCGGGAATCAAACACCATCGTTGTCTGCAACATGTTCTTCTGTTGGCGCTGCGCTTGTTGCTGGGAAAGTTGCACTCGTCTAAACAGAAAGTGTTCTTCCCGGTCTTGGTGAACGTAGACTGCAAAGACGGTGCTGGCCGTTCTGATCCACCTGCGCAAGCCAGCTATTGAGATCCTTTCGCGATTTTCGCTCAGTTGTTTGGTGGGGGGAGAGGTGTTTCTAGGAGATCCAGTCTTGAGGAAAAAAAGGTGGGGCCAAGCCTTGAGGCTAGTGTTCAAGCTGAAAGGGCTGGGAAAGGGTGGAGGCGGGGTTCCCTAGCTTTAGCCTTTAAGTTTTGTCAGCTCTCTGTTTGCGCAGGCGGCCTACGTCTCCATCACCTGATACCTCGAGCCCGGGTGGGCTCAGTGTACGGGAGCGCCCCGTAATAATTCTACCCCTAAGGGCCCTTAAGGGTAGTAGGAAATGACTAACAAATTTGCTTAGCGTTTTAATGTGGACGGTAATGATCAACATTTGGGGGGCTGGAGCGAGAGCAACGAACATAACCCTAAGAAAAGCGAACAGTTCTTCCAACCCTGTGCCATGAGGGAACTAAAATGCTTCCTTTGTTTCCCTTAAACATCTAAGGGGGACACACGCATAACAAACTGAAATTGTCTCAAACGACCGTCCAGCTTGAGTTCTTAAATGCTTCAACACTGAGTGGCCTCTGCTACTCGTTGCTTCGCAAGTGTTCCTAGTTCCCTGAGAAAAGCTGTTGCCCTTCAAAATCGACTTGGCTGGCCCCCACAACCAATGTTCAAGGGCAAATCCTGTTAAACAAACAAAAGGTTTCTGAGGGATATTATGTCAATGAATCGTCACAGATTTTTCTTTGAGCGCGAGCGTTCATCGCGAAAAAAGCTGAACAAAAAGGATGCTCTTGGCTTCTGTGAGCCTCGCCTTCTACTCACCTCTCAGGGTCAATTGAAAACAAAGAGGCGCGTGAAGCGAGCTTCAAAACGCTCGCTTTGAGTTTTACCTTCCCAAAACGTCCCCCGCAGCAGTGGAAGCTTGAGTTACCAAAGAAGGGGCTCCATGAAAATGACTGAAACACGAACCCTTTTTGGGGCGATGTGGCGGCCCGGTCCCACAAAAAGGCTCCCTTTTGCCGAAACAGTACCCTCGGGGGAAAAAAACAAAGGGTTGATCCGCAACAGTTCCAGCTGCAGTTCCCCTGAAAAGGTTCCCTTAACAAAAGTGCTGTCTTCAGATTTGCGTCAGATTTTTCTCAACGACAAATTGGGCGAATCCTCGCAGAAGTACCAGCTGCAGTGCCCCTGAAACAGGTTCCCTTTGGCCAAACTGTAGCCCCGGGAAAAAAAACTCCAGCTGCAGTTCCCCGAAAAGAGCTCCCTTAACAAAACTGCTGCCTTCAGATTTGGGTGAGACAATTGAGACTAACCTCAACGATGGTTTGGGCGAAGCCCACCCCGCAGCAGTTCCAGCTGCAGTGCCCCTAAAACAGGCTCCCTTTGGCCGGGCTGTAGCCCGGAGAAAAAAAAACTCCAGCTGCAGTTCCCCGAAAAGGGCTCCCTTAACAAAACTGCTGCCTTCAGATTTGGGTCAGACAATTGAGTTTAAGCTCAACGACGGTTTCGCCGAAACCCTCACCCCGCAGCAGTTCCAGCAGCAGTGCCCCTAAAACAGGCTCCCTTTGGCCAAACTGTAGCCCGGGAGAAAAAAAACAATCTCCAGCTGCAGTTCCGCGAAAAGGGCTCCCTGAACAAAACTGCTGCCTTCAGATTTGGGTCAAACAATTGAATTTAGACTCAACGGCGGTTTGGGCGAAACCCTCACCCCGCAGCAGTTCCAGCTGCAGTGCCCCTGAAACAGGTTCCCTTTGGCCAAACTGTAGCCCGGGAAAAAAAACTCCAGCTGCAGTTCCCCGAAATGAGTTCCCTTAACAAAACAGCTGCCTTCAAATTTGGGTCAAACAATTGAATTTAGACTCAACGACGGTTTGGGCAAAACCCTCACCCCGCAGCAGTTCCAGCAGCAGTGCCCCTAAAACAGGCTCCCTTTGGCCAAACTGTAGCCCGGGAGAAAAAACCAATCTCCAGCTGCAGTTCCCCGAAAACAGTTCCCTTAACAAAACTGCTGCCTCCAGATTCCCGCAGCAGTTCCAGCTGCAGTGCCCCTAAAACAGGCTCCCTTTGGCCGAATTGTAGCCCGAAGAAAAAAAACTCCAGCTGCAGTTCCCCGGAAAGGGCTCCCTTAACAAAACTGCTGCCTTCAGATTTGGGTCAGACAATTGAGTTTAAACTCAACGACGGTTTCGGCGAAACCCTCACCTGGGTGGCTGGGTGGCTGGGTGGCTGGGTGGCTGGTGGGCTGGCTGGGTGGGTGGGTGGGTGGGTGGGTGGGTGGGTGGGTGGGTGGGTGGGTGGGTGGCTGAATGGCTGGGTGGCTGAATGGCTGGGTGGCTGGGCGTGGGTGGCTGGTTGGCGTGGGTGGCTGGTGGCTGGGTGGGTGGCTGGCTGTGTGGTGGCTGGGTGGTGGGTGGTGGGTGGGTGGGCTGGGTGGGCTGGGTGGGTGGGTGGGTGGCTGGCTGGCTGGCTGGGTGGCTGGGTGGCTGGGTGGCTGGGTGGCTGGGTGGCTGGGTGGCTGGGTGGGTGGGGTGGGTGGGTGGCTGGGTGGCTGGGTGGCTGGGTGGCTGGGTGGCTGGGGGCTGGCTGGGTGGCTGGCGGGTGGCTGGGTGGCTGGCAGTTCCAGCTGCAGTGCCCCTGAAACATGTTCCCTTTGGCCGAACTGTAGCCCCGAGGAAAAAACATGGTCTTCTTCCCTGTCTTCGAAATCATGCCAACAAGCACTGGTTCCTGGGGTGCCCCCGAAGGATTCTAACCTCCCATTGCGCCAATGTTCTTTTTGCTTGGGGGGGGTTCCGGCTCGTCGCACCTCCAAACAAACCCCGCAAATCTTTGCAACAATGATGGACCATGTTACCTATTTTGGGTCACCCTTTGCTGGTGGGGCTTGTTGACCGCCAGAGGACGACGGTTCCGATGGAACCCTCACCCCCTGGAAGCCCCCCGACAAATCCCCCTCTTATACCCTGAGGTGTAGTGTCTTTGGCAGGCAGCGTAGGTCCATTCGCAGGGGGCGACGGTTTCAACGGAACCCTCACCTTCTGAACTCCCTGGGTCTGGATTGTCAGAGGACGACCCAAAATACTCAAACATCAACTTGGATTTGCCTTCAAATTGAAGCCCCCAGGCCTGCGGAAATCGTTTTGCTCCTCTTGGCTCATTTTTGCCCAAAGCTCTTGGTACGTATACAAGATGCCGAAGAGAAGCATGGTCACCCTGCCAAACCCCTTGTTCGGAATCACTGAGCCATACCCAAAATTGCCGCCGGGCACAGGGTGTGTAGCCACCATTCTAATTTCCACCGCCTCTCTATGAATTTCATATCCATTCGCGTAGATGTCTCGAGCGTGCACCATCCATTCATCCCGAATGGGCCAGCTGTCAGCTGGCTGGGAAACGGCAAACGCAAGAACACTAAGTTCAAATGGCGTAGTGTCCCCCTGTGCCTAAGACAGGCGAGGGCAAACGACATGTCATGCTGTGCGCATGCATCAGAACTAACTTATTGAAAGTAACGGTTCAGCTTGTTTCATAGCAAGAAGCTGGCATTTTGGATTCGCTGGGCGGAGGATTGTGTGGGTATTCAGCCGTCATGAAAGTGAACAAGGGCTCATACATGGAGCCGCTTAGGTTCTCCACCACGTACTTTGCCGGATGAGCATCATGACGGGCATCAAAGCTCCTTGGTTGGCAAGCGACGGTCTTCAGCGGGAGCCCTTTGAGAACACCGTTTAAAACAACAGTTCAAGAAAGACTGATCTCGGGCTCCAGTGATCGGAAGATTCAAGCAAGAATGCTGGGCAACCCAAACGATGGGAACTAAACGAGAAGGGACAGCGCCAACACGCAAAGCAAAGGTAGGTCCAGCCAAGATGAAAAGCAAACACGCCGAACCTTACAAGAAACAGACTCCCTGCAAACACTGATAAGCCATGAAACAAAAACCGCAAAATGATTCTGCAGAATGTTGGAGAAGACCCCTAAGAACGTCGAAGGCTTCTAACCAAACCGAGAATCTGGACATCAGGTTACACACGAGCCCACCAAGCCCGCTTTCTCTTTCTAGTTCCCCGCTTTTCTCGCAAAATCTCGCAAAACATTTTGCCAGTCCTCTGATTGTTCCTGCAAATATCCTGATATTAGGTAGGAAGGATGTTTCCGGGCAAAGTTGCTAACCAATCCCAGCATAGCCTTCCAAAGCTTGTTTCTTGACAATTTTGTCCGCCGAAGCAATCTTAGGGTTGACCCGCAGAAGAAACAGTCATCAAATATTGTAACTTAGGGCGAAGCCTGGTAACCCTTCTCTGCCCTTTTACATTGAGTTGTTTGCTTCTTGTCTCGGGTTGTGATTCTGAAGCAGGTCCAAGGTTCCTGCCAAATAAAACAAGTCATTCAACTCCAAGCCACTTCCAATCAGCCGTGGCCACACCAAGCCAGTTTGACAAAGGGTTCCAGCAGGACTGAATTTGATCTCAAAACACAGGTTGCATAAGCACCCAGAAATGAAGGGGACCTTGTCAGAATCAAACACCAGCTTCGCCTTCTGGTGGGCCATGAAAATTCGGAGCAGCCGCGAATATGTAGGGTTTGCTTTATAAACACTGGGTGTTGAACTCATGAGGTTCTCTAGCGCCAAGAGATCAAGCAGGCCCGCCATTGACCGGACGGAACCCGGAAAGAGAATGGAGCAAGTTTGAAGCAGAACCTCTTGATGTTCCTTGGTTGGGCTTCAAGCAAGCCCTGAGAAACAAAGGCCCAAGTCAACCCAACATCTCTTTGTAACGTTTGTAACGCTGACCCCTGGTAAGCGCACTATTAAGGTGGGTCCCTTTTTTGGCCTCCCCGAATGATCAACGGTTGTTGTACTCAGGACCAACTGGCCTTTCAAAGTGAAAGGGATTGAACAATGCTGCTTTCCTTCTTGATTTAGGAAGCAGGTGTCTTTGCTGTCATGCTGGGTCCGAGAGAACAGTGAAGCTCCCTCTGAAAATAAACTGAAAGCTTTTGAGCCCCTGGCTCTGCTGCGTCGCAGATCCGCTGTGCCCATGGCCCCAAGGCCACCCTGCTGGCTTTGGTTTTCTGTGCGCTGGTTGATCCAGCCGCACGACGCTTACTCATGTCGGCTCGCACCTCCCGGACCCAAAGCAAACCACTGAGCTGAACTTGTGGCGGGAGACAGTCAGCGAGCATAATTATGCGTCAAGCCCATCCCTCCAAGCAGAGAAGCTGAGTTTCGGGTCCTGTTTTCTCACCTCTCGATCGATTGTGGGCGCACTGGTGCGCAGACATGAATGAATTTTGAATTGAACCCGCCCTCAGTGCTGAATGCAGCGGTTCCGAATTAAATCCAGCTGTGCCATGTGATAACTTCTGTTACTCAATTGGCATTTGGCCTTTTTTTCATGGCCATGAAAGCCAAGCAAACAAAGGATCCCACGCATGGCAGACTCATAGCGTTGCCTGCCATCCTTGTGATCTGTCCGGCTGGCACACCTTCAACGTTCAGCTGTGGGCAGTGGCACAACTTGGCCTGCCGCTTTGTTGTCGGAAGCAAGTGTGAGGCGAGAGCTTCCTTGGGGTCCATGCAGCGCTGGAGCTCCTGACAAGTGAGGCAGGCTTGGGAATTGGGAGGGATGAAAGGGTGGCCGATGGGGCCACAGTCCTTGTTCCATATTGTCCCAGAGTTGGTAGTGAGTGTCTGCAGGAAACCCCCCTTCACCTCGCATCGCCCACGGCCGTTGGCCACGATCTGCTGCAGGTCATAGAACTTCTTGTCGGGGTGCGCCGCCTTGTAGTTCAGCATGTTCCGCTCCTGCAGCGCTGTTCGATCAAGTCAAACGAGCGTTGTGAAGGCTATAGGACTCTCAAACAATTTCAACTGTCGATGCAGTATTGATGTTGGAAGCTGAACCCGAGGATTTAGTACTGACTGTTGGACGCTGAAGAGAAGTCCTGAGAAAGGGTCAGCTTGCTTGCCGGCTTGTCCATCCAGAAGTAGGACTCAGCGGTCAGGGATGGGTGGCACAGCAGGCAGGACAAGAGCTCATCCATGTTGATCTCCGTGTTCCACTCCACGGTTTTGGGGTTCCATACCAGGAAGTACCGACGCGGTCGGCTGGCACCCTGCCCAAAAAGCCTCGGGTCAATGACCTTGCTCTTGACGGACCAGCCCGGGAGGTTGGCCTTGACCACCGCCTCCTGATACTCTGGCACATTCTCCAGGATGCCGATGTCGAAGCTCTGGTTTTTGAGCATGGTGTAATAGGATCGGTGCGCTGTATAGCTGGCATCATTTTCCTCTTCGCCTTTCCCCATTCGGCTATATCCGACACACGGCGGCCCCGCAATGCTAACTTTCAGTCCTTGGATAACATCACAAGACATCTAACAACTAAAGTGTGATTGACACAGAACCCCGCACAAAATGGCACCCGTGTTATAAAGGTCTCCATCTTTTTTGAAAAAAACATGTTTCGGGAGTCCCAAATCTGGGAATACTATTTCAAACCAATTTCACTCAAATCCAGCCCTATTGGGGGGACCCGGGAGTACGTTTCCAGAACTACCGCCGAACTACAAAGTTACGACTTTCGAGGAGCTCTGGCAGCACGTTCCGTTACTACCTTCGTGCTACAAAGTTACGACTTTCGAGCCGGAGCTCCGGGAGTACGTTCCTGGACTACGGTCGTTTGACAAAGTTACGACTTTCGAGCTGGAGCTCCGGGAACACGTTTCCTTTACTACGGCTGCGCTACAAAGTTTCGACTTTCGAGCCGGAGCTCCGGTAGCACGTTTCCACGGTCTACTACAAAAAGAAAACGACTTTCGAGCCGAGCTCCGGCAGTACGTTCCTTGACTACGGTCCTACTACAAAATTACGACTTTCGAGCCGGAGCAAACAAGCTTACAAAGAACAAGAGGTATCTCCAAAACCTGTCCTCCAGAACCAGAAGAACCGTAATAACAACACATCTTGCTGGGCCCAAGTGTTTTTTTTGGCGTGGACACCATCAGGGGGAAGGGATTTGTTCAATGCCAAATCGAATGCCTAGTTGCTGGCGCCACCGGCCGGAAGCGCACACGCTTTCTGGTGGGTGCTGCATGTCATCTTCGCACACCCCGGCTTGTACTCCAGGATGTTGCTGTAGTTGCACCTGTTGCCAAACGTGTTCTTCAGGACTTTCTGGCAGCGAACATCCCACTCGCAGCTCCACAGCAATTTGGCTCCCTTGCAGGTCGGCGCCACCGACTTTGAGGACTTCCTCAGGAAGCGTTGGCCGGCAGCTTGGATGGAGAGGGTCGCCTCAGCAGGCAAGTTACCAGGGCTCAAGTGACATATTGGCACCCAATGCGCTTGTGACAATTGGATTGGACCTTGGTTGAACCTTTTCTGAACGCGATTTCCGCTTCAAGTTTTGTAAGTTAAGGGCCATCTCTGCGCATCCAACCCCCGAAAAGCAGGTAGAGGCCCCAGCTCCAGGATTGAAGCCGCTTTGCCACTGTGCCCGCCCCATACTGGCTGGCCAACGCGGTGAAAAACTTGTCAGCCCACTTGTAGGATCCCATCAGCGTTTTGGGGCCGAAGGGATGTTGGGCGCCGGGTTTCGCCAAGTTGGTCTTTGGGTAGTAGGACGGCTTCTGCTTGACGATCGTTTTCCTGGTATGCAAGGCCCCCAAAAGACCTAAATCGACAAGTCTATCACTGAATTGGCAGGGGCATAAGACAAGATCAAGGCTCTTTACCGTCACTTTCTTCGGCTTGCCCTGCTTCTCCAACTGTGATGTCTTGGCGTTTTTCCAAAGCATGCTGATAGCCGATTTCAAAGTCAAAGGTAGCACGCCCATGACAACCTACTACTGAGCCTTCTTCAAGCCAAATGGCATCTGTGCGCTACGGGTCAGGACAACGCAGTGAAATTGTTGTGAAGTTGGCTTCCCCAGTTTCAATCTCGACAACAGCCTGGTTCTCACCTACCGCCTCAGGCGCTCAGCTCTGTGACCTGGACGTGCCAGGAGAGGCCAGCCTGGGCGGGGCTAATTCAATCTAAGAAACTAATTCGAATCAGAAGCTTCGTGAGATCATTCTCCTGAGAGACACCTGGGATAGGGGAGGGGCCAGTATGTCCCTGACAAGTGAAATGCCCCTGCCTGATTCTGCGAAGGGTTCAAGGTTTTCGCATCCATGACCATCATTGATGGATTCGCAACAGTTGCCTGGCAGCACAATTGGTCCCTTGTAAAAGATGTAAAAGCAACCATGAGAGGACAGCCTTCGGCGAAGATGGAGAGCTGCAAATTGTTTCTGGGCTGGAAGGATTCAATGGGCTCGCTTTCTTGTAGATAGAGCTCCATGTGCCCGATGGTCGTCCAGTTGCCTGGCGGGCGCAAAACAAAAGATAGGGCGCTGTCACCAAACACAAAGCCTCGAAGACTTGGTCATCATTCAGTTGTGATTCAGCGGGAATCTCCATCGCCTGACCAAATTTGGGGTGTGAACGATGTCCGGTGAAGTGAGTTTGTAAAGCAAGCCTCTTGTCTTTCGGAAACACCAAGCTCTGGCCCCGAGTCCTGCAGGAACAACTTGTCCAGACAAAATTGCTTGCTGCGTCCGCCGCAACTTTGTCTGATCAGGCACTGTTGGTTTCAGCAAATTCTTGTGGATTCTGAGCAAGAGGTCCGGCGGCCCTTCCTCAGCGAAAAGGGAACCCCAGCCAAATTTGCGTTCAGCGCTGCTCACTGAGTGTTGTGTTGATGCACAAAGGTCAGCACTGTTGGGTCTGAAGCAAGGCAAGCGGCCCAAACCATGGTGTCCGAAGACTTTCCCTTCTTGAGCTCGCTGTTCTTGTTTACCTTCAAAACGACCGCGGGTGTGTTCGAGGGTTTAGCCCGTCACTCACCTTTGGAGTCCAATTTTTTTGGGCAAGATACCTGGTCGCGCCCCTCCTCCATCCTGACAACCCTCAGTTTGAGCCCCTGCCAAGCAGGACCATTTGAATTTATCCAATTGCTGCGCTCAAAGCTGAAGCCCTTGCGAGGGCAAATGATTGATGTGCGCCAGCATGCTGCGGCCTTTTACCCTAAACGGACCCGCAGCATCATTGCAGGGCACACTTTGGTGAGGGCCGAAGGCAAACACCTATCGATTGCCGGGGCAGCCTCTTCGCGGGCAAGCCATTCTAGCTTTGGAAGCTGTGAAATATCCGATGGCAGTGGCTGGGTGGCAATCTCCACTAGAAACTCAACGGTTCTTCGTGAGCTTTCTGTTGGCAAGCGGGAGGCCAGTACTTCCGCAAGACCAAGCCACTTTTCCTTTTTGTCCATTGGAGGACTACGGACAGGCCTGATAGTCACGGGCACCCTGGTGTTGAGGCGACGAAGGTAGTCATAAGGAATTGCCAAAATCGGTGCCTGGCATTGCAATGGACTGCTGAAAAAAACAATTCCAATCAACTCCAAACACTGACTGGCAAACCTGCGACAGCTCCATATCAGAGCAATACCGCTTCACAAGGACCACCACGTCCTCTGGGTGCTCCGCCAAACGCTGGGCGCCAGGTCCACTGGCTTCGATCTTCATCCGTGGCGGAAGGTCTGAGCGGCAGTGAGCGATTTTAATTTGGTTGGGACTAGAATTTATTGAATAGTCTGGGTTTCGGTAGGGTCAGGGTTGGGCGGCGGTGGGTGGGTGGCGGGCAATTTGAAATGGGTGTGGTCGGTGGTTGATGGTGGTGTTCCTGGGTGGGAGGGCTGCACCTATTGATGGCTGGCTGGCATTTATTGGGGGGTGTCTTGATCAACCCGTGATTGTAACTCCCCCAGTACCAAGTTGTTAGCGTATCAAGGGAGTTGTTGAAGCCTAGCGCGTTGCCAAATAGCAACCGTCGAATCCAACAACGGCTGCGAGCGCGGGTTGGGTTTGCAAGATGCTTGTGGGGCCCTGCCTTTCCTCTTGAGAAAGATGAAGCCGTGGTTGGCTGTGACATCATCTTTCAAACCACCAAAGAATCGGATCTTCAGTTGGCCCAACCTTAAAGAGGCCACACAATGTGTCGCCTGTTTTGTCACAAGGACAGCAAAATGCGACTGTTCAAACATAGCAGCCACTGTTTCCAGTCCCGAACGGCTTGCAAGTAGTGGACGCGGATTGTGGCCCCCTGTCCGATGAACTGTTGAATGTCCAGCTTTGCGCAAATAGCCGTCAGCTTCCTGGCGCGGCGCCATTGATGCGTGTTGCTTGGGTGGGGGGCGGGGGGGGGGAGGGGGTGGGGGAAAGCAACCCTTGCTGTCACTGGCAGTTCAGGTTTCAGACACGATTCGTAACTGCATCTTGTGGATCAGCTAAGACGTCGATGTACCGGAAAGCCGAGGCTAGGAGTCCAAAAAGCTGATCTGCAGGTGTTCAAAGGTAATCACACAACAAGGTCAAACACTATATATAAAACACTATGATGATCAAAGCACCTTCAAAATGCAGCTTTTGTCAGCCACACCTAAAGGACCATGTGTATGTCCAACACGAGCGTGGAGCATCATTGTGGAGCGAAACTTGAAGATTGATGTCAAAGTCCCTAGGAGAGCCAGCTGACAATTGTTTTTGGACTCCTTCACGGTATTATCTGCAAAGAATGCCAGGCTTTGGGGCAAACATGCCCCTTGCCCGGCAAACTTTGCAGCAGCCAGCTCCAGGGTCTGCATCGCACATTCCGCCACTAGGCTAGAATCTCCTGCTTGACGGGGGTCCACAAGATACAAATCAAGTGACACGTTGTGCAGCCAGCATGCCTGCAGCTTCAGCTTTGGACGTTGGAACTGGCCCATAGACTTCGTGGTGATCCCCGAACGTAAACGTGGCAGAGCCCACTTCGCCTGATCCATTCCGTCCTTGGAGTTGAGGAACAGGTCCAGGGTCCAAAAACTGCGTGAAGACTAGCTAGTGCCAGTCAGGCGGCCACGTGCAGGAAAAAGGTCGCGTCAGACCCGTCATAGGGATTCTGGGCCTCGGGCAAGCAGGGCCGAATAATTTGTTGTTGGAGGCACTTGAAGCTGGGCAACAAGCCAGCCAAGGCACTGCCAACAAGGTTTCAACTTGTCTATCACGGGCAACACCATCCAAATGTCGCTTGTATTCCCGCACCGCATCGTACTTGGATTGCAAGTCCTTGTTCGCACCAAAATGAAACACTGAGGGTAGCAAGCAAAGTTCGGAGGAGAGTGTGTGGGAGAGTGAGAAAGAATGCCCATTTCCAAACAGGCGCCCTCTACCCCTCGTGATATAGCACTGACTGTTAAGGTGTGGGTGTGCGATAGCAAAAAGGCAAGGAGCTCAAGGCAATGGGCATTCTAGTCACTCACCAACTTAAGCATGCGCCAAGCATCCTGAGCAGTTGAGAACGCTTGCTTTAGCATTGAGCAGTCATCGCAAGCAAGCTGGGACCCAGGGCAGGCAAAACCCATAACGTGCTTCCACTTCTCCAGATACCGACGGCGGAATTGCTGATACCTCGAAACTCTGACTCAAAGGCCAACGACTGCCGGTGAAGGGTGATGCTTTCATTGCTAATTGCGGGGTAGGCTCGAACACTTCTGACCAAACTGGATCCAAAGCATTCGCAGGTTTCCAGGTGGCAGAAGCCGATAGGGAAGTTCCAAGGTGACCTCCGCAAGATTGGTTTCCACAAGCCTTGGCTCGTGCAACCAAATTGTCAACCGTTATTATGTCTTGAAACAGTTGTGGTCCGCGTTATACTCTGTCATTCGAGCAAGTGGCTTTGTGTAGAGCAACTGATGGCTCATGCAATGAACCTTGAGCTCTAGATCATCTTCTAGACGCTCTTCAGCGAAGTGCAAAGCATCATTGTCAAGCGTGTTGTCGTCTTCAAAACCTCGGATAGGGCAAAAGCCTACGCCAGTTTACTCAAACACTGAGGTGTGAACAGTTGGGGCAAAGCAACTGGCAACTTCGTTAGCCCCATCGGTAGGCCCGTCAAGAGTCACCAAAGCCTCCTTCATGGTTGCTTTGCGACTTGCCAGCCCACGCTTCTGGAACCTAGGTCCATGGTTGAATCCAAGTTGGTTTCCTGAAAAACTCAGTGAGTGGCTTGTTTGGCAGCATCCCGCCAGCATTCACATACATGTCCAGGAAGAACAGGTCCACTTGACGGCTTTTGACAGCAGGCCGCACAGAAACCTAGGTTGACACAAATAAGAACCGATTCAGTTTGACAAACAGCCTGTGTGCAAACAGATGTTGCCAGCTTAATTTTGTTACGTGGCTGCCCCTGTGCATGAATACCTTCTGTCCACTTTTCCCCGGATGGCTTCCCAAAGACGGCGCTCGTTGATACCAATTGCTGCAGCCAAGCATTTCGCTGACATGGCAGCTCCAAGCAAGCGCCAAATCTTTTGCGCATTCGCGCCACATGCTCCGCGAGCTTGTTCGTGCAACTCAGTTTCATGACAGGGTTCAACAAAGAAGCGGCTCGTGAATCACTTCTTAATGGAGACCTTGAAATGTGTTCCCCCAACAGCCCGCTACCAAGCATCAAACAGAATGCATCACAGGCGCATACATATCCTGTTGGAGCTTCCGCAGCCCCCAGAAGACATCCAAGAACATACCAAGATCATCTGTGTGTTTTTCCAGGCCCCGGAAGCAGCCCTTTCCGCAGCGGCATGTTGACTTCATCATTTTGTTCACGCGAGTTCGGTCCTTGCCCCGTATTTTGTGCCTTGGGTGACCACTGCCCAACAAATAAAATGCTAGCTAAAGGGAAGCGAATCAAAAGACTTCAGAGGAACACAACCAAAATCCAACTTCGAGCAAGGTGCGCTACACGCAAAACTCTCTTCTTGTTCAACGCACGCATCCGGTTGTCATAGTTGGGCCTTTTCCTTGAGGGTGGTGCTTCTTGCCCTCGTCCAAGGATCCCTTTTGCATCAAACCCCTTCACAGAGGCCAAGGTAAAAAGTATCTCTACAACCGGCGCAGAAGTAACTGCAGTAGCTGATGAAGAAGCAGGGTTTTCCCGTTCCGCACTCACCAATGGCTCTGGGATGCATGTCCGTGCAGCCGCCAGCTGCCGTAAGTAGGCTAGGCGAGGCTCCTTTGAAGTACCCACGCCTATCACATGTTGTGCCTGTTGGGCAGGTCCAGGTACAGCAGTGGCGGCATTGGGTTTCCCAGCTAATGCTGCAAAAAAACGTTTCCTATCTTGGGACATGCACCAGCGTTGAGCAGCTGGCAGCTGCGTAGTAGCCAAGTGTAGAAGCACAAAAGACAACCACCAAATGCGAGGAAATCACACCCAAATGTCATGAACATCTCATTCTATTAAAACAAAAAGCAAAACATCAAACATGAAAAAAGGAAAAACAAGAAAACAACAAGCCGCGGCCATTTCTATCTGGAGCCCTCGCGCGCCTCGCGCCTCGCGGCTCGCAGGACCAGCCTGGCGCCGCGGGAAGGCCCGGACGCCCTCTACTCGGGCCTGCTGGAGTGTCCGGTGACCACCCGCCTCACCAAGCACGCGCCCTGGCCTGGGGGCTGGGGGAAAAAATAGAACAAAACACCGCCCTGCCCTGGGGCTGGGAAAAAAGAGAGAAAAAAAAGAAACGCGTGGCCCGCGCGGTGGCTTCGGTTTGTATAGTGGTTCAACAATAGGTACCCCAAATGGAACCCTGGCAAGTGGAGCCATGGACCAAAGCCAGCGGTCCTATGGTGGTTTCATTTTGACCCGTACTCATCTAGTTTCGACATGAGTTGTTTGGTTGGGTACCACAAGAGGGGGCTCCAGAGCCAGCACCCATGGAGGTCCCGAGTCTTTCCCCCTTCAATGGGATCGGGTGCGAAATCTGATGCTTAGGGTAGAGAACCAACTGAGTGGCTGGACAGAAATCCCCGGTTGTTGCTCAAAACTGGGGGGTGAATTCGACTACCTGGAGTCTCCATGACCCTTTAAAAATGGGTCCATGACCCCATGATGTTGGGTCATGATCCCATGATGTTGGGTTATGACCCCATTTTTCAAGGGTCAGAAGGAGAATCCAGGTAATGTTTAAAGCTTATGAGGGTTGGTTCAAGGTGAGCGCCTCCTTTTGCGCCAAAAATGAAGCGCCGAACCGCCGAACTGAGGTGGAAGGCCTTGCATCCATCCGCCTCAGCGGCAGCTGCGCAGAGCTTCCTGCCACAGGCGCAAAGTTTTCGGCGAATGGAGTTGTGCTTTGGGCCTTCGCCCCACGCACACACTTCTATTTGGTCAAGGATGTTTTCCCTGTTGATTTGAAAGGGAATCTATCATCACTGGAAATTTGTATATATATATATATATGTTCCAGGCTTCCTTGGCCCCCCCCCCCACCCCCCCCCAATGGTCATGCTCAGTCGGGAAGGTAGCACAGCCCACCCCCCCCCGCCCCCCTGTGGGAATGGGGGGTGGGGAGAATGGTGGCACAGTGTGACCGCAAAGCCCCCCGCGACCATGGTTCCCACACCGCCCGCTGGGGTAGCAAGTAAAGTGCGTTTGCCACTGGCGCGTTGCAGCGCACTTGGTTGGCACTTGGTTGTGGCGCTGCAAACCACAAACTGCGTCGTGGCATCGCGCAATGTCAATTGCGACAGCGCTGCAACTTGTCGCGTGCTGCAAAATGAGCAAATCGCATTGCAGCGCATCACACGAACAGCGCCGCAAACGCGCCCACAACGTCGCGCGCACACTGGAGCAAGCCGCCCCACAAGCCCCCCCCCCCCCTGTGGGGGGCGGGGGGGCCCCCTGGATGGACCCATACCATTGGAGGGGGGGGGGGGGGGCTGGGGACGACGGGCGACGGGAACATATATACATATTTAGGGGACTTGAGCACAGCGTTTGTGGGAGAGGGTACCTGGAAGATCAATTTCCTCTTCAACCTGTCAGGGCCCGCCATTGAAGTGGTTGAACCGGATCTGCATTGGTTTTGATTTTGGTTTTGGACCTCAAGCACAGTGTTTGGAGAGCCCGTTTGATGTGTGGTGGGGGGTTGCTTGATTTTTGGGGAATGTATGGAGTAGATCCGCCTTCAAGATCTAAACGGCTTGCTGGGAGGAAATTCCCGTCGCAACCTGGGAACGTGGGCTGGGAAAAGGAGGCGCTTGCTGCGTGCAACCCTGGTTCTGGGCGGTAACCTGTAACTTATGATATCAAGAAAATAATATTTGGAATCTGAGCCAGATGTTAGTGGTTTCCCAGGGAATAGTGGTGGCCCAGACTGCGGATCAACGGAAATCGGATTGGGAGTTTCTTTTATTTAGAACAGCCCAGTTTGCTCCTTGTTGGCTTAGTCGTAAATATAAGCTGTTCAGGTTGCAAGCTTTGAATTCCGAACATGAGCTTTGCAAAACCCCAAGTCGGGCTGGGTGCAGTGAGCTTGAGTTTCCATCCAAAGCTGCAACCAAGTCAGCTCCTCACCAGTTGCTTTCCTGTTGGCCGATTTTTAGTTGCCCTAGGAACGATGTGTCACGGGCAAGGTTCAAAAAGGGGCAACCTTTGATTTCCACCTCAACCTCAAACTACCCTTCAAAATGCCAATTCGCCGCCCATTTGTTGGTGTTGCCATCACCCACGTTCAAGCTCCTGGACCCTCCACATGCCCTCAAAAATGGGTTGCTTGCCCCAAAACTCTTGGACAACCTATTTTAAAATCCTTTTAAGGGTCAGTTCGTTCGGGTCCTCGCAGGCCCGGGCGACCTCCCCTCTGAGAGCTCCCCCCAAACGCCTCGAATTCGGCGCGCGCTCGCGCGCGAATTCGAGGCGCCGAGTGCCTGGAGCTGGCGAAGGGCGTCTTGCCCAAGAGCTTCCGGCTGCGCCTGGAGAAGGGCAAGGATCCGCTCGCGGAGCCTCGCGAGGGCTTCGGTTCCGAGTGAGCCATAGGTGTTCTTTTTTGGTTGTTTGGCCAGAAAAATGGAGGGCGATTCCCTGGCTTATGGTGGTTTCATCATCTAGAGTCATCCATTGTCTTGCCAGAAAAGATAGGTGGTTTACCTGGTGGTAAACCAAAAGATGGTGTCCTTTTGGGTTTTCTGGTTTTCCTGGTGGTTGAATCATCTACCAGGGATATCTATTTCCCCTAAAAGCAGTGAGCGGTGCGGTGGAGGGATGCGGCACTCGGCCGGGGTCTCGGTTTGATGATGGGGGCACACAAGTTTGCGACGAGTAGCAGGTGCAAACCCCAAATTGTTTGTGTGCTGCCCACCCCACTTGTTTGTAGATTCTTCGAATAGCAGGTCCTTTGTTTCTTTGTTTCTTGGTCTGTTTGTTTCTTTGTGCGCTTGCTTGATGATCGCCTTTTGGGCTGGGGCATTCCCGTCAGCTCCAGATACCACTGAACCTGGTTTTTTGAGGGTATTCCATGGTTTTGCAATGGTAAAGACCGACCCCTTTCTTAGTGAAGGGTTGACATACCCTGACAAAAATCGGGTACAGGGGGTTGATTTTGGACCCTCAAAGCAGGCTCTCACATGAGACCCCGAAAGCAGTTCGGGGTCGCGGTGTGGGATCGTACTGACCAGCTCCAGGATCGAAGGCAAGCTTGCCCAAGACCTGGTTCTTTGAGTACCTGGACCCTCAAACTGCCCCTGAAAAAGGTTCTCACTTGAGCTCCTGGACTTTCGCCACTTTTGGTAAGACCATTTTCGCGGTGAATAAAAAGTCTGGGACTTTTTTGGCCAGTGCACTCAGGAGGTGAGAGAGGGGTTTCACCCGCCGTAATTTTGGGGCAAGTCCAGGTGACAGGCAATGCTTGGGCTCGTAGCTGAGAGGGTGGACCTCCGGCCCCATGATGTTGCCATCAAAGTCACCCGAATCAAGTGGTAGGCTTTTCAGGCGAAGCCACCAACCATTTTGTGACTTTAACTAGAAAGAGTCAACATCATGATCTCCTCACGTTTGGTTTCCTATCTAGGTCCCCCAGTAGCTCCCTTTTACCCTTTTTGTGGGAGGGTTCCCCTACTAAAATCGACTACAGAAAAAAGTTGGTACCCTTATTCTAATCTCTCCAATCTGGAGGACCTAGCTATAGTCCATGTTTAGTCATAACAGAAGGGTCGTCTATTTTCGACGTTACGCCCGAGAAGCAGTGGAAGCCAGATCAAAGCTCGCAGGAGCCCGGCTGCTTCATCTCCAGCCAAGAAGTGGACCAGGCCATCCTACGGTTCCAGGCGCTGGACCCCGCCCCGTTGGCATCGTCCAGCCGTTTCGATTTTCGGGAGCAATGGACTAATCTGCTTGGAGTCTCCTTCTGACCCTTTAAAAACGGTTGGTCACTACCCGAAAGCAAAGGGTCATGACCCCTTTTGCTAGGGCTCAGAAGGAGACCTGTTTTCCTGTGCCCACCGCACCTTTTTTGGTAGGTTCTTCCAGTGCCTGAGCCAGGCTATGGCAGTGATTAGGCACCGCCTTTGTTCATTTGCTCGCAGAAAATGTGTATCCCACTGACCGGCAAGCAGTCAAACAAGCAGTGAACCTCAGCAGTGTATTTCCCCCAGCGATCTGCAAAAACGAAAAACCTGGACCCTCAAAGTTCTCCTAGGTGTTATTGCAACCCACAATTATGGCCGGTGAAATCCATTGGTTTTCTGGGTGGTGCTTTCGGGTCCACTCAAACAAAAAAAACTGGTTGGGCCGGGTCGCTCGTCGCCAGTCCCGCCGCGTTGATTTGTTTACCTCCGACTCGCAGGGCCCCTCGCTGCACAAGGCGCGGAGTTGGGGTCGGAGAGCCTAGGCAGTCCTCAAGTGATGCGAGAATCGGACCCCAAAGCTGGACCCGAATGAACTACCTGGATAGCCAAGTTGCTGTCTTGTTTCAGTCACTGTTGTTTTTAGTCACTGTTGCAGTTGTTTTTTTTCCAGGTACCCGATAAAACGGGATTTCACCAACCATCATTTTGGGCAGCAGCCCATTTCTGAGGGTAGTTTGAGCCCAGGCAATCCACTATAGTAGTCACTATAGTAGGCACCCTTCTCGAACTTAACACCATGGTCCTTGCGCAACTTGCTGGAATAATTCGCGGGGGAGGGGGGGTTGTCACCCGGGGCCCGGGGTCATGACATTGGTCATACTAAAAAAGATGCACAAGGAACGTGGAACTTAAAACCTGGCTTATGGTGTCAACCTGGCTAAACCATGTGGTGTTTACCATGTCTGTTCAACATCTACACAGAAAACAACATGGGTATTTGAAAGGGCATCAACATGGCCAACATTAGCCCAAAAGGGAGTGGTGAGTTACTGGACTTTAGTCACTTTTTCGGGCTGGACTATTTTAGTGGTAGACAAGAAGTTCGTTTGTTTTTTTGGGCCATCCACTCAGGAAGTGATTGGTAGATATCCTGGTTACATGCCACGGCATTGACCTGAGGAGCGCAGAAGTTCCTTCCGCGAATCGCGGAAGGAGTCGCCAACGCTGGGGACTTGCCGCCCGGCCTGAGATTTCATATGTGCGCCATGGTCAAAGACCGCTTCCTTTGCTTGGGGTTAACCGGGATGCTCATCCACCTGGTACTAAGAAACCTTAGTAGCCATTCTAGCAGTTCCTTTTATTTGAGCGGCCTGGGGCTACACGGCTGAACAGGACTTGATGCGAGCACGAGAGGAGTATAACAGTTCGCATGAAGGGAGCCATGACCATAGCCCGTAGAAGGAGTTTGACACTGATAGAAATTCAGTCCCTGAGTTCCGTTTCAACAATACTCCAAAAAGCGGGTATTTGGAGTAGGGGGTATATTTGGGAAGGCCATTCTAGTGGCAACCAATTACTTTTTTTGGCCAACCCACGCAAGACGTGAGTAGACGTTCAGTCCCTAAGGGGAAACCTAGGGAAATCCCATAGAGTTTGTTGAGTTCACCCTTTGGGCAATTACAAAAGGTATTTTTCGGGGGGAGGGGGCAGGGAGGTCCATGTCTGCCAGTAATTATTTTGTTTGCATGGTTGATCCTCTTTGGGCGCGGAGAAACTCTTTAAGCATCAGAAAGAACCCTTCAATGCAGGCTGTGACCTGCATTCGAAGCTTTTGGATGCTCAGGGCCCTACTCTGAATTCTCTCCTCATGATGTCCTATTTGGGTGGAGGGTACCTTTTTGTTAAGGGAAGCCAAAAGGAAAGCCACCATGTTGGTATTCCCCAACAGGACACACTCGTATAGGGTAAGCAGAATGTGGGAAGCCGGAATCCAGCAAGATCTTCTTGATAGATTTTGGACCCTCATTTCTGGCTTGGCTTGCGGATGCCCTCAAAACACCACAATGCGGTCCAAAACCAAAACCAATGGGATTCTTGGGCAAGTACACCATCCACACCATCCACACTGCCACAGCACCATGGCACATTCGCGTTGCCTACTTGCGGGGCAGCCATGACTTCTCCCCTCTGGAACATAGGAGTTGACGATATGATCGCGGGAATTCTTCTCCCCTCTAGCACCACCTAAGAACCGCTGGAATGATTTGATTCCCCCTGTAAGTATCCACAAGAAAGGGGGCTTCATACTGTGGATGCACGAAATCCATTTCGCACCACCCAGCAAAGCTTGGGATGATGGTTCCCCTGCAAATACCAACCAATAGTTGTTTCAACCATTGTTTCAAAGTGGCGCGAACGGATTCCGTCCATCAGTCTGGTTTCAAAGTGGCGGTGGAACTGGATTTCCTCAGGCGGGACCAGTGCGCAGCGCTTCCTCGCGAGCAGTGCGCCCTTGGTGAACGTCACGGTGCAGCTGGACGGGGCGAAGAGGTGGAGGTCCCATCTCTCAAGGTGAAGCCCCGTTTGGGGGGAAAGCACGAGAAACAGATCTGGCCAAGGCAAAGATTCCACCACATGTTTAAGCCGCTGCTTCAACATATGTTGTTATTCCTTGAATGTTTCTTCACCACAAACATGGGGGGCACCCTGAAAAGAAGAGAGACCCAAAAAATGTTTATGTAACGCACCTTCTTTGGGTTCCCCTTGAAAGGAAGGTCAAAGGCTGGTGGCCAAAACTCGTTTGGCCCCCTGGTGGCATCGCGGGAGTGGGACTTGGACGCTGGCACATTGGTGTTCTTGGGCTCCCGGAAAGCCATTCTACGTCCTGGTGGTTTCCAGCCATCCGGAGAAAAATGGCAACCCCCAGTAAACTAGGTTAAACACCAGTAAAGAACTAGGTCCCCCAGTAGTGCCCTTTTACCAACTTTTTTTGGGGAGGGTTCCCCTGCTAAAATAGACTGCAGAAGAAAATCGGGTACCCTAACCTCTGACCTCTCTACTAAAAAAGCTAGACAAAAACAAAGGAACCGAGAAACCCCCCAAAGGAACGCAGCAAGTTAGACTGTTGGTGGGGGATCTGAAAACGGACCGCCCAGTCGTTGTGCACCAAAGGCACCCTGCTCCTCCGCTTTGGGCTCCCGGACATGCCCCGTGGCCGTGCCCTTGAAGAATATGGCTGTGATTGTCAAAACCGTTTTGGGATCCCATATTGGTTGGTAAGTGAATTCACCACACAAAAACATCGTCGGGATTTTAGTGGTTGGATTGGGCTGTTCACTGGGGGTACGATGATTTTGACCCTTGGCCATATGATTTGGCCCGTAACAATGGGATGTCACCAACCATAATTTGGGCCAGCCACACTTTTGCCAAATGGGTATGAACTTTAACGGGAATGTGGAAACGCATCCCCGCCGAATTTTGATATCCGCAGGGTCAAACACGTGGGGTGTTACAGACCCCTGACTTTTGTTGTACCAGGTCAAGTCCCAACGGGGACTCCTGTTCATCGGGAGTTACAAGCAGGGATATGTACATATATGTACACTTGACCCACTACCTCAAGTTACCACTTTCGGAGAACGGGTAACCATTTTTTCCTCAAGGTTTTACCTACTATGGTGCTAACAGGAAGCACTGAGTTAACCAGGCTTAGGACCAAAATTCCACGGGTGAACAGTGAACAGGGCTGCTCAAGTTTACCCCGGACCGATCCCATTGGTGTTGGTTTTGGTTTGTGTTGCCTCATTGCTGGATGGTGCAATTTTGCTTGGATGTTAGGACTTTAACTTTTTGCCAACTAATAAGTTTTTCATGAAACCACTAAAACTCGAATTTTAGCAGGGGAGCAGAAAGCAACCGAGTTGTTGAGGTTCGGTTCGATGGCAAACACAGAGCCCGGCGCGAGGACTCAGCGCACGACGTCGTCACGCTGACTCTGAGCGCGGGCGACGGCGCGTGGTTCGGCGTGGGCTTCGGCGCTACGGCAATGGGGGATCGGCCCTGGCGCCTTGGCCGAGTCGGAGGCTTGAAGAAGCCATGACTTCCAGTTGCTTAAGAATATGTTTTGATTTTCCTCCGTTGGGTTTTAAAGGGAATCTATCACTACTGGAAATATATATATATATTTGTCCAGGGGTCTTAACCAAATGGAAGATGGACAAGGCGCCTGGACCGAAAAGAAAGAACTAGGCAGAACTCACTCCATGAGTTCCTGGGCACTGGAGCAAAGTGGGTTTCTTGGACGATAGTACCAACTTAAAGAAAAAGGATTCACCCCCCCTCCCCCATTTTGGGCACATATACGTTCATAAACAGGAATTTGAGGATTCAGGAACATATGTTTGGAGCAGTCCCCAGATTACTAAGGGCAAGAACCCGTTTCTAAGGGTATAGCACTGGTAGTCGACTCGAGGATTGCTACCCAAAGCATCAGACGAGCAGAGGTTTGCGGCCCTCATTTTAATTTCAGACATCAAGGGAGGTCCCCAACACCCCCTTCAAGATGCTTAGTGTTGCTTGCTATTTGTGTGCCTGACTGTTGTCTTTCTCCGCCTTTCAAGTAGCCAGCAGGAAGACACTGTTCAACTTACCTACTACCAAGCCAGCCTTTTGGCCTTGGACAAAGTCTGCCAAAAGGTTCTTCAGGGCTTCCCGGATGTCCAACTCGGGAGGAACAAAAACGGGCCGGACCCTCAAACTACCCGTGGAAGAATACGTTGCCCAAACCTATGGTTGGTGATCGATCCCTTTTTGATGGGCCTTTGGGTTCTGAAGCCTGAGGCTCTGAGGTCCCTCCCCCTGGAGCCCCTCATATTCATTGGACCTTCAAATCTACGCAGTTCTACTAGGTCCCCCAGCTAGGTGCCCTTTCTCACCCCTTTTTTGGGGGAGGGTTCCCCTACTGAAATAGACTACAGAAGAAAAAAGGTTGGTGCCCTCAATCCTTAACCTCTCTACTGGAGGACCTAGCAGATCACTTCACTGGTCTGGACGTAACACCCGGCCGCCCAGGGCCGTCATCGTGGACGGCTTCGGCAACGTCACGGAGCGGAAGTTGGAGAACCACCAGCCAGGGACTCTGCTGAAGCCTTCGGTGACGGTGCTGGAATCCAAGGCGCGTGATTTAGGGCGCCGAGAGAAGCGTGCGAATGGGAAGGGCCTAGAGTCTCCTTCTGACCCTTTAAAAACGGTTGGTCAGTGCCCAAAATTATGGGGTCATGACCCCTTTTCCTAGGGGGCAGAAGGAGACTCTAGGTACCCTTAAACTGCCCGTACCAAAGGGAGCTATGATTCTGACCCACTTTTCGTGGTTGCAAGTCAATTGGGTCACAACCCCCAGATTTGCTACCCGCGTACCGGACTGGTTCTGCCTTAAGGTCGTTTCTCTTTGTGCGTTTTGTGCTACCTGACCAGTACAGTCGCATCCAGGAAATTATTCTCCAATGATTTGCAAATCGGCATACCGTACGGACTCAAATTCCATCCATAATCAAGTCCATCCACATCATCTGCAATGTTCACACGAAGAGCTCGCACTTCCTGTGTCGTGACGTACCCTGACCTTCCCGAGGGATCGCCCCTTACAAAGCCTCAAGCGCCAGGTGATGGCAGGAGTTCGCTCGGTGGTGCTGACGCGGAGCCTGAAAGGAGTCGACCCACTTCGATCGGCTCGATGCAGCCATTCACAGAAACTCTCGAGAAGGCCAATTTTGAGGTCCGCCCTGAGCATCATTGGACCCTCCATTGAAGGGGTTGAACTCTCCATTGGAAGGTAGTGGACTTCAACAAGGGCCTTTTTAGGGCCCAAGATGATAGACCTTTCAATGGATCCCTTCTGATGCTTGGGGCGGAGACCGGAGGGTCTGAAAGCTCGGGAAATCAGGAGCCTGCAGCTTCAAACGACTACCTGGATAGCCAAGTTGCTGTTTTTTTCAGTCACTGTTTCTGGTTTTTGGGGTAAAGTGCATGGAGAAAACAGCAACTGGCGATCCAGGTAGAGAAAATGGATGTTTTGGTCATTGCATTGCTTTTGCTCACTTTGGTCCGTACTACACACAGGGTACAGATGGATCGTATGACGGTTTGGTCACTCCCGGGGGTGAGCCGCAGCGCGAGTGGGGTGAGCCTCAGCGAGTCTTTTCGCCTCAGCGAGGAGCTTCCTCCGACTACTACACCTTTGATCCGCTGAAAGCGGCTCGGCTGAGCATCGGAATGTGGATTTGAAGTCGGCTCTGCCAACTTCACTGGGTGCTTTCACCCTGGTTGAAGCTTCCATGTGCTGAAATGAATATGTTTGATTTTCCCCTGTTGGTTTTAAAGGGAATCTGGAAGTATGTTCATGTTTTCCAGTCGAAGCAAATGGAAGTAAGGGTATTCTGAGGGTCGAGGTACCTCCTTATGTGGCTTCCCTAAGCAGATTTGGGGCCCGATTCCATAGTGGTCGAGCCGCACCGATCCTTTTGGTTTAGATGCTGGGCCTCACAAAGGGCCTGTATGATGGAGGGCCCATGAATCTTTTTTGCCTCGGGTTGTTGAGACCCATGGTGGACCCCCTCAAAAAATTCAAAGGTTAAAATGGATGTTTGCAGCCCAAGATGGTTGGTAAATCCTCCCCATTAGTTCTTTCGGGTCCAGGGTTTCTGATTGTTGAAACCTGCATTTGGGTTCCCTTAACCAAAGCCACCTCCCCCTACACTAGGGTATGATTTGTGAAAATCCTTGACTAGCAAAGGGATCGTTGTATTTACCCTGGAACATTGATCGGTTCTCCCGTTCTCCCCCCCAAAAAAAAAAGAAGAAGAAGAAGAAGAAAGAAACGAGCTGTTTACCCTGGATTTACCAATCGGTTTACCCTGAGCCTGGTTTACCCCTGACTAAAAAACACGCCGGGTATTCGGATCGAGCTTACGGGGCTTCCTCAGGCCACGACTCGGATGTGGCGAAAAAAAGCAAGCGGAAGGCGATTGCTCGCAGGAGGAGACCGTGAATTTCATCAACGCCGTGGGAAGTGGGCCCACCTTGTCGTACCACAAGCACCGCCACTCAGATCGGAAGAAATCCGAGAGCATCCACTTGGGTCCAGTTCAGACGGTGAGGGCCTGAAAAAAAATGCTCCCTGGGCCCTCAAACTACACATAGAAAGGGGTGATTGCCCCAAAACGGGGGCAAATTCCCCTTTTTCATGGGTATCATTTTGGGGTGCGATGAGGTGGGTTCCTCTTGAACCAACTCCAGAAAAGGTTTCCCCCGAAAAAACAACAAAAAACACCCAATTGCGTCCAGCGTATTTCGATTCTATAAATTTCCAGGTGGGCGAGTGACTGGGGTGCTTAATTGTTTGGTTCCCATCCATGCGTCAGTTGCCAGCAAATCGACCTGACATGACCCGTATCGGTTTTCCTTTTTTCCTGGTCCATGTGTAGAGGTCCCAAAAGGAATTACCTGGATCGCCAGTTGCGATCGCTTTGTTCCATGCACTCAACACCCCATTCACCGACCGCAACCGAGACTGAACAAATCGACCGCAACTTGGCTATCCAGGTGGGGGGTGTTGATGGTGTCCCCTCAAGCAATTGTTTTTAAAGAAAAATATTATGTTCTTTTTCTGGTCCATGTTTAATAGAGGTCCCAAAAGGAACTACCTGTTAACTTCAGGTCCTTTAGTCAAGTTAGACTTTAGAGGGATGAAGGATATCCCGCCAAACGGGTACCTGGACCCTCAAAAAATCCCGGAACAATTGCTTGTTGCTCAACAATATGGGGTAAAGGTTTTCATTTGGCTGGTAAACAAAACGTACCCAAAGTGGAACCCTGGTAAATGGACTAAAATCTGCGGTCCATATCCTGGTGATTGAATATTGACCCACACCCATTTAGCTTCCCTTTTGAGCCACAGGAACTATCCGATCACTAAGCAGTTGGCTCGGAAGTTCCTCTGAGGCACGCTGGGCCAACTCGTCTTCCTTCCGATTTCTGGCGAAGGCGCCTGCGTGTGCAAGGACTGCTTTTTGAAGAAGCCAATTGAGTGGAGTGTCTTGTTTTACTAGCCGCGGCTCAGGGCTTAGCCAATGCCAGTCCTGTTGGTTGGTTGGCAGGGCGGGCTTCCGCATCCGCAGCATCCCCGGTTACTCGGGAGGGCTGCATATTTGCCTGAGTGCTCGGGCTTAACCGACCGCATCCCCAGCAATCACCGGCCCCGCTCGAACTCGGGCTGCCTATTGGCTTTGATTTGGAGTTGCGCGGGGCTGGCTTCGCGTGAGTGTTGAGGACTTAAAAGTGAGTGCGGGTGGGTGTGTTTGGGGTTCATCTAGGCTCGGAAAAGGGCTGTTATTCAGCGTATCCAGGATGCTGTTGGGAGGTGCAAGGTTGACTTTGAGTCGGTTTGGGTTGGCTTGGGCTGATTCGCGCTAGGTGTGCGGCTGGTTTTTGCGCTAGGTTTTGGGCTGCTTCAGGGAGTGTTGCTGCAAGTTTTGGGCTGGTTTGGGATTGGTTGGGCGTTGCCCCAAACACCAAACCTGGCCCAAAATTTGCACGACCGCATCCCTACAGTCAGTGGCTCTTTGTTGTCCTTTTTTCTCGGGGGGGAATCTGCAATTGTTGGGTGGGCTTAAAGGAAAACCAAAAGGAAAGCCGAAGCTTTGTGGTTTTTTGTTCTTTTGCGGGGAAGGCCTATTTTGACTTGGGGCGGGGATCACTGGCAGGTTTAGGAGATGGAAACCCAGTTGCCTGATGGACTCCACAGGTTCAACTCTTAAGTGGGGTTAACCCAGGAAAAGACAACTAGGTTATAATTAAGTGGGGTTAACCCAGTCATTCGTGGCTTCTCCCCGAGGTGGTGTTGGCCACTTCTTGACTTGGCCGACCCAGGTAGATTGATTTTCAAGTGGCTTGTTTCCCTTGATGGTTACCTAACAAAAGCTGCTTGTTTGCTTTTTCTTCTTTTTCCTCCTCGGTTGGAAAAAAGCTTGTTCTTCTGCTTGTTTCTTTTTTTGCGGCCCTTGGGCCAAGGCTGACCTTGGCCTTGTGCCCGCTCGGGCGGTTGGGTTGCGTTTCATTTTCCGATCTGCAACAGAGTCACCTTCTGATCCAGGGGTCGAATCAACGACTCTTCGGGAGGCGCAAAGTCTGAGTGCTGACTGCCCCGGAAATTCCAACCTGTGGATCTAGGAAACGGTTTGGATGCGGTTTTTGTGGATCCACCATAGGAGAGCAACAGACTAAAAGAGTACTAAAAGAGTATTAAAACAAGAAGAACTCGCCAAACAACATGGGGAAACCACAGAAAGCGCATCCACTCCGTTTGCTGGAGTGGAGCAGAATTCCAAGAGCTGTGCCACCTTTCAAAGGCTTTAAGCAGAATGGCTTGCCGTTGCCAGAGATATGTTTTTTTTTTTTTTTGCAAATATATATATATATATATATATGGTACCATATATATGCTACCCCCCCCCCCCCCCCAGGGACCTACTATATATATATATATATCAGCTGGGCTTCCCTGGCAGGAAACAATCGTTCAGCCCTTCGTGAGGTTCCATGTGGGAGGCTACTTGCGAGAGATGCACCCCGAAGAAAAAAGACACCTCCATCCGCGGCTGGGTTTTCTTTCAGGGAATTCTCAGGTTCATGCCCTCATTCCCTGCCTTTAAGCGCCAGCAAGGTATTTGGCCCAGCAAATGAAGCAGCAATGGTGCCCTTTGTCCGATTGGGTGAAAGGAAAAACCGCCCCAGGAGAAGGCGCCGGCCTTTGGAGAGGCCCAAGGCACCTTGGAGTACCGACCCTCAGGCGGGGACTCAACTTCTGACCCGGGTGCGTGGATGTTCGAGCTACTTTGTAAGTAGCTAGGTCCCCAGTAGAGCCACTTACCCTTTTTTTGGGGGAGGGTTCCCCTACTAATATAGACTACAGAAAAGGGTATTATTCTAACCTCACTACTGGAGGACCTAGGTAGGTTACAACCATGGTAAGCTAACCAACCCAATTATCCTAGTTTGTCCTGCGTTGCAACCTACTTTCTAAGTGCCTGGACCATCAAGCTACCTATAAACAAACGGGAATTCACCCGATACATTTGCGGCTACCTAGAGTCTCCATGACCCTTAACAAATGGGTCCATGCCCCCTGAATTTTGGGGAGTCTGACCAACCATTTTTTAAGGGTCAGAAGGAGACTCCAGGTATACCCATTTGTTTAAGGAAGATTTGGAGGTCGAAGATCAGTGGCAGGCCCAGGCGACGAGGGTTCCGGCAGTGTGGCCTTCTCCAACCACTGCCCTCCCGCCCCCAGGAGCCGCCAAGCGCAGGAATTCGCTGTTGAAGTGGCGTGTCTTGTTTTGACCCCTTGGGCCAATTGTTTTAAGGGGTGCTTCGGAAACCCTAAGGCCTAAAACAACCTGGAGTCTCCATGACCCTTGCCAAATGGGTCAATGACCCCATTATTTTGGGTAATGACCCCACTTTTCAAGGGTCATGGAGACTCCAAAAACCTTTTTTCTGAGGAGGGCCCTTGTTTGCGAGGCAGGCCTTTCTTGAGTGTTCGGCAAAGTTAGTAGGTTGTAACAGTGTTGTAACGGTAAGCTACCCTAAGCATCATTGGGCTCTCCATTGAAGGGCTCAGGATCTCCATTTGGAAGGTCTTGGAGGGCCCAAGATGCTTCGGGTAGGTTGTGGAGCGCACTTCTGAGTCCCGTTCAGTGGGGTTAACCTTGTTCTTCGTGGGAGTTATAACCCAGGTGGCTCTTGGCGAAGCCAAGCTCCAAGTAATTTCCCTGTCGCTTGTGTCCCGTGTCTCCGTTTTCTTTGGACAGTCCTTGACCAGCAAAAAGGGGTGCGCCCACTGACCCCCATGGCCGGTGAACCTGGCTCAACTGTTGGGAACATCTTGCATCTTTGCGCTTGACTGGAATGATTAGCAAAGAGCACAACTGGACCCTCGACATACCAACTTAAACGAGTTGTGTTATTGTCCCATAGTGAATTCCCTTTGTTTATGTGTAGTTAGAGTGTCCCGGTATTTATATCCTAGGTTTGTACGGTTGTTTTTTTGGGGGGGGGGTCAAAAGCACTTATAGTTAGGGCCTGCGGCTTTTTTGGGGTAAACCCTGGTGCCCTTCAAAATCCAGAGCCCAGATGCTTGTCTCGCACCGAAGATGTCAACGAAGATGGGCCCTGCCTTTTTGTCATTATCTTAGTAAGACTTTACATTTTCCCTTGTTGGTTTTAAAGGGAATCTATCTGTCTATTTTTTTTCAGGGAGCTTAAGTCGGAAGACAAACACATGTTTGGAGATGTTTCCGTCAATGCGACTCTAACAATGACTATCTAGGGATAAAGAAGGACAGGAAAGGGGAATGGGAAAGGCAGGTCAGATAGCATGTAAGCCTTTCCATTTCATTCACATCCTTTCCCCACTCTCCTCTCTAATCCTCACGACCGAACGGCTGGAGAAAGTGAGAGATGGCGAGAGGAAAGACAGGGAAAGAGATGGCATATTCCTTCCGCTCCCTTAACTCGCTCCCTAGAGTCTCCATGATCCTTTAACGGGGTCATCATAACCCAAAACTAAGGGGTCATGACCCCTTTTTCTAGGGGTGAGAAGGAGACTCCAGGTGCCCGTTTTTGGCACCTAGGCTTTGCCGGTTTGATGGAGTCATAGGTGTCCTTTTTGGTTGATTTGGTTGAAAAGTAGGTTGGGCGATTCCTGGTTTACCTGGTGGTTTTTTCTCATCCACCAGGGATATCCCTCGATTTTCAACCAAAAAGGACACCTACTGTGGATGGTGACGAAATCGAAATCCATGCAACGCACCGCCCAACAAAGCTTGGGAGTTGTTCGATTCCCCAACGTAAATACCAAGCCATCATTGAGTCCCGTGGTTTCAATTTGGAGCGTTTTGCCAAGGGATGTTAGGACTGAATAACTTTTGGCCAACGAATTTGGGTTTTCCGTATTAAACCACAAAAAGTGAAAAACAACTTTTAGCAGGGGAGCAGAAAGCAACCGAGGTTTCAATTTGGTGCGAAATGGATTCCGTCCACCCACAGCACGGAGTGGCAATCCCGTCGCAGGAGCGACCTGCTGGACATGCGGAACCCAACCTGTGACCTGCGGAACTACTCCGGGGGACAGATCGCGTGCCACCACATGCGCCACGACCCAAAGGCCCCCTGAGGCTGTTACATGGAACTCAGTTCTTCAGTGGCACCAATTATTTTTCTTTTTCCAGCTTTTTTTGGTGGCTGCCCCACTAGAAACAGTCTTCCCAAAAAAGGGTTCCCTTTTTTTCTCCAGGGTTACTGAACAACTGAGGGAATGCTCACCTAGGTCCCCCAGCAATTGGTGCCAACTTTTCCCGTTTCTTTTTTGGTGGGGAGGGTTCCCCTAAACTAGACTACAGAAAGAAATTGGCGCCCTTAACCCCAGCCTCTCTGCTGGAGGACCTGGACGAAATCCTAAGCCCAACGGAATGATTCGATTTCCCTGTAAATACCACAAAGAACGGCTTCAACCATGTTTTCGAAGTGGTGCGAACTGGGTTTCGTCCAAGTAGGGCTCCCTTTCTTGCTTACCCCAAGGTAGACTTACACCTAGCTGCGGTTGGTCTCAGTAGAAACTTTAGGTTGTTACCTGAAAGTCATCTAGATTGTGGGTAGGCCTTTATCATGGAGTACTTGACACTCTATTTCAATCAGAGGGAGAGGTTGGCAACAGAACAGAGGCAACAGAGAGGATTGCACAGAGCATGCTTCCTTTGTTCCCTTTGTTCTGTCTTCTGTTCCTCAATTCTCTCTGTTCTGTGCAAGCAGAGGATTGAACAGATTTGACGGAAGGAACATAGGATTGACAGAACAAAGGGAACAGAGGGAACAGAGGACTGCATAGAAGGGCAGAGGGTGGAACAGAGGGAGTACATCGGATGATTTAGTGGTTTGGGGGTAGTTCCCTCTTAAGGTGATTGTTTGTGCTCCCTTAATCGTGAGTTGTTGCCCAAAATTATGGGGGGAATCCCCTTTTGTGTGGCCAGTTTGAGGGTCCAGGCATACCACTTGTCTTTTTCTCTCGTTGGCTGCCACGTGCTTGTCACTGTTCAATTTTTCAAGCAATCTGCGAACAACGCTCCATTTCCATGTGTCTTCTGAAGCTCCAAGCACCAAACGGGCCCTCAAAACGCCCCTTGACAAAAGGTCCAAGACCTTCCAAAGCAGGTCCCTTTTCCCAGTCAGTGGAGAGTCCAATGCTGCTCAGGGCCATTAAACATAAGTACAACAGATCTGTGTAGGGTCGGCTTGGGCCTCGCCCCATCTCAATGGAGCGTCTGATCTTTGGTTCATTTTGCTTGGATGTTTGGACTGAATAACTATGTGTTTCCATTAAGCCACTAAAAGTCAAACTTTTAGCAGGGGAGCAGAAAGCAACCGAGCGATGCTTGTGGGCCTCAGGTGGTCCCTGCTGGATGCGGACCAAGACATCCCCTGGCCGCAGCAACCCATCGAGTACTCCCTGAAGTTCCGTTTCTGGGCACCTCAGCCAACGCGGGACCCCCGTACTGTGGATGAACAAAATCCTGCGCCACTTTGAAGCCGTGGAACATATGCCCATTCAACCCACCTCAAAACCTGAGGGTCAGAGAAAATGGCCCCCACGGCAAGAACGGTGAGTTGGCTTGCCATGCTTTGGACATGTTCTTGCAAATGTTTAGGGGGGTTGTGTTTCAGAAGATCTTACCCAAACGCTCCCAATTCAAATTCCTGAGCCTTCGAAAAGAAATGCCTAGATAGCCAAGTTGCGATCGCTCTTTTTTTCGTCACTGTTGCGATCGGTTTTGGGGGTACAATGCCTGGAAAAAAAATGTGAAAACGCACCTGGCGATCCAGGTGCTATTTGGTTTAAGGCACTTGGCGTCGCATGGGTTGAACGGAGCCTCCGCTTCGAAGGGTGCCAAGAGAGCGTCTGATTGGTTCATTTCTACGGGAAGCGACGGATCCTTGTGGAATATGGACGGTCCTCCGATTCAATTCCCGCTTCTTTAGGTTTTTTAAGAGGCGAAGGGCAAGAGCCGACTCCTGCCAGGTCACTTTGAAGCCTCTGAAACTTCAAGGTCGCTTTTTGGACTCTTCAAGGCAGTAAATCGAATTGCCCCAAGAGAGTTTTTGTCAGCATGCCAATGCACCGCCCAGACACGTTTAAGGGCGCCTGTTTTGAAGTTATCCGTTTTGATTTGCAGCGGATCTTTTGACAGCAGAAGGAAAAACTGGCCAACGCACACGGTTGCTTAGGGTGGGGTCGGTTTTTTCAGCTCGCCTGTGGGTCTGATTTGACGACTGGTTTCACTTGAAACAGAAGCGGCGTGAGTTCCAGAGCCGTTGCAATAAACGGTTCTGATGGGTTAAAATGACACCAAAAGGAGAACCGCACCTTTTTTTATGGGCCCCTGTTTAAACACATGTTTATTTGTATGTTTGCCCTATGCGTCCTTTGCCAAGGTGGAAGAGTACAACAAGTCCTACCACACCAGCCTGCGCCGAGTCATTTGGCTTGGCTAGTGGTGGGAACCATCCAAGGCGATTCGTAGGGTAGGCTATCAAGTTACGCGGGCTTTTGGCACGTCAAGGCTGGTATCATCACCTGCTTGAGCCATGATCCCGGGGTAGATACAGGCTGGTAAGGGACAATCCCAACCACAAATGGATGCAGCCGCCTGTTGAAGTCTTTGCATGGTTCTGGGTAGACCATTTAATACCGTTTGGTGTTTGATTATGAGTCTGATCTTCCGACGGATGCAAGTACAAAAGCAACCCCCTACACTCAATACCCACTTGTTTCAGGGATGATGTGAACCCTGGACTCAAAAACGGGGTGTTGCCCTGGAACATGCCGTTTTTTGTGCGTGTCAATAGTAAGCATATTGTTGGAACGGACTGAAACGGACTCCCTGACCGTGGCTCCCCGAAAATGGCTGATCCCAAAAATTAGGCCATTAAGGCCCTTAATAAGGGCTTATTTGGGCTCCTCCCCCTCCCCTCCCTCCCCCCCATCCCTCATTATTTTTCCGCAAAAATCGCCCGGGCCCACGGGTATTTCTTGCGCCGACCCATGGTTGAACGTCACAACGAGTGTCCCGCTAAAGGTTCGGTGCGGGAGGACCTTACGTGACCTTACATCAAACACCCTGGGCCCTCAAAATTCCAACTTCAAAATTGGTTGTTGCAACCCAAAAAACAACTCGTTTTTTCCACAACCAATATTCCCTGAACGCCGGTGCATGGAACCAAGAACATGAACAGCTGGATCATCCAAACAGCTCGGCTTGGTCCGGCCCGGGCCAAGTTTTCTCTGGGCTGGCCCTCATATTTAGGGTCCAAGCAAAGTGCGCAAAGTGCATGTTGTTTAGGTCTGTTTTGACTGGCTTTCTGTTTTTTTTCTTCAATGAGGTGTTGTGGGGTACTTACTTACCATATATTAATTAGAAGAATAGGACAATATGTATACATGTATACGTACATATGCACCTAGTTGCTGTAGCGCATTCCAAGTGAGATTCACCAATGGCATTGGACCGTTTGCTTAGGCAACCTGGGGCATTGCTTCCCCCGTGGAGTACGATGTGCCCAAGTGCGACCACCAGGCGGGGCTTCGACTCACGGCAAGGGTCCCATTGAAGGTCCGGGGGGTTTGAGGTGTTATGTTCCATGGATGTTCGTTGCCTACGTCAGGCAAGTAGACTACTACCAAGGTTACCCCAGCTATAACCTTGGTTTTAGCCTTGCCAAGTAATCCATTTCCTGAAGAGTTTTGTATTTTCCCCTGGCAGGTTTCAGAGTGTATTCTATCACTGGAACTAGTGCTATACTAGGTCCCCCAGCTAAGTGCCCTTTCACCCCTTTTTTGGGGAAGGGCTACCAAAATAGACTAGGAACAAAAAGAAGAAAAAACAACGGGTACCCTTATTCTAACCTCTCTACTGGAGGCCCTAGATATTTTTGTCGGGTCTCGGGCTAGGGTTACCTCTCACTTCCTGAGTTGGACTTGAGTCACTGAAGTCCATGGACCTAAACAAATGGAGGGTTGCATGTTGGCCCCCCTTTTTTCGGGCTCCCCACCACCCAATCCTAATTTGGGTGTGGGTCAAAATTAAACCACTGGGGGACCGCAGGTAGTCCTTTGCCTAAACCAGGGGCTCCTGGGGCTTTGTACCTGTGTGTTTCTTTGGAGAGTTTTGGGCTTGTTCATCTACTTTTCAGGCTTGTATTTGTGCTACCTGGAAATTCCCGTGGGAAGGGACGTGTTTTTGTGTGCAGCACAAATGGATGGTGAATTCGCAATTTTTATGGGTGGTTCTTTCCGGGTCCGGGCAGACGTTTTGAGCAAGTTACAGAGAAGGCGTGGGGGGGTTGAAACCGACATCTCTCATGAAGAAGCGTACTTTCTTGGTCCATTTCCTGTTTTCGACTGGCAGATTACTTGCTGATGCTCAGTAGGAAAAAACCTGGAGTCCCCTTAAAGGACACCACAAGGGATGGTGTATCAGTTTTATTCCCTCATTCCCTGCTGAGCACAAGTTTATGTTATAAGTTGCCCAGATGACAGCTTGTTCCCATATCCCCTATCCGCACCCCCTTAATGTGTTATATTTTGGTGGGGGTCCCTTTGCGATCAATAGCAACCGGAAGTGTTACTTTGCTAGGCAAACTACCCTTCCAGACGGGCTATCGCAACCCAAACATATTGTGTCAATTTCCTTCTGTTCGTTGGCAGTTCAGATCTCAAAAAAGCACATATTAAAAGTAAATAAATTCTATCCAATCCGTCGGTGAAGGTTTCTACCCAACTCATGGATGGTGGGTTTGGCGTCAGGTGAAGGGCTGCAGCCTGGTGAACGGCAGCTGGTGCCCTGATTCCTTGAGTCGATTCGCTTCGTCAGTTTTTTAGGGTGTTCCAATGGGGTTGATTCTACCCTCGTTTTTTTCACTTTTTTTTTTTTTTTTCGGCGGGGTGTGTTTCGTTGGTGCTCGAAGGACACATAGGGGGGGAACCAGCATTTGTCTAGGGGTCTATTCTTACCATCGCTCTGTCAACAACCAGCCTTTTTTTTTAAAGGGGTTTTCGGTGGTCTCCGAACAGACTTCAGGATCCGTGGAAAGAGCGGTGGGAATCTCCTAGTGTCCTTGAGCGACTCTGCGCGGGTAAGGGACATGTTGCACGGCAACATGGTGGATATTTTGAGGTTCCCTAAGCATGGATCGGGCTCTCAAAAGCCCACTTCCGATCAAGTTCCTGAATGTTATGCTGTTGGGAAAGACACATTTGGTGGCAGGAAGTGAGAAAGGGTCTTGAAGTGAGGTCCAAAGCCAAACCAATGGAGTCCCCTTCAATGGAGAGTTCAATGATGCTTAGGGTGTAATAATGAGGGAAAGCACAGCGAAGCCTTGAGGGAAAACAGCATTTGAGTATTGTTTCTGTGCCCTGATGTAGGCCAGGCTGCCTATTGTTGTGTATAACTATACATATATATATATATGTATACTGCAACCCCCCCGATGGATCCACCTTTTTGCTGTTTGAAGGCTATTTGGGAGATGGAATGCAGTCGTGTTATTTGGAATGCCCCATGCGACTTGACCAGTATCAGCTCACCCTAAGGAATGACATCCTCTTGAGAATCTAATTGGGAACATCAATTCCAATTTTGTGCTTCCTTTGAAAAGATCATCCTATCTAAAGTAGATTTGAACTTTGAAATTATACTATTAGTATTTCCCTATTGGATTCCACTTCAATTCTAAATAGATTGTGGAGAAACAATATCCCGCGAAAGGGCGTTCTTTCTCAAAAAGTATTTTGAAGTAAGAATCTCAATTAACAATGTTCTTCAAATGAAAATCCTATTCAAATATTATGTAAGTCTAGAGCTTATTAGGTGTTGTTCACTTTTAATTTCTATTTAGGTTCTATTTAGACAATTGAACAAATCATCATGGACAAAGACATTATTTTGAACCTCTATGTTGAAGCAATAATTCCAATCATGAAACACCTAAACAAACAACACCATGTAAGTTATCTTTAAAACTAGACATTCTAATAGAATTATGTACTTGCTAAATTTCATTGAACGTATGCCAACCATTCTATGCTATTTTTGACTGCACATCTTGTTCGACAAGGAAGTCCTCTTCAAACATATTCTTTAAACTAGAAACTCTACTAGGGTGTGGTCGTTACTACATTCCATGTCCATTCATATGAAAACAAACAAAGTCCCCTTGAAAATAATCTTGCAATTGTATTTTGAGACAGGAATTCTGATTGATTGTTGATGTTTAATCCTTATCGAATACTTTGAATTCCAAGCAAAAAACACGAAAAAGACAAACATCAGTGAGTTTAGATTTGAACAAAACAACATGTGTCCAATGAAATTCATTGAACAAACATCTACGAGCAACAAGTCCGATTCCTATAAACGTCAGTCAATAAACCCAAACCCTACACCCTAAACCTGTCCTTTCTAAGCTGAGGTTTGGTCAGAAGATGCAAAACAGCAGCTATGTTGGTAAGGTAAAAGCGTAAAGTTCTGGAGCGAATGACCCAGAAGTAAAACAACAAATGCAGAGCCAATGGCCCAAGAGCAAAAAATGGTTAGTTTCTGGAGCCAGAGACCCAAAAGTAAAAACAGTAAAGCCGTAAAAGAGCCAAACGTACAGAAGTAAACAAACAAAACAAGTTTAAAACGAAAGAGTAAACGTGACAAGTGAAAACGTAACAAAGTACAAAAGTAAAATCGTAAAACAAATCCCTGAAGTAAATTGCGTTGACAACGGACTGAAGCATTTTACTTGTTTGTTTTGCTTTTCTACTTTTTTACGTTTGGGTCATTGGCTCCATAATTTTACATTTTACTTTTTCACTGTTGGGTCATTGGCTCCAAAAAATACTTCTTTACGTTTTCACTTTTGGGCCAATGGCTCCAACATAGCTGTTGTTTTGCATCTTCTGACAAACCTCAGCCTAGGAATGACAGAGGTAGATCCAAACCGAGTGGATTCAAGATTCCCTGGAAAAGTTTGGCCGAAAGCTTTCAGGTTGTCTTCGGACATGCGCCTTTCTTTGCTGCTTTCCGCAAAGCCGCAAAAAGGCACACTGCACATACCAGTGAATTCTGAAGGAAGGTAGATCCATGGAGGGGGTACCATCTACATATATATGTATACCACCCTTGGCAGGCCGAGCAATGAGCTTTTGGTTTCCCTTTTTGGTCCACTTTTAGTAAAGCTCAGACTACAAGTGAGTCACAATCAAACCCCGGGTAAGTGGTTAGCAAGGGACATCCCAGCCAGAAATAGCTGCGGATATCCGCCTTCATAATTCTTTACCTGGTTCTGGGTCGACCATTCTGATACCGGGTTTTGATTATGACTCAAGCGGGTTATTGCCCCGAAGTGTGGTTCTCCACTCAACACTGAGGATTCATACCATCTCGGGGACCTACGAGGGCGAGGGCATCTTATCGGCGGCCCACTTCCATTGCCATGCGCCCACCTGCCTGTCCATGGCAATGTACCGCTGTCCCCCCAAGACCAAGGCGCCGGCATCCGGACGGATTTGGACGGATTTGGGGTAAAGAGCATGGGGAAAAAAAGCAGCAGATGGCGATCCAGACATTTTTAATTTGGGATTTGGAGACTCGGTAGGCTAGGTATATCGAATGTCCGGTTACCCCATCTTTCAATCTGGGTGAATTATAACGACCTCGCACGACCGAATTCTCCCCAAATGGTGGTTTATGTGGGGAATACCCCCCCAACCACCGCAAGTTTCAGGTTGGTGAAATATTATAATTCACCCAGATTTAGGATTTGCTTGGCCGGGTTCAAACCCTATGGATGCGTCCCCGAAAGCAAAAGAGGGTGCTCGGAGCTGACGGGGAAACCTTTTCTGGTTCCCTTTGGTTTTTACACGTTTTCTTTGGTTACCTACACTGGTCCATGGAAGTGCGGGATCTGGTATGGTTTGTGGCTCGGATTTCCATGAAAACAAAGGCTTCGGCACCCTGAATGTTGAAGGGAAGCCCTTCCCCCCCAAAAAAAAGAGAAGCAAGGGCAAACGACGCCCAAATAAACAAATTGGAGTGGTTTCTCATTTACGACGCCCTGGTGAAGTCCCCGTCGGATTTTCTGCCGAGCCTTCCCCAAGCCTCCGTGCAGAGGTCGAAATGGAAAGTGCCAAAGCCATGGCATCCACACCCCCTTAAATGGAATTGGGGGAGGGGGGTAAGCCCTGGAATTCCATGTCTGGTTCCATTTTCCAACTTTTGTTGGGAAGGCTAGCTAAATGGAATTGGGGGGGCCCCCACCCTCCCCCCTACAGGGGGGATATCCAGGCGGTAAACCAATGAATGGGGGTTTTAATTGAAACTCGAATGGAGGGTCCAAGATCTGCATGTTGATGTGGGCGTGTCGCTTTTGGGGATCCCCCGTTTTGTTAGCAGGAAACCAAAGGAAAGCCGTTGCGCCATTTTGGGGGTCCAAATCCTTTTATACAAACAACGCATCAAACCAAGAGTCATTTTGTCCATCTCTCAGCTTGGAAATGATCGACCCGGGTTGGGCTGCGGCAGTTTGATATGTTTGAAACCATGTGGCCAGTGACAAAGAGACCAAATGTGAATCGTCATCATGTTTGTTTACAACAAAATCTTACTCAAAGGCCCAGCTGAATCACTCCCTGGCCAGCAAATCTTTGCTTCCCACGACATCACCAATGGCCCCACCCAGCTCAAAACTCATTTGCTTACTTGCGCTCACTGCGACAGAGTCCTTTTTCACTGCCTTCACGGTCATGGGGATAGATTTCCTGAAATCCACACCTTGGAAGTGGCTTTGCCATGAAGATCACCTCGGATTGCAGTTCACACACGCAGGCACGGCGAAATTGTATTGGGTTGAATTCCCTCGTTTGCAAAGGTGGTTCGTTCGGTCAGAAGGAGACTCCAGGTACCTGGAATCTCCATGACCCTTCAAAAATGGAGTCCCCAAAATTACGGGGCCATGGCCCCCTTTTGCTAGGGGTCACAAGGAGACTCCAGGTGGATTCTAGGTAGTTCTTTCGGCGTTTTCGGCGGCTCCTGGAACGAAGGTGTGCGATGCCAGCAGCGGCGAGCTGCTCTGCGAGCAGCGCCCGGTCTACGGGAACAACTCGGATCGCTTTTCCGAGCGCCTCGGATCGCGAGGGCGATGGTTGTTTCTTCTGACGTGGCGGCGCTGTGTTTCTTCCATTGGCTGCCCCAGCTAAAATAAGCATAGGTGTTTTTTGTTTGATGTCTAGGTCCCCCAGCTAGGGGCCCTTTTGCCGTTTCTTTTTTGGGGGAGAGTTCCCCTACTAAAATAGACTACAGAAAAGAAAGGGTATCCTTGTTCTAACCTCTCTACTGCAGGACCTAGATATCTATGTCCCCTTGTTGGTTTTAGAGTTGGAATCTATCACTCTTGGAAATATGTTTAGTTGTTCCAGACAGCTTAAGCAAACGGAAGGTTTGGATGTGTCGCCCCACTTAGATGGGCAGCCCAGTGTTTCAGCGGCGACTGTCCATAAGTCCCTATGGATTTGCCGAAAACTCACTCGGGGTCGCAGCTGTGAAGGACCACTTCTGAAATGTCCACAACAAGTCGCCGTTTGTTTTTTGGGACGTTTAGGGTGGATCATACCCCTTCCCCTATGGAAGTCTCTAAAACCCCGTTATAGAGGGTAAATGGGCAAGAACGGAACACCTCCAGACTCCACCTTCCAGACCAATTAGCGGAAGGTGAAGGTACGGTGAATGCCCAATATTGCAAGTAACATCACAAACCATTGGAACTTACGGGATGTCCAACTTTATTCCCACTTGATTTGTGTTGGGCGTCCCGTATTCCCTACTGTTCTTTTCTAGGGTTTCCAACTTATACCCGTGTTGATTTGTTTGTTTCCAACTTACTCCCTTGTGGATTTGTTGGCGGTTTCCAACTTATTCATGTTTTTTTGTTTTGTTTTTGTTTCCAACTTACTCCCTCGATGTTTTGGGGTATCCAACTTACTCCCAACCCAGAGGCTCCCGATGGTTGTAGGGCCTTCAAACAACCTATGTTTTGAGACCCCTACCACTTCCGGGGTGTCTAATGCAGGGATCGGGTCTTCCATTGAAAGCCGAAGCCAGGAGCATCTGGGAAGTTGATTTTTCCGGGGCGTCCGTAGATCTTGGCTCAGGCCCGGGTACATCTTCCAGCCGCCCTGCCTGTGGGGCAGCCCCGAGTTTGGGCTTGCACCGCCGCCCAGCGTGGGAGGCCGGCTGGCGGCGAGTGAAGTTTTGTTTGAGGCTTGGCGTTCTTGTGGTTTTTGTGTTTTTTTTCTAGGAGTTGATTCCCCATTTTTTTCAGCCATCGTTCTTTTCAAAAACCAGCCATGTCCCAGGGTTATTTGGTGGCAAAGATCCCTGGAAAGAATGGGGAAGGTAGCCCTAGGTTTGAGTGAGACCCGAAGCAACACCGAAATCCATTTTTTGGCTTTCCGCCATTTTGACGACCAACATTTAAAAAGAAAAATAACAACGGGAACCACCGCATTTGGTTGGGGCAAAAAGCAAGTGTTAAGGGTATTTTGAGGGTCCAGGAACCCATATTGGAAACTCCATTGAACAACTGGTTTAGGGTACTACGGGAACCCTTCAAAAAATAACCTAGGCGGATATCGGATCCCTTGAAGGGGTGTTCAATGGGACCGATTCCATTGGTTTTGTGTTTGGACCCACGGATGCTCTACGGTTGGGCCTGCTATTGATGCGGCTGTTGTTTCGAAGGTACCGCAACCACCCAATAGTTTTGGTTGCAATAAGTCAATAAGTGTGTTTTTTTGGTGTTTTTGAGGGTAGCTTTCTAGGGGTTGATTCCAACCTTTTTTTTCAACCATCGTTCTTTTCAAAGCGTTGGGGGTAAGACGCTATTTGAACCCTTGGGCGCTGAAGAAACGGTTTTTCAAGATACCTTCGTGGGAGATGCAAGTTTAGATGATCCAAACCCCTCCATACCTCCCCTTTTTCGTTCCTTCAAATGCGGCCAGAATAAGACCTCCCCCTTTCCTAACCTCAACCGTCTTTGGCTTGTGTCTTGAACGGACACCTAACGAAAATCCCGCCTCTTAAAAGTAAATTCTCTCTTCCTGAGATCCTGGAATTTGCTCAAAAGGAAGACCAGGCTTATACTTTGCTTGGCAAATCCACTCAGGAAGTGAGTCAGCCAAAGGACATGAATGCCTTAGGCAGACACAGAGGAAGCCACCCATTTTGAAGACACCTCATTTGAGGCTGAGGCTTTTGAGGGGACAAAACAACAGCAAGCCATTATAGGGAGGGCGTTGCAACAATGAGCAATTGCGATTTTGGTGTGGCTCAAAAACAAAAGCTAAGGTGAAGCAGGTTCTAGTCTTTGGCTCCATTGACCAAGGTGCCTCGTTTGATACTTTTCTCAGCCACGGCCAATTGGTTAGGAAGATCTGAATGGCCAGCCAGTGCCATGTTTTGAGACACAGCCAACGAGTGTTGACCCCGTATTAATCAACCCAGTTTACTGATAGGGAGGGTGTTGGAACACCCCTCTATCAATAAACTGGGATTGATTTATGTTGACCCCGGATGAATTTACCCCAGCTTAGTGATAGAGGGGTGTGTTTCCCCAAAAGTGATGCTTTTTTCCCCACATTTGGGGGGAGTTTTGTTTGTCAACAAAGCTGGGATTGAGAAATATGGTTTCAACATTCTGCAACTGGTTTGACAAAATGGCCGTTGAGCCCTCGGGCTCGGCACGCGTGTTAGCTTTCAAGGGAGGGCGGTGCTTTCAACAACAACCCAATCAGAAGTGGTTGCGTTTTTTTTCTTCTTCTTTTTTTCTGGGAGTTAATTCCGCGGGTCTGGGAAAGAATGAGGCGCCAATGAGAAAGCGGCACCATGTTGGAAGGCGTTGTTTTTGGTCGTTTGGAGCCCTAGGGTTCGCTTGAAGCTTGGTCTGGCTGGGAGAAGAGTTCCGGTTCCACACTCCAGGCTTTACTCAATTTCTAGCGATCGGGCAGGGATAAACCCCAGAGATTGGTTCTACTCAGATGTTCAACCTACGCAAGTAGGTTATGACCAAGGTTATAACTGGGTATCTGGGGTTAGGTGTTTTGTTTTCATGGTTATAACCTATAGAAGCTTTGCTATCACCCGAACAACTCCTTGAACACCCACATTAGTTCATTTGTGACCAAGCTTATAACTGGTAGTGCCCTTTCTCACCCTTTTTTTGGGGAATGTTCCCCTACTAAAATAGACTACATTAAAAAAGTTGGTACCCTGACCTCTGGCCTCTCTACCGGAGGACCTAGCCCATAGTTTTGGGTTGCAATCACCATATTGTTTGAAGGGTATTTTGAGTCCAAGACCCCAAGGGTCCCAATTGCACCTTAGCCTTGTGACACCATGGGCTCTCATGCTCTCACCCCCCAACTTGGATGTTGGTACCTGCAACTGCAAAGTTCAACTTGAAAGTTGGCTCTGGCCCCAAAATTATGATGTGGCTGTGGTGGTCAAAACCGTTTTGGGATCCCATTTTGGGATAGGTGGTATTTTAGTGGTTGGATTGGGATGTTTACTGGGGGTCTTGGGTTTTGACCCATGGCCATTTTAAGGCAGGTTCACAGGCAAACCAAAAGGAAAGCCGAACTCCATGGTGCTGGCTCCTGATGAGACATACCCATCACAACCCAGGCCCGGGTGAAACCGAAAACAACCGGCTAGAACCGAACGGCCGTGACATGACCTGCTTGGGTGTAGTTATTGGTAACCAGGTTACAACCCACTCAGAAGCGAGGTTAAGCCAGTCATTGGTAGGTTATATCCCAGGCGGGTTTGGCCACCAAACTTGGTGAATCGAACATCCACATCAATGTTTTTCTTTGGGTTCGCAGCTGCAACAAAACGAGTTCGTTTTTGCAAGCCCATACCGTTTGGCTTGTGAAGCTTCCCACGCGGAGGTGAACATTGTTTTGCTGGTGCTCAGAAGGGACTATCCATGGTTTCTGGATAGCCAAGTCGCTGTTTTTGTTCAGTCACTGGTGCGATCGGTGTTTGGGGTAAAGTGGATGGAGAAAAAAAATCGCAACTGGCGATCCAGCTATTGTTGCAACCAACAAATATGGTTGGTGCATTCCAACTTGTTCATGGTTCGAGGGTCCAGCTACCTCTTCTTGGTAGCTTTCAGGGGAAGCCAGTTTGGGTTCGTCACTGGTGCTGGTGTTTGGGGTAAAGTGGATGGAAAAGAAACAAATCGCCACTGGCGATCCAGGTTCATTTGAACACAAGCATCATTAGAGTGAGCCCCAGTTACAGAATGTTTATTTTATTGTAGAAAAAACAAATCGCCACTGGCGATGCAGGTTCATTCCCACATTCCCTGCTGAGCACTCGCCCGTTTTTTTGATCGGCCGCCAGGCTACGTCTTGGGCACGGTGAAGACCTCCAACGCCAGCTACGGACACCACGGGGAGATGGCCTGGCAGCAGCCGGGGCTCCCAGACTCCCAACGTGGGCCAGGGAGCCTCAAACTATCGCCTGAACAAAGGGAATCCACCTGGAGTCTCCTTCTGACCCGGAAAAGGGGTCATGACCCCTTATCTTTGGGTAATGAGACCAACCATTTTTAAAGGGTCAGAAGGAGACTCCAGGTACTCAGAAGTTTGGGGCTGTAAACTTAGAAGTTGAAAGTTTCATGTTGGAATTTTCAGGGTTCTTTTTCATTTTTAAAATGAGTTATTGCAAGCCAACAATAAAATGGGAACGAGTGGACAATTCCAGTTTGTTTTAGGGGTAGTTTGAGGGTCCAGGTATATACAGGATAGACATGGGAATCTGAATCACCCAAACGCTTCCAAGCAAAATACCTCCTTGTTTAGTCAAGGATTGACACATCATCCCCTATCATATCCTGAAAAAGGTGGTATTGGGTGTAGGTACTGCTCAAAAAGCAACCTTTGGCTGGTACGGTGGCTGCCCCGTTCGCCATATTGCAAGTACACCAACCGAGTTAACAGGGTAGTTTTCCAGGGTAGATACCGATCTCTTTTTGACTCAAGGATTGACCAATCATACCCTATCATACCATGGTTGGTGGATTCTAACTATTTTTATGGGTGGTTTGGCTCGGGGGCGGGGGGTATTTGGAGCTTACGGCAAGCATCATTCGTTCTCCTTTGAAGGCCGCCATTGCCAGCTTTCGGCTCTGGCGTTCCGTTTCCCGCGAAAGTGACCCTTAAGTTGGGAGTCGACCCCTCTCGGGTGTTCGAAAGTTGTAGTGGCAACCGTTCGGTTATAACCAACCCACTTGGCCTCCTTAAGTGAGGTCGGTTTTATCCCACTTAAACAGGAAAGGGGTCCTTTTTTCGATGGGTGCTCTCGGCAAGCTACAAGTAACCCACGTTTTCACTTGGCATGGTATAAGGAAGACACCGTGTTGTTCACGGCAAATACCTCCTTTCTTAGCCAGGGGTTGACAAGATGACAACTAAACACGCGTTGGATGGGGCGGACTTGGGTGTTCGATTCGCCAAGTTAGTAAGTTGTTGGGAACCAGGATATAAGCCGCTGATAGGCCTCCTGCTTAAGTGAAGTTGACACAGTCATTAGTGGGTTATATTTCATGCGTTGGCCACTTACTAACTTGGCGAATCGAACATCCAAGTGGTAAACAGGAAATGTGTACTTTTTGGGGATGGTTAAGCTCCAAGTACCCACTTTTGGAGCCAGGGGTTGGCGTGATACCAACTTCAAAACGAGTTGGTGCGGTAGCGGGGTGAAATGGGGCGTGGAGCAATCCTGCGGGTTTGAGGTCTTTTCGGGGTTCCGAACCCCTTGACTCAGTCTATGGTTGAGGCAAGCACCCAAGAACCAGCCCCAAGTAGCTAAGCATTGCCCTGTGTTGAAGAAGTCGAACCGGATCTCCATTGGAAGACTTTGGACCTCATTTGCCTTTTTGAGGGCCCGTTTGATGCTTGGAATGCTTGCAGGTGACAAGCTGGATTAGTCCCCCGGCTCGGTTAGGGTCTCAAACATGGGTTTGTCTTGCATTGGACCCCCACAATGGTTGCTTCCCTCAAGGGCCACCCTGAAACATGGGTTCTTGCAACCGAAGCATATGGTTGGTGACTTTGTTTCTTTTTCTTGGGTAGTTCTTTCGATTCGGTCCGATGGGTAAAAACAAGAAAAAACAACAAAACACGAGCCACCCCGAGCACTCCCTTTTCGGGTAGCACAACGATCCCGCCCCCGGCCCCCCCCCAAAAAAAAAACATCAACGGAAATCGGGTAACAGGAACACGAGGTTCCTGGATCGCCAGTCGCCATCGTTTTTTGTTTTTTTTTCTCGCATGCTCTCAAAGCCCCAAAACCAGCAGTGGCTGAAAAAAGCGATCGCAACTTGGCGATCTAGGTTACCTCTTAAAAGAGTCGACCGAAGACCAAAACCCTTAAGGTTACTTAAACCTTGATTCATAGACTGAGTCACCCTTTTTGTCGACTACTGGGTGGGGGAGTCGTAACAGGAAGGCTACGCAAAAGCTGGCTTGCTTATGGCTGTCGCTTGCCTGCCAGCGTCGCTACGATGCGTCTGAGGATGTACATCTTCGACGATCCGGGCTCCGAAAGCTACATTTGAAGCGGGGTTTCGCGACCCGGCAAGCTCGCCGGAGCTTGAATCAGCCAAATGAGCAGCGCCCGAATCGATGGTCCTGGGAATCCAACCGTTAAAGCAAAGGCCTGGATCGCCAGTGGCAACTGTGACTGCCTGGATCGCCATTGCTGTTGGTTTCCATGCACTCAACATCCCGAAAACCAGCAATAGTGACTGAGAAAGCAGCAGCTTGGCTATCTAGGTGTGTTTTGGGCATGTCTGGGAAGCAGTGGCGATCCCGGGGGTTCGGGTTCCTATTTCACCGCCAAAACATTTACCTGATTGTCATCATCCACATTGGGTCTTGGTTGCCATTCTTTTCATTGGGGGTTAAATGCTAGGCATTGGCCATTTTGGTAGGTTCCTTCTTTTCCTGTGTGACTTTGGGGCTTTTGGTTGTGCTCTACACCTGTGTAGAACCGAAAGTCAATGGGTGAAAAGGGCGCTGCTGATTTGTAATTCAGTTTATAAGCACCCTGAGTGCCAAGTGGAAGCATTTGTTGGGCTGTAGTGGAGTTGCGGTTTTTGGTAAACCTGGTGAAACCATGGCAAAGACCTCCTGGGGGTTTGCATGATCCCCTGACCTTGAAAGTTGGAGCGGACCTCGCAAAGGGGGGATTTTTGCGAAGAGGGTCAGAGCAAGGGCGTTTGCGTTTTTGGGGAGCCGAAGGTGTTGAGGCAAACTGTTTTTCTTATTTTCCCTGGTTGGTTTTAAAGGGAATCTATCACTACTGGAAATATGTCTTATTTTTGCCAGGCAAATGGAAGCAAATAGGTTGGCCTTCCCCCAACTCCAAGTCTGGTATTTCCGACCAAACTCAATGCAGGTTTTCCAGGGTAAACACAAGGATGCCTTTTGTCAATCACAAACAAACCGGGATACAACTTGTGCAACATGGCTTCCCCAAAAACCAGAAACCAAAGACTTGCAACCGTTGGGTTCCATTCTGTTTGATTTTTCTTTTTCGGGGGTGCCCAAATGTACGAGCCCGAAACAAGCCATACCCATGTGCAAAAAGGTTTGGGTATGGGTGGTTAGGCCTGGTTCCGTATCTTCCGGCCAGACCTTCGTGCTCGTTTTGCGCGCGCAAGACTAAGAAAGGATCGCTGGGAGTCTGGAGAGAGTCTGGTTTTTTTCAGTCACTGTTGCTGGTTTTTGGGGTAAAGTGGATGGAAAAAGCGACGATCCAGGGGGTTGGTTTCAATAAGAGTCATGGTTCTGACGTGCCAAATAGCCGAAGTGTGCTTTGACTTGGCCAAAAGCACACCACCTTTCGCCTGCGATTTGCAGGCTGCAGCACCCGGACCCTCCAAATTCCCTTAAGCCTGGGTTGTTGCCCAAAATTAGGGGGGTAGTTTGAGAATGCAGGTTTCCTCCTTCCATTTTATTTCTTCTTTCTTTATTTATTTCTTTCTTTATTTGTTTATTTCCTTCTTTGAGAGATAAAGAAAGACAAACAAAAGAACGACAGAACTCTCTGCCTGTCCCTGGCACCACCCCCCCTAAGTTTCCTTGCCCCCATCAAAAGAATGTTTTCATGGGGACCCAATTTGGATGACAATCCTTCGTCAAACGCTTTTGGTGAACTATGACCCTTCTGGGTTTTACTGGGAGGAAAAGGGCATTTTGTCCGGAAGGAGGGGGGTGTTTCCGTCAATGAGGCCCCAGTTTGACCTTTGATCGGGATCGCTCGGCTTCGGACTTCGGCTCGACCTTCATGGTGTGAGTCGCTGACGAAGCGATGAAGTTGAGTCGGCGAAGCGGTTCTTCGCCCGACTCTTCGACTCTTTGTGTTCCCTAACCATCATGGGTCAGGGTCTCCATTGGAAGGTTTTGGACCTCAAAAAGGTCCGTCTTGAGGGCCCAAGATGCTTAGGGTTAGCTTTTTGTGTTTTGGAATCAACAACACACATATGTTTGCATCGACTCACCTGACTGTTTCCAAGGGTTGGCTTCTACTCGAGGCTCCACTGCAAATATATATATATATATATATATATCGAAAGAGTAAATATGAAACAGACTCACAACATATCATTTTGAAGTGCCCCAGATGTGGATTTGCCAAGTTTCGGCAAGGCCCGCAGGCGTTTGGGAGTGTCCCTGACAACCCGCCACACGGTTCCTGAAGTCGGTGATAAATCCATTTCGGGAATGGACTCGGATGAGTACCCTCAGGATTCAAACAAGGTCAAATTTCTGTCCGTGAGTATTCTCCATGTGTTTGCCTATCATACGGACCCTCGAATTGGGCTAGGCCTAAAACTAAAACCAATGGGATCGGTCCCAAACAACAACCTTCATTGGGATCGGGTCCCATATCTGATGCGAATCGGGTTTCCTCTAGTATTGCAAGGGGACATCTAGATCGAGGTACCCAAAAAGCTCTCACGCACATATTTGAGGCCGGGTTGTGGCGGGATGAGCAGCAGATGTTGCCATGTTCCTGAACACAAGGAGCAACTAGTGGCTGAAACTTCACTTGTCGGTTTCAGCTCAGATCTTCGAGTGGTTCCTGTTTGCTGCGGTTCTTTCAAGAACAATAAGTTTTGAGCTTGAATTATTGTTTTGTTTGTTTGCTGAAATTGCAGGCTTGGCATCAAGCGAGTCATGCTGATTTCCATGCACAATTATGAGACACATTCAGCTCGAGCGCAGGCGATTCCAATTCGCTCATGGCGCGCGTTCGCTTGCTCGATGGCACGGATGTGATGACGATGGCAGAGTATTCTCTGTTGTGGGACGAGCTGGGCGGACAGGAGGCTGGGGATTGTGTCTTCAACACGTTGCGGCGCCACCTGGCCAAAAGATTCCCAGTTGCTCACTGGCATCCGGCTTTGCTGTTGTTTTTTGTATGTGCACACATGAGGTTGTCCTTTCTTTTTATATTGGTCCCTGACCAAGTAAGGATTGCTTATGTCAAATTTTAGGCAGCTCGCTCTGGCTGGCGACGCAGGCATGTTGGGCCCAGAGAGTTCATGGGATACTGCTGGCTGCTTGACGGCCATTAAACGGCAATATGTTGAAGCAGCCGCTGGTGAAGCAGACGGTCTGGCAATTTGCATCGACTTGCTGCATGCAGCAGCAAGAGGTGACGTACAACATGTGATAGAGCTGCTGGAGAAGCCTCATGATCCCAATGCTGCTGACAGAAACAGTCATGTGACGCCTTTGTTTAATGCTGCCGCATACGGCCATCTGGAAGTTGTGCGCTGCTTGCTGGATGCCGGTGCTGACAAAGACAAGTTAGGCAGTGTGGGCAGATCACCGTTGCATCTTGCTGCATTGATGGACAGCCAGGCAGTTGTGCAGTGTTTGCTGGATGCCGGTGCTGACAAAGAGACGGCAGACGATGAGGGTGCCACGCCGTTGCATCTCGCTGCATTCATGGACCGGCAGGCGGTTCTGCAGTCCTTGCTGGATGGCGGTGCTGACACAGAGAAGGTGGACAATGCGGGCAGATCACCGTTGCATCATGCGGCATTGATGGACCGCCAGGCAGTTGCGCAGTGCTTGCTGGATGGGGGTGCTGACAAAGAGAAGGCTGACAATGATGGCGCCACACCGTTGCGTATTGCTGCTATTCGGGGCCATGAGGCGGTTGCGCAGTGCTTGCTGGATGCCGGTGCTGACAAAGACAAGGCGGACAACGGGGGAAGAGCACCGTTGCATCTTGCTGCATTGATGGACCAGCAGGCAGTTGCGCAGTGCTTGCTGGATGCGGGTGCTGACAAAGAGAAGGCTGACAATGATGGCGCCACACCGTTGCATATTGCTGCTGTTCGGGGCCATGAGGCGGTTACGCAGTGCTTGCTGCATGCCGGTGCTGACCCAGAGAAGGCAGACAATGGTGGCGCCACACCGTTGCATGTTGCTGCACAGCACGGCCATGAGGTGGTTGCGCAAGCTGCGGACAACGGGGGAAGAGCACCGTTGCATCTTGCTGCATTGATGGACCAGCAGGCAGTTGCGCAGTGCTTGCTGGATGCGGGTGCTGACAAAGAGAAGGCTGACAATGATGGCGCCACACCGTTGCATATTGCTGCTGTTCGGGGCCATGAGGCGGTTACGCAGTGCTTGCTGCATGCCGGTGCTGACCCAGAGAAGGCAGACAATGGTGGCGCCACACCGTTGCATGTTGCTGCACAGCACGGCCATGAGGTGGTTGCGCAGTGCTTGCTGGATGCCGGTGCTGACAAAGATAAGGTGGACAACGGGGGAAGAGCACCGTTGCATCTTGCTGCATTGATGGACCAGCAGGCAGTTGCGCAGTGCTTGCTGGATGCGGGTGCTGACAAAGAGAAGGCTGACAATGATGGCGCCACACCGTTGCATATTGCTGCTGTTCGGGGCCATGAGGCGGTTACGCAGTGCTTGCTGCATGCCGGTGCTGACCCAGAGAAGGCAGACAATGGTGGCGCCACACCGTTGCATGTTGCTGCACAGCACGGCCATGAGGTGGTTGCGCAGTGCTTGCTGGATGCCGGTGCTGACAAAGATAAGGTGGACAACGGGGGAAGAGCACCGTTGCATCTTGCTGCATTGATGGACCAGCAGGCAGTTGCGCAGTGCTTGCTGGATGCGGGTGCTGACAAAGAGAAGGCAGACAATGGTGGCGTCACACCGTGGCATATTGCGGCACAGCAAGGCCACCAGGCATTTGCTCAGTGCTTGCTGGATGTCCCCGCTACGAAGAGAAGGCGATTAACTTGAGCGCAGTTTTTCTGCATAGCTGGATTGTGATGGCTATTGAGGTGCGCAGTGCTTGCTCTCGCGATGCTCAGACGCGCGGGTCGAATCGACCCCTAGCATAAGAACGTCACCTCGAACAGCTGCCGGTGGGCCCAGGCATTTGGGAGCCTTGGGAACAAGTATCACTCACTTGCTTGGCAAGGTCGGGCCTGGAAATGAACGGTGACCACCTTTTGGACCAAGGATCCACCAAACGGTTTTTTCGCTTTGGTCGATTCGCTTTGGTTGAATTCCAGGTCAGTCCCGGAAGGTGTTTGAACCAAATTGGATGATTTGCCTCAACCTGTATTCTTTAGGGCCGGGTGAATTCCTGCTCTTTGATGGGTAGTTCTTTCAAGTCCCGAAAGGTGCTTCACTCACTCTCTGAGGTTCTCTACTAGTCCTTCATGTTGTTTACGCAGGTTACTACAAAGACATTGCAGCAAACAGGTTGGAAACCCCATGCACCATGGTGTTTGGTTGATAAACCGGCGATATCTGAAAAGTAAACCTCCCGGTGGCAAACCATATGCGTCCGAATACTTTTTGTGAACACCACCTTTGAAGAGGCTTGACAACGGTTTCCTGAAACCTCACCATGCGAACTCAACAATGGGTTACCCTTCCCAAAAAAATGGAATTGGTAAATGTCATGCCTTTTCATGGGTTGTGCTAACCCAAACATGTGGTTTTTGTTTTTTCTTTAACAGCGCTAGCCCTTGTTGAAGGGTATAAGTTTGAAGGTCGAGTCCAGGTACCCTAAAATGCAGTTTATTATAGGCAGAACCCACTCTCGGGCTCCCTTTCTTTTCACCCTCCAAACTTGTTTTTTTTTACCCTTCCTTTTTTTTCAACCCTCAAACCCTGCTTGGGAACCGTCGGCGGAAACCTTGTTTCTCCAACCCTGAGAATCCTTTCTTTTCAACCCCTCACCTTGTTTTTTTCACCCTCTGCCTTGCTTTTTTCCCCCTCTGCCATGCTTTTTTTCACCCGCGAGCTTGCTTGTTTCACCCCGCAACCTTGTTTTTCTCACTCTAAACCTAAAACAACCTAAGCCCGCCCCGCACCCAACCCAACCCAAACCAACCCCGGGCCCGCCCTAAGCCAAACCTTGCCAACCCTCAGTATCTCTAAATCACTCAAACCAGCCAAACACGCCCAAACCCACCCCAAACCCACCCCAAACCCACCCTACACTAAATCACGCTAAGCGAGCCCTAAGCAAACCAGAAACATCTTTTGTCCAACCCAAAACCCACCCCAAGCCAAGCTACACCCACCCTACACCACCACAGACCTACTCGAAACCACCCTAAGGCAGACACAACCCACCCCTAACCAATCCCAAACCGACCCTAAACCAACCCTAATTCAACAAACTAAACCAACCCTAAACCGGACCGTAATCCCACCCCATATCTTAAGCTTAGCCTAAGCCAACAATAAACCAATCCCACCTAGCCTTAATGCAACCCTAAGCCCAACCTAAACCAACCCTGAACAGACCCACCGACCCAAAACCAACCCGCAACCCGAAAACGACCCTAAGCCACTCCTAACCCAATCCTAAACCCACTGTAAACCCAGCTTTAACCAATCACGAACCACCCCGAAAACCAACCTTAAACTCAAGCCCAGCAAAAACCAACCCTAAGCCAACCTTTGCCCCCACCCTAGACTCAACAACGCTAAACCCACACTAAACTCAAAACCAACCCAAAACCAACCCTGAGACTCTAAGCTGAGCTTGACCCAACCCTAAATCCAGTGAAGCCAACCCTAGGCCAGCCGCAAAACCAATCCACATCCAAGCCTAAACCAACCCCAAACCCCACCCTGAACCAACCCTGAACCAACCTACATCCAACCCAAAACAAACGAACAACATACCCTTAAACACCCTAAGTCCACCTGAAATCAAGCCACCCCAAATCAACCCTAAGCCACCCTTGAGCGACCCCCAAGCCTCCCCTAGCGCAACCCCAACGCCACCCTAGACATAGACAAACCGCAAACCCGCCCTGAACCAACTCTACACCAACCCTAAGCCAACCCTACAGCCACCACAGACCTACTCCAGACCACCTAAACCAGACACAAACCCACCGACATCCTGCTCTAAATCTACCTAATCCAACTCTACACCCAAAGCCAACCCGAAACCCACCTCAAACAGATTCTAAGCCAACACTAAATCCACCCTAAATCCACCCTGATTCCTTTCGACACACGCCCTAATCCCACCCTAAACTAACTCCATGTACATCCAACATTAATCCCAAGCCTGACCTCACCCTAAACCCCTTCTAAATCCATCCTAAACCAACCCTAAACCAATCATAAACCCACTGTAGACCCATTCTCCAAGCCCCAAACCCACCCTCATCCAAATTTAAACCCACCATATACCCAGCAGAGACCTGCTCGAAACCAACCTTAAACTTAAACCGACCACAAACTTGCCCTTCTCATCCCAAACCAACCCTGAGCCCACCCTCAACAAACCCTACGCCGCCTCTAAACCCTTCCTACACAAACTCTAACCCCCCCTCAAACTAGCCTTAAATGCGAGGTTGCCCAACCTAAACCAACACAACCCTAAACAAAACCGTAAATCCACCCTTCCCATCCGAAACCAACCCTAAACCCACCTACCCCCCCCCGCCCGAACCCACCCTAAACCAACCCTAAATCCAAAACCACTCCTAAACCAACCCAACCCTAAACCGTTTCTTAGTGCAGTTGCCGCAAACTTCGGCCACAGGGTTGGCAGAAAAGAAATGGAGGGTTAAAAGGAAGAGGTGGAGGGTCAGAAAGAAAGGGGGGAGGGTTAAAAAAGAAGGGGGGAGGGTTTAAAAAAAGGGGGGGAGGGTTAAATAGAAAGGGTGAAGGGTTGAAAAAACAGGGAAGGGTTGAAACAAATGGTTTGGAGGGTGAGAAAAACGGGTTCCCCTAAGCTCTCTATGACGCGGGATTGTTTTTTACAAAAACACACACACACACACATGGGGTCATTGGGATCATGATCCAATTTATCCCAAAGGCTCCCGATGAAAGCTCTTGAGCGGAGTCCACACCTCTTCCCTTCTGAGGGCCGGCAAGGAGGGCTGTGGGTCGACAAAAGCAGCTGGTGTTTTGGGTCGCTTGAAACGTGTTTTTTCCCCTTACCTGGAGTCTGCATGACCCCTACAAAAAGGGGTCATGACCCATTTCTTAATTTTGGGTAATGACCCCATTTTCAAAGGGGTCATGGAGACTCTAGGTATCTGTTTTGATCGAGGTGGGCCAATTGAGTCAGCCACCATGATGTGTTCTATGTTCTGCATCCGTCCGAGCAGTTTTGCTAGGTCCCCCAGTAGTGCCCGTTTACCGTTTTCTTTTTTGGGGGAGGGTCCCCCTACCAAAATAGACTACAGAAAAAAGGGTGCCCCTATTCTAACCTCTCTACCGAAGGACCTAGTTTGGGTTTGTAGCTTGGTACTCTCGCTGTGACGTGTTCTCGGACTGCCGTCCGACCAGTTTTTGGGTTTGTGGCTTGGCACCCGGAGCCGGTGCGACGTGGGGTGGCCCTTAGACGCCCCTTGCGGACACCTTTTCGATTCACCTGACTGTGTGTGTGCCAGGGTCGGCTTTCACTAGCTCGTGTAGGTGGAGTCTCCATGACTTCTAGAAAAAGGGGTCATGACCCATTTCTTAATTTTGGGGAGTCTGAACCATTTTTAAAGGCTCATGGAGACTCCAGGTATATCTATATAGTTTTTAGGATAGACCATTATTTTGAAGTACCCGACGTAGATTTGCCAAGTTTCGGAAAGGCCCTCAGGCGTTTGGGAGTGTCCCTGTCCACTGTGGCGTGGTTCCTGAAGTGGGTGATAAGTCCATGTTTGTTGAAAATCGACTCTTCGGATGAGTACCATCCGGATTCATCCAAGGTTGATTTCTGACCGTGAATAGTCTCCCTGTGTTTGCTTACAGCGTACTGCCCCCCCCCCCGTTGTGGCGCGGGAGAAGCAGATGTTTGCCATGTTCCCGAAAGGAGCAACTAGGCAAGTGGCCGAGTTTTTCTGAGCCAGTGCTCGTCGAGGTTTTTGGGGTGGCTGAAACTTACTTTGCTTGCTGGTTTCAGCTCAAACGCTCGAGTTGTTCCTGTTTGGTGTTCTTTCAAGATATGTAATTTTGGAGCTTGAATTGTGCCTACTTGTTACAGACACACACACACATTTCATGCACAATTATGAGACACATTCAGCTCAAGCGCAGGCGATTCCAATTCGCTTGCTCGATGGCACGGATGTGATAACAATGGCAGAGTATTCTCTGTGGTGGGACGAGCTGGGCGGACAGGAGGCGGGGGATTGTTTCTTCAACACTGGCCAAAAGATTCCCAGTTGCTCACTGGCATTCGGCTTTTCTTTTCTTTCTTTTTTTGGTATTTGTGTGTTCACACATGAGGTTGTCCTTTCTTTTTATGGTCCCTGACCAAGTAAGGATTGCTTATGTTGAATTTTAGGCAGCTCGCTTTGGCTGGCGACGCAGGCATGTTGGCCCCACAGAGTTCATGGGATAATGCCGGCTGCTTGACGGCCATCAAACGGCAATACGTTGAAGCAGCCACAGATGAAGCAGACTGTCTGACAACTTGCATCGACTTGCTGCATGCGGCGGCAAGAGGCGACGTACAACATGTGATAGAGCTGCTGGAGAAGCCTCATGATCCCAATGCTGCTGACAGAATCAGACATGTGACACCTTTGTTTGACGCTGCCGCAAGCGGCCATCTGGAAGTTGTGCGCTGCTTGCTGGCTGCCGGTGCTGACAAAGAGAAGGCAGACAATGATGGCGCAACACCGTTGCATATTGCTGCATGGTGGGGCCACCAGGCAGTCGCGCAGTGCTTGCTGGATGCCGGTGCTGACAAAGAGAAGGCGGACAACGCGGGTGAATCAGCGTTGCATCTTGCTGCAGTTCAAGGCCATCCGACAGTTGTGCAGTGCTTGCTTGATGCCGGTGCTGACAAAGAGAAGGCGGATAATGCGGGCAGATCACCGTTGCATCTTGCTGCATTCATGGACCGCCAGGCAGTTGCGCAGTGCTTGCTGGATGCGTGTGTTGACAAAGAGAAGGCGGAGAATGCGGGCAGATCACCGTTGCACATTGCTTCATTGCAGGGACACCTGGCAGTTGTGCAGTGCTTGCTTGATGCCGGTGCTGACAAAGAGAAGGCGGACAACGGGGCAAGAACACCGTTGCATCTTGCTGCATTGATGGACCGCCAGGCAGTTGTGCAGTGCTTGCTGGATGAAGGTGCTGACAAAGAGAAGGCAGACAAGAATGGCACCACAGCGTTGTTTTTTGCTGCATTCCGGGGCCATCTGGCGGTTGTGCATAAAGCTTCTTGCAAGCCAGGTGTTCCTGAAAGGATCTCGAAAGGCAAGCATCCATCGCAATTTGACCTGGGGGGGAGGGCGGTGCTTGCCCACGCGCAGGTGGTGAAGCGATGCCTGTGTCTCAAGCCTGAGGGCCGTGGCACAGCGGTGGAGCTGCCCGGGCTCCTGGAACCGTTCTGGCAGAGGGCCGCGACGCGCTGTTGAGCCGGAGGAATTTAACGGGGAAGCAAGCCAGGCGATTGCTCACCAAGGCCAACAAAAGAGGCTTGGGCTTGGGACGATCTGACGCTGAGACGTTTGCGGAATCAAGACTCCAAAGCCCGTAAGAAGCAGGCCAAGCGAAAGCGTGAGCATTTAGCGCGGGGGGGCCTCGGTTTATGATCGGCCCCAAGAGCCCACGAGCGCACGGCTGAATCCAAAATGCCGGGTCATTCATCCGGTTACTTGCGAATAGCAGTTTTCTGCTTTCCGACGCTCCTAGGGCGCTTGACAAAGAGAAGGTGCATCTTGCTGCAGTTCAAGGCCATCCGGCAGTTGTGCAGTGCTTGCTGGATGCCGGTGACAAAGAGAAGGCGGACAACACGAGTGAATCTCTTGCTGCAGTTCAAGGCCATCCGGCAGTTGTGCAGTGCTTGCTGGATGTGGGCGCTGCTAAGAGAAGGCGTTTGGCATGAGCGCCGCGCCACTGCAGGATTTTGAATGAGTGAATGTTGTTGAACCTCGCAGTGCTTGCTTTCATGCGGTGCTGACAAAAGCGGAGCAGACAACCATGGTCCGGCAGAAATCTAGCGTTGCTCTGTAGAGTCTAGAGTAGAGAAGTGCCAACTAGAAGAAGTGTCGTTGCGGAGCACAAAGCAGATCCCGTTCTTGCTGTAGATTTCGCAGCGGTACCAACCGCTCGGTATCAACCGAACACCGATGGTTGCGTGTCTCCTTTGTCTTGCCTTGAAGGAACCTGGCATATCAAAAGGAAGACTGGTAGAGAACAAGGTATAAGCATTGACCGCAAGCAGTGATGTTCTGCTCAGTTGTTCAGTGGCACCCTTTTCCCTTTTTTTTTCGTGGCTGCCCCACTAAAAATGGTCTTCCCCAAAAAGGGTTCCCTTTTTTTCCAGGGTCACTGAACAACTGAGTAGGTGGTTGCTGGAATGCAGGTTTGAAGCTCAGCACTTACGTTCGCCTGAAAGCGTTCCAGCTCGAGGCAACATTGCTGGTTAAGGTGAAATCTCCCGGCACGTTGAAGCAGTCAGCAATGTTTGTGGAGGAATCCCCACCCTTAAAAAATGGAATGGGGTGACCCCTGGAATTCCATTTATGGTTTCATTTTCGTTGATTTGGGGAAGACAAAACAAAAATGGACTTGCGCGACATCCACCTCACCCGGCTCCCCCTTAAGGTAGGGCGGACGTGGAGGAGATTTTGTCACTCTTGAGGCCTCAATCTCATGTGCATGGACCTCGCAGATAGGCTCGGCCGAGCGAAGTTGCTCGCTCGCCGGGGTTCCTGCTCACCGAAGACCCTTTTGCTTACTCCCTGAGTTCCTGGGCCCGAAACAACGAAGCAATGGGGTGATTGCTCAACATCATTGGGCAGCTTGAGGGTGCAGAAAGACCAGCCAGGTCAGTTGCAAACAACAGGTTCGGACTTTGCCAATCCACTCGATCGGAAGTGAGTCGGTTTGTTTTTAAGAGGGGGTGGGCCCCTTTGTAAAATCAACCAACGCGAAGTAGGTGCCGATTCCTTTCTTTCCCATCGAAATCCGGCCGGCCTCGGGCGCTACTTATGCTGGACCAGATAGTCTAGGTCCCCAGCTAGGTGCCCTTTCTCACCAACTTTTTTTGGGGAGGGTTCCGCCACTAAAATCGACTACAGAAAAGTTGGTACCCTAAACCCTAACCTCTCTACTGGAGGAGCTAGTAGGGCTCACGTGGACCCTCAAACTACCCTTAGACGCAATTGATTGGCCCAAAATTCTGAGTGAATTCCCTTTTGACGGGTAGTTCGCTCGGGTCAGATCGGTAAAGAAAAACCCGCTGGCCGTGTCAAGCTCGCCACAAGATTCAAGGGTCAAAATCCCCAATTCAACCCTCTACCTGAACCCTCATGTTTTTTTGAAAAATGTGCTTTAACCCACTTTTTTATGGGTAGGTTGAGGGTCCAGGTACTTGAACACCGCATTGCTGGGAAGACCTGGCAAGTTTGCGTTGCGAGTTGGTCTCTCCCAGATGCAATCATCCACAGTCCGACGTGGACTGGGCCCAAATCGAATGGAGCACACGCCAAAACATACCTGGAGTCTCCATGCCCCCTTTTTCTAGGGGTCATGACCCGAATCTTAATTTTGGGTATGAGATTTTTCAAGGGTCAGAAGGAGACTCCAGGTATCTTCGGAGCCTGGCGCATTTTTCTTATGCGATATTCCAGGCAATGGGTTGGAGACCTGAACGCTTTGAGAAGAGGCCCACTTCCGAGTTCCTGGCGCCTTGAAGGCTCCAATGCTCAATGGCAAGCGAAACTAAGCGACGGGACAAACAAAAACAAAAGGAACGCCACAGGCCGGACCAGTCCCATGAGTTTAGTGGGGTATCATCAGTCAGGGGAACAAAATTCCTTAGCAAGCTTGGGTTGATTCATATGGGGTCGACATAAATTCACAGAGCTTCGCATCACTGGACGGGTGACCACTTGGCTCGTTTGCGTCAGCAAACATACCTGGCTATGAGGCCCTTCTGGGCCAAAAAGGAAAAATAATAAATAAACAAATCATCTTGGCAAGAGTGGCGCTTCCCTGGGCCAAACGAAATATGCTGCCCTAAGGGTCTTGATTGATTTTGGGCAAATCCTCAAAATGGGTTGTTTTTGTTTGGCTCCTGGAGGAATTGGTCGCCAAGCGGGTTCTGCATTGGAGGACCCCTTATGGGGTGTGCATTGGAGAGGTGACCCTTAGGGTTCAAAGCTTCGCCTTTGTCCAGCATTCAGTGCCCACCGTCAATGCGCGGAGTCAAGACGTGAAGGCGATGCCCGGGCAGCTTGCGTGCGCAGTCTGCGCTACTTCGAGCGGGTTGCTTTTGAAAGAAGCAGACAGCAATGATGCGAATCAGCGGAACGGAGAGATGGCAGCCTGACAAACTCGCGCCAACCCATTCACTCTGTTGACCTGTATAGGGCACCGCGTGCTTGCCACCCTTCAAAAGCCAAATGGAACATGGATCGAATACTTACTATTTGTCCGACACGGATTTCTAGGATCCACTTGCCCAAAGCGAATGGACCTCGATTTTCCTTTTGGTGAACCCCCGATTTGGCTTTGTAGGAAAATATGTTGGTAAGCCATTGGAGGGGTTTGCTCTGGGTCAGAGTACCCTTGGTCCAAAACGGTCCAAGTCCCATTTTGAGACAGACCCTGGGGTTTCTTGCAACCATACTTTGTCTTTGTTATGAGAACATGGAGCAGCCAGCAGCCCACCTGCACAGCATCTCAACATATACCGGACTCATACCCATTGCAGAAAGGTGGGGTGTGTGTGTGTGTGGTTACGGGGGTGTGCGTTTCTGCGTTCTCCGTAGGGCATAGCTGTCCTTTCTGGCTTGGGCTTTCAAAAAGCCAGGGCGGTTCCTGGCTTACCTGCTCATCTACCCTCCCACCAAGTAACATGGAAGTGCACATTTGGCCCCTTTCCAAGAGGAAAGTCGTCTTTCCACAGGGGTCTGTTAGTCGGTGGGGGGGTACCAGGGAAGCCCATCCATTTTCATGAACTAGGTCCCCCAGCAAGGTGACCTTTTACACACTTTTTTGTGGGAGAGTTCCCGTACTAAAATAGACTACAGCAAACAGTTGGTACCCTAAACCCTAACCTCTCTACTGGAGGACCTAGATAAAGGCCACCTACGCCATGATTGGGCCATGATATGTTTGGGGCACCTGGTGTTGCAGGCTGGCACCTGGACAACGCCCACGGGGCGGAGGCAGAGCCAGAGACTGTTCGATTCGCCAAGGGGCCACAGCCGCCGGGGTTTTTTGGACTCAGTGACTGGGTGGACCCAACTGAAGGCTAAGTGGGTCATACCTGGACCTACTACCATGCAGATGGGCGATTGCCAGCCAAAGTCATGGTTGGTGAGTTCCCATTCTTGAGGGTAGTTTGAGGGTCCAGGTGGTGTTTCTGGTTTCGGGTTCAAAGGAAACAAAACGGAAGCACACAGGCCATTTTGCGGGGTCACCTATTCTATTTGTTTCTTCAAGAAGCTCATGTACGAACTGGAAGCTTTTGTTTCAGCCACTAAAACTGGGGAACAACTCCTGTAGTCTGGTTTGTTGGTTGGGTTTCGCATGACTTTTGCTGCCTCAGCATCCATGGGTGCTTCCTAATTTTGTGACCCTGATTTTGGTGATTGTGCTTTGACCCACGTCTCTTACCCTGCAGGGTCCGATCGATGGGGATTTGCGGCAGCCTAAAAATGCGTCGATCTTTCGACACCCCGAAAGTCCGAACAACTCGGCTCTACCTGGATCGCCAGTTGCTGCTTTTTCCGTCCCCTTTACCCGAAAAGCCAGCAACGGTGACTGAAAAAAACAGCAACTTGGCTATCCAGGTAGGTGTGGTTGCAACCCTTACACCCTGAAGCTCATGACCCGGTCTCCGGGCCCTCCAATGAAGAACCCGGCCCCTTGAAGCCGAAAAACCATCGGGAGCCTTCGGGCAACTTTTTCATGCTTCGGCCCCATCGTCTCGTGGGCTTTGTCTTGCCCCACTTCGTTTGCCAGTACCTTGACCCGAAGGAACCACCCGAAAGGGAATTCACCAGACATCATTTTGGTAACATGCCATGTTTAGGGTATGTTGAGGGTCCAGGTACCTAAGCTAGGTGCCCCAGTAGTGCCCTACAGAAAAAAAATGGTACCCTAAACCCAAACCTCTACTGGAGGACCTAGGTTGATAAGTTGATATTTGAGGGCCCTTGTTGGTGTCCCGTTCAGAGGGGTCGATTCGACCCTCCTGCGCGTTTGGGTTTGGACATTTGTTTCTTTTTGGTCTCCGAGGGCAGACTTGTTGCGTTCTGTTTCGGACTTGAGTCGGAAGACCATTGTAGGGGGCAAGCAAAATGCTGGTGACTTGTTATTTTGCACAACCTCGGGAATTGAGGTTTTGGGCACTTCTCTCCCTTTTTGCAAAGGGTACCTTTTTGGTTGCCCAGAAAACCCC